GACCGTTCAAACCACTACGCCATCTATGCAGTCGTATTATAGATAAAGTATACCCAGACACAGAACTGAGTTTGACCCACGACCTCTGGCGTAGCAGTCAGGGTCACTAACCACTAGCCCAACATACCAAGTCGCGTGTTGAAATTTTGTGTGTATTTTACATAAGAAAAACGTTCTTTAGGGCAGTGATATCTGTAGTGAATGGCCTATAACTAATAAGCACACATAAATAAAAGATGTCCACGTACTCCGTACGTACGTACGTAAACTGAGTCTATTGCCGACTACCTTCAATGGTGGGTGTGGCCGCCTCTATACACACATGAATATTTGCTTACGCTACCTAAACTAAACACAAACACAATTAGTACGTAGGTATGCAAGTAAAGTAAGTAATTAAGATACATCGCGTCCTTACAGATAGGTACACTACATAAAAAGAGTGAGGTTATAACAAACTAGCTGGTACCCGCAACTTCGTTTGCGTGGAATTTGAAAAGCGTTGCCTTAGTGGGTTCGATGCCCAGACCGGGCAAAATTTTAAAGGGTTTTTCTTAAAGAAATAATAGCCTAAGCTATTCCTTATGTAGACAGCTACCTGGTAGTAAAATATTATCGAAATTAGTAGAGCCGTTTAGAAGATTACCCGGAACACACAGACAAACAGACAGACAAAAAAAAAGTTTTGAAAAGAGTCATTATATTGCCGAACAGCAACGTATACCAATGAGTGCCAACAAAGGTTGAATAAATTCTATTCGAAATTGAATACCTAACTATTTGAAATACAGTCTTCAAAATACTCGTACCATGTAAATTGTTCATAAAAAAGAACGGAATTTTAAGTCAAAAATTACATTTCGGCAAATGTAACTTTAATCTCTCTTACGTAATGGGAAGCATGCCTATTGCCAGCACACGTGATCTTTCGATATTGCATGGGAGTTTTGATTATGTTGGCAGGAAAGGTAGATAAGAAGGTATGGCAAGGCAGAGTAACAGAGATCATTGATCAATAATTTATTTTATATTCAGTTAAAAGCATAATATTTTAAATATCTAATTGTATCCGTGTGGTGACGGATTAAGAATACAGAGTGTCACCACCCCTATTCATCCCGTGGGTGTCGCAAGAGCCGACTAAAGGCATAAACTACGCAGGACAACAGCTCTGCAAAGAGAAGGAAAAATTGACACAAACCCTATACCAACCCGTCTGGCCAGCGTGGTATAGTAAGCCAAATATGTCCAGCTGTGGACTATTAAAGGCTGTTGATGTGATGTGATGTGAATTGTGATGTAACTAATACCCACAACGCTTAGCGCAGTAGGAAGCAGTGACAGGTGACCGTTTCAACCAATGCGCCATCCTTACAGTCAAACTGACAAAATAATGAACAGAATAAAAGAGAGAGTGCATATATTATAGTGATGGATTGGGGCAAGCAAACAGTAGCTGGAGTTGGTCAAGATCGTATACTTATAAGCACTTGTAGCTCAAACAGGCCATTACCAGGAAATCGAACCCTTTAACTGTATTTCAATTCCTTGTGGATGATTCGCCTCACGTCCAAACGTGCTAACACCATGCTAATAGACGATTTTGCTGACGACATCTGCATTGTTCCAACAAACATTTCTCCGACTGAGTGGCCGACAGAATGTTTTGTTTATGAGTTGATGCCTTTGTTACTCACAAAAAATAAAACTTTGGAAAAAGATACCATTGCAACTCTATAGCTTTAACAGGTCTGTAGAAAATTATCATACACCTAGAAATTATCAAACTGTAATTACTAAATGATATTTATTTTGTACAACATGATTTGTTTCTTAAAAACTTAAATACTTCTGTATTAAAGAAAAATGAAACATTTTGAATATTGAAACATGTTGAAGTTGCTTGATTTCGAAAGGGAAACAATCTAATAAAGCGTCTAGTTTTCAGAGGTTTCTAAGAAAAACTGATTTGAAGGTCTTAAAAACTCAATGGGGTTTTGTAAAGCTTCCATATTTATATTTTAAACTGTGTTTGAATTTCTGTTTGTCAACATGAATAGAATACAATCTGTTGGAAAAAGCCATCTGATGAAGCTGACCACAGTAAGTGGTGAAGTCATTGCTTCGAAGTCAGCAGTCCTTTCAAAAGTGGAAAGCTTTTATGGCCTTCATTTCGCATGCATCAAAAATGAGGACTCCCGAGCCGCATTAACACGTGCGTGCCGAAGACCTGCCAGAAGTCAGCACTGACGAAATCGAGATGGCTCTTAAACAGCTGAGAAATGGAGAGGATGGCCCCACAACAGAGTTTCTAAAGACCGGATGTAAACCCGTACTGAGGGATCTTCAAAAGCTTTTTAATGTGGTCCTGTGCGAAGGGAGAATTCCGGAGGCGTAACTTAGGAGTATGGTAGGCTTGTTCTTCAAAAAGGATGACAAGACCATGTTGAAGAACTATCGACTCATTTTCCTTTTAAGCCACGTCTACAAGCTGTTTTCAAGAGTCATCACAAACCGTCTGGCGCGAAGACTCGACAAGCTGGGTTTCGGAGCGGATATAGGACCATAGAACACATCCGCACAGTGCTTCCAATTATGCAGAAGGCCGAAGGGCATAATCAGCCTCTGAGTCTAGCATTCGTGGATTATGAGAAGACTTTGACTCGATAGAAATCTGGTCTTGTCCATCCAAGTGCAGAATCAGCAAACAAGGCACATACCGTTGTATCGAGGAGTGAGACAAGGGGCCGTTATTTCCCCGAAATGGAAATGTTCATGATGCTGTATTGAAAAGGGCGTGGCATCAATATCAATGGTGAATACATCTCTCACTTGCAATTTGCAGACGACATCGTCAGTTTGGCATAGATGCTGCAGGACCAACAACAGGTGAATAAAAGAGTTCAGTTGTGTTGGACAGCGTTTGGGAAGCTTCGTCGAGTCTGCTCATCGTCAATCGTCGATAAAGACAAAAGTCTTCAATGAGTGCGTTCTTCCCGTTATGGCTACGGTACGGCTGGTCCATAAGCTTAAAGTCGCTCAGCGTGCTATAGGAAAGGCTATGCTCGGCGTGTCTGTAAGGAATCGCATCAGGAATAAGGTAAGCGGTCAGACAACCAAAGTCATTGATAAAGCCCACCGGATTAGCAGCTGTACTTTCAGTGGGCTGGCCATATTAGCCGCTGAACCGACGACAACCGTTTGGGTAAACAAGTCCTTGTAGAAACCACGTCTAGGTAAACGTAATGTAGGACGCCCACAGGCCAGGTGAAGTGACGATCTGCGCAAGATGGCTGGCAGGAGCTGGATGCAAGAAGCCGAAAATCGATCAAAGTGGCGTACAATGGGAGAGGCCTATGTCCAGCAGCGAACTGCGATAGGCTAATGAACATGAATAGTCGCTTCCATATTTCCATTCCTTACATTAATAACTACAAGTACAAGCAGTCTAAAGGCTTAATTTACTAGTAAAAAATGATTTTTTTATTAATTTTTATAGAAAATCCTAGCATTGAATTTCGAAATTGAGTTATTTTAAAATTTCATTCATGTTATTGCCGTTGATCGTATTTTATTAAAGTTAAATAAATTTGAGTGGCTATCGATGTTGCTGGCAGAAATAGTATTTGTAAAGTGAAAATAAATTTGTTTTGAAAACTACTCGACGGAGGAAACTTCAGACCCCAGCTGCAACGTACATTCTATTATAAATGCAAATTAAGAAACATACAATAAATATGGTAACATACTTTCAATACAAATACCACATTTAAGAAATTGTATTTCTTATATTTAGCAATTTTGACATGACTAACGGACACAAAAATGGTATTCTAGGAATTTGAGCTGGTTCTGTTGCAAGTATTGCTACATAGGTACTTTGATACATATAGTAACATAAAAATCAGATAGGTACCATTTATTAAAAGACAGTTATTAGCTTAAAAAAATATCAAAATCGACCATCCAACACCATCGATATTTTAACATTCCGTAATTCGTAAATATTACGAAGTCGTGCACTTTTTGCCTGTACCAAAATCTTAAAGTAACATATTTAGATAAACTACACGGGAGAAAAAACCATTCGGAAATCAGCAGTAAATACGATTACACTTGTTGACATTACGTTGTCTACTGATGTGATGACGTTATTTAAGAGAAGTTTGCATTTTGCATATTTGTAGAACAGATAATGAAATCTTTGAAATTTATTAACTTTTCAACTTCTTAATACCTAAACTATATCAGATGTATAGTTTCTGTATAAGACACTTTCGAGTTTTTGACTGACATTCGAATGAAATATATGATTTGCATGCGGACCACGTACATACTTACTTGCTGAAGTTTTAATCATATAACAGTGATTGTGATCACGGGTGAGCTGGTAAGAATTTGGCAACTGATTCACACATAACACTAATGAAATTTTCTATACTAAAATTAGTATATTTCTTAATTAAAGCCTGTTTACGTACAATTCTGACCGCTGGAGAGCCATGCTCTTGTACAGATGTTAACTGTAATGCTTAACTAATGTTAAAGCAATTTTTGTTTGTTTTTCACAGAGTGAGTAAAGTTGCCACGCGCTACCCAAACCCTCCTCCCCCTAGTTCTGGGGGATGAGATAGACAGAGATGGCGGCAATGCACTTATTTCGCTTGAGTTAATAGGTTTACATGGATAGCGGTAGTCGTTTACCATTAAGTGACCTCCCCTATGCCATAAAAAAACAATACTTACATAGAATTCCTTCTAAAGATTTCATTCATTTTACCTGACCCCAGCATATACTTTATGAAAAAAATTAACCATTCATTCACTTATTTCACTACTCTTCTGTAAACAAGTGGGTTGACAATTGCGGAAACAGAAATGTATATAAAAACTTTGTGCTTGAAACCAATTTATCGTGAATGTAAATAATTGCGGAGCAAACACTAGATATTTCAGATTTTGATGGTATAGTCACATAACATCATTCATACATCAGAACCATGCCGGTCGGTAAAGTTGTATACGGTACTGTTCCCAGCGATGAGAAGAGTCCAGGTGAGAATTAAAAATGAAGTGAATTAAACATAGAAAAAAGACGCGCGATAAGTCAATTACAATGTACACTTATGACAATAAACAACAACCTGTAATTATGTAATATTTGTGAGACAGCATTATCTAAAAGATAGCAATGAAATACTTACAAAGCGCTGTCTAGTAGTTTTATAAGACAAGTCGTTACGACAAAAAATTTATTGATTTGTTTTCATAACGATGTGTTTGATGATGTTTCTTAAAACTAATTTATCTAAAAGTTATTTAATAATTATTAAGTCATTCAATCTATGGTAAGCATGATCATAATAGAGATTTATACACATAATGTGCCTTTTTAATGTTTCGGATAAATCGATTACACAATTTATACTCTTGTTTTGCAACCAATGCCATCAACTGCGTACAATGGGTGTTTTTTTTTTGTTAAAAGTAATCTCTTCCTGAAAATCTTCTCAGATTTTAGTTTTACTTTATTGAAATAAATAACATAATTAATTAATATACCATTATCATTGTTTTTCTGTCTTTTTTTTTGTTTTGGCTAATAATTATTTTAACTAGAGACCATTCCATCCCTTTGGGAATGTTATCTTTTTCAGACATGACAAGAGAGGGTGAGGTGAGGGAGACTGCTATTAACTATAACTACTAACAAACCCATAACGTTTACCTACCACCTATCTAACGTATATTAATTTTTTCCAGAACCTATTACTCATCCAGCCCCCAAGGGGTTGGGGCTCCGGCATTTACAAACACTCCTCCTTTTCGTATGCCTCGTTTTGGGGTTTACAACAAGGGCTCAGCTCAGCGTCCTCATGGTGGCTATGATCAAGTCTAGCCAGCAGGGCAGTTACAACCTTACCAGCAACGGCATGGATGTTAATGGTACCAATATAACTGATAACACAGTAGATGGTAGCCGAGTACAGGCCATTGGTGATTGGAATGTGTACCGCGTAAGATATAACTTTTTTATGCTAATAGTTAAGTCATCAAATTTACATACTATGGGGTTTTACGTGGTTTAAGCGGTTGCCATGCCGCTTCCTACTACGCTGAGTGTTGTGGATTCAAACCCCACATGGGACAACACTTTGTGTGATCCACAAATTGTTGTTCTGAGTCTGGGTGTTCTTTGTGTCCATTTCATGTATGTTTGTAAAGTCCCCCGCGACACAGGATATATTCCTAATGCGGGAGTTGTCTCTATAAAAAAAGAAAAAGATATTTTACTTTGGATTATTACACTTACCTTCTGAAAGAAACAACACATGTGATCGACGACTGTCCTCGAATATTTCTGTAGGATGTAACTTAGGGTACAGTGAAATGAATTATTTTGTAAATATGTACTGTTTAACGAAAAAATGAATTACAGAACAGTTATAATGTGGTATTGCTAATATTTTGAATCTATGAAAATAAACAAAGAAATGAAAAATCCTGCTAAAGATAATACAGCAGTTTGTTTTAGCTACGGTATTATGGGGGTCAGCTAGCTCTATAACCATGTTCTAAAACACATCCAGCTTTTATTAGCTTAAAAAAATTGTTGTAAAAAATTGATGGGAAAAAAGATTGATACTTAAATATGATTGGTTGTGATTAGGGTCCTTTTAAGTTTTAATTATAAATTCTTTTGTTTATATATTTCAGACTTATGAATGGGATAAAGCCACACAAGAAATAATACTGTTTTCTTTCTTCGTGGGGTACACCAGTATGCAAATACCAATGGGTTGGTTAGCGCAGAAAGTTGGGGGCAAGATACCAATTATGATAGCACTGGCTGTTAGCGGAATACTATCTATTCTTACACCTTGGATTCCTCTAATTGTGAGTACCTATAATTTTTGCTTGAACATTAAAAATTATCTGCATTATGGACCGAAGGGAAAAGTAGATGCATATTTATTGCCTACATTTTTGACTGACTTCAAAAAATAGTATTATATGAGAAGAATTGTTTTCGTTATTTTTGGACTTGGCACCAACTTCAAACACTTCACTAGGTGTCTAGCGCATATATTATTTTATTCAAATTAATAAATAACTTGTTTAGACAAGAATTGACACATTTTAATAGTATAAATAGAAAATTATAAAATGGTATTAGGTATTAAAATAGTTTATCGTAGGTCTTAGTTAGTTAGTTAGTCTTAGTAGGTGTTTAGTTTAGTTGATTTTTTTACTGGCATTGTAATAGAAATTTTATTTATAGGTTTAGGTAGGACATCGTTATTAAGACCAATATTTTTTTATTTTTAGTTTCTGGGTGTTTTAGCAGGCAGTTTCTTTTTTATTTAAAAATAAATTATGTCAATTATAATCTTAACTCTATTTACGTAATAATTAGCTAGCCTATAGCCGTTAACCAAGCTTTTTTGAAATAAAATGTGATAATTGGGAGCGTAAGAATAAGGAAGAGCAGATAATAAGTGTAAGCAATGGCAGGAAATTAAATTCTGACGTGAGTTTATTAGAGAAGGAAGAAATAGACTAAACAGTTGAAGGTCGCATGCGTGTTGCTCGAATTGACTATTGTCAGAAACTTTGAGCCTTCTAATCTGTTTTTATGTTCAGAGATATTAATCACAAATTTTAGATTTTAGAGAAGGTATCATTTGTCACACTAATTATTTTCATAAAATATGGTTACTGAATATTCACATATTTGATCTAGTTATACAACCATCAAATTACCATTAGGCTTGACTATTACGTGTTTAACTCCCATTGTTCTTGTTTAGCGTGCGGTATTAAGCAGAACAAATGGAAACAGCTCACAAGCTATGTGAGCTGTTTCATGTAAACGTTCATCAGCATTTTCGGAATCCATAATGTTACATTACGGCTCGGTGATAACACTATTGTTCTGTGATATATATTCCAGTTTCACCTCTGTGTTCAGCCTCTCGGTAAATTTGGATGCATTGAACGAATGTGTGATGCAGAATGTAATTTAATTTGCATATTTGTAGCCTGGCCATTAGGCTCCCCAAATACCATCTATTTTCGAAGACTTTGTTAGTCTTTATTAGTTTCTAGTTCTATAATATTAGTACTTTTTATTTCAACATTTCTTATTATTTTGAACTGTTTTTAGACTTCATGGATAACAGATGCGAGTGACTATAATTTATTATTATCTATAACTCATACATTTCGTATGTTTATATTAACTGATAACAGGATACTGTGCTTGGCTATTGACAAAGCACAAAGCGCGTTGAAAATCATTCATCTGGCTATTAAAATCGTGAGGTTGCGTTTGACAATTGTTTTTTTTCTCCAGGGCGGATGGATGGGTGTGACAGTTTGTCGTTTAATTCAAGGCATGACTCAAGCTGCTTTCTACCCTAGCCTGCATACAATATTAGCCCGATGGACACCGCTAAGCGAAAGAGGAAGACTCACAGCTTATACATATACAGGTATAATACTACTGCTTCTATGAAAATTAAACGTACTTTGATAAAGGACATCAAGGAATAATTAGTGCGTCTTAATTGCAATAAACTATATTACGATATATATGTATATGATATTAAAGCAACGATCAGACGTAAAAAAAATCAACTTTTTGACTTAATGTTATACAAATAATGTCAGTTTGACATATTCACGTCAAATTTTAAGTCATTTTTAGTTTATCCCCTCGGATAATACCACCCACCGGTAGTTATGTTTGTTTGGTGGTAAAATGGTAATACAAAAATTTTAAAAACAAATATTTTCTTTATCAGGTTCTCAAATAGGTACAATCATTGCCTTCCAAGTATCGGGACTACTTGCCGGCAGCCCAGTACTCGGATGGCCATCCTCATTTTGGGTATTCGGCATCCTAAGCCTCGTGGTGTGTGGTCTATTTGGCTGGCTCGGTGCCGCTACTCCCCACGAACATCCAAAGATTACTACTGAAGAGCTCGTGTACATTTTAGAAGGGGGTAATGCTGACGTCGTGCCTAAGGTAAATGGAACCATATTGACAAAAGACCAATTTTGTTTTTTATTCTATGAAGTCTTGACGTATATTATATTCTGTATAGCATAATCCAATCATTGTGGCCTCTCGAATCTTAGAAGTGACATAAGGAGACGCAACTCGCGCTACTGCAGTCTCCGTTCCCCTTCTCCATCCAAAACTTGTGGTACCCTTACTCTAGCTCTCTCATTCCTTCATTTTATTTAACCCGAATTATTTTCTTTTCCATCCCTTCTGAAAAGGATTAAATTAGATTAAAAGATTCTGACGTCAGGCAAGCAACTGGCCATAAAACAAACCAGCCAAAACCCTTCAGAATTTTAGACATTGGAAAAAAGTGGAATGTGATAAAGCAATTTCCATACCAAATTAATAAAAATTATACCCTTCATAATGAGAAAAAGTAACTGTGACTCTAATAAATAATTTAATCCATGAAAATAAACTAGATTAAATTAAGTAAAGTTCCAGACAAAAGCAAGGATCGTCGTTTTTGTTAATGCTTTAGCTCCAAAAATTTACATACCTACTACGTCAAATTTGACGCATGTAGACGTCACAATATGACACGATATAGTGTAACTATAAATATTTAGTGTAGGTGTGTATTCGGGGCACCAAGGATTTCCTTTCTAAGGTACACCTGGTTCCCCCACTCTGGTATCTGAGACGGCGTGCGGTTTTAGTCGGTTCGAGTCCGACATTGCCACCGGTAAGTGGTATCCAAGGGAATTTCCGCACAGAAAAAAAAAGGTGCTTATTTTCTATATTTCAATGTGTGTTTTACTATCGTGATAATGTATACTACATAATATTGTACGTAACTTCTATAATAGTTATTAGTGCCCTAAATAAGTAGAATCGGAACAGAATACCACAGTTCCAACACATTTTAATATAAAAGTATTTTTTTTTTTTGTTTTTTTTTTTAACGGGGTGGAAGATCCTCATGGATGTCCTTCGCCCAGTGGGGAATGGCGAAGGGGTCTGTCGGACTCTTACCGACTAAAAACCAAATATAAAAGCTATATTTTTACTTATAAGAAATAGAAAATACCTTAACTTAAGTATATACCATGACTTGCTTTTGATATTAATGGTAAAATGTTTTTTGTATTAATTAATTCTTAAACAAGGAACTTTAAGTATTTAGGAATACTTCCATAAATTTTAATTAACTGTCAAAACAAGATTTCCCTAAATATTTTGTGTTGCTTAAGTGTCATTAATACGGTTCGTACAATGAATAATTATTTAAATAAAAAATTATGTCCTCAACGTCCTGAATTACAAACAAAATTATATTCATTAGACTATTTTCTTTGATCCCAAGCATTTTAAGGTAAATAATGAAGAAATAAAAAGAAGTCAAGAGTGATTGATCTTCCCGACTATATTTTTTCTATTTCATTTCCAGTATCTAATATTTGATAGCTAATATAAAAGTCTTTGTAAATTTAGTAATTCACAGCAATTATCATAATCATGCATATGACTAAGCTATAAGCACAAATAATATTGTACCACATTCACACAACGCCGTCTAGTCCCAAACTAAGCAGAGCTTGTACTATGGGTACTTGACAACTGATATAAATACATAAATACTTTTTTTTGTAAATACATACATATCTATTATATGTATGTATTTACAAAAAAAAGTATATAGAAAAGGAAATAGAAACAAATATTACTGAACATCCTATTTTGAGTAGAAATGCCCAATGAAAGTTGAAGGTATTATAAAAAATATTAGAAGAAAAATAACAAAACTTATTCTATACTGCTCTCTTATAGAAAGAGATCTTTTTAAAATACGATAAAAATGGCCTACACATACTTGAAATACAGGAATACTACCTGAACTATGTTCATGTCCTACATTAGTAGCCTAATCAGTACAGGGAGATGCTAGGTTGTATAAGTATTTCTAAACCACAATATCCTACGGAACGAAAGGTTTACAAGACCTGACATAATTTGATATGGTTCTTTAGTTGTATTCACATAGTTGTCAGTCGCATATATGTTATAAAAGTATAATTGTTTTATTAATTGCACAGAAACGCAAAACCCCATGGCGCGAAATCCTAAAGAGCCCATCCGTCTGGGGAATAGTGATCACACAGTCTGGCAGCTCAGTAGTCTATCTGCTCGTCCTGACAGAAATACCCTTATACATGAAAAATATTCTCGGAGTCGACATTAAGAGGGTAAGTAGGGTGTGATTAAATTTTTCTAATTCAATTTTTATTCTTGTTGATCTCAATTAAAATAGTAACAACATTTTGTCTGTAGGTACTTATCTATGCAAATAAATAAAATTGGAGTGTCTGTTTGTAATATTAAAATAACCGCTTTTTACTAAATGCATATGTATGTTTACACGGTACATATGCCAAAATAACATTTTTTACCATTTTTGTCTGTCTGTCTGTCTGTCTGTTTGGTCCGGGTAATCTCTGAAACGGCTGGACCGATTTCGACGGGACTTTTACTGGCAGATAGCTGCTGACATAAGGAGGAACTTAGGCTACTTTTTTTAGACTAGCTTCACAATGTTCTGAAGAAAGTAGGTTTCTTACAAAAATACAGAGTAAATTATATAGTATATTTTAGTTTAAAATAACAATGCATTGCTTTAGAGTATACTTGCTAGAGGATTTTCTCTACTTTACTAATGATGTTGAAAAACAAATGTAAACAAAGAAAAAATCGAAATTTATGAAAGTATCTTTATAATTCTCGGACTTCTTGAGAGAAGTCCGAGAATTATAAAGAAAAATAAATAAATGTCAAATTATTTTGGAATTTAAGTAAATAGATAAAGTTCAAGAGAGTCCTTGCAATTAGGAAGTTGATTAATTATAATTCACTGTAAAATTGTTTTAAAACTTTCCATGAATGGGCCAAAAATTTCAGAGGAATTTTAATGAATTGAAGAAATAATTGGCTAACATTATTCCTCATTTCCTAGAAGTTTTGTATAAACTGTTCAAATTATTGTTTAACTTTTTCATTTACTTTTGATCTAAGAATAAATTTTGGCTCCTAGCATTGGCATTGTGACTCCTAGAACATAAAATTATCTTTTTCATTTTATTTGACTGATGTTGTGATTTTTTTAAGTTATTTTGTCAATGAATTATTGTAGATTTTAGTTTACTAGACTTACCAATCATTTCGTACATTTACGTTATTAAATAGCAGAACTTATATGTATAGAATAAATATACAGTGATATGTTAGTTTAAGAGATTTATAAAGAAAGTCTGACTATTTAACGAACAAGAGACTAGACATTGTTTAATACCAAAATGGAAATGAAATGTCCAGATTAGTTCGAAAATTCCCGCATAAAACCAATAACAAGAAATAATGAAATAACAAACAAACCGTAATGTGTTTAAATGACTAATTAAAACATCATGAGATCTTAAAATCACAGTTTAAAATCCTACAGTGATAATCCACTTACTATACAGGTTTTAGCGATATTTGAAATCATACTATTTGGGCCAAAACCATATCAGGGATAGTCTTACAATGTAGAAAAATCTAAAGACATATCATTAATCGAAATTTAATTAGACAATTAATTCAAAATATAACCCAACTTCTTTAACAAATCGTCTAAAAACAAAATCACTGAAATTAGTAAAAAGAAGCTTTTTAAATTTTCTTTTGCATATTCAAAGTACTGAACTGTGCTGTAACTGAACAGCTTGACAACTGTGTATGTATTTTACTCTATTAAAAAACCCATGAGCAAACCAGGATCAGGAATCAGACAGACATATTTTTTAACAGTTTACCCAAAATGTAATGATCTTTTCAAATACTCATAAATAAATGTTACCTATAATGTACTCTGTATAGCCATTAATACTTATTGACATCTTGCAAAGTTTAATGATATCTTATTACTTTAATTCTTTAATTCATGATACTTTATTGCATTGAATTTATTGGCTATTTCTGTGTGATTGTATGAATTATTAGTTATTTGTAATTTATATGAATAATTTAATGTATTGCTTTGTATAATGATCTGTGGTCTGTATATCTGATCCAATGTAGTTTAGCATATAAGCGTTTTGGTTGTGAGACTGAACTTGTAATGTTATTTAAATAAATACTAAATCAGGGTTCCAAAATCTAACCATTTGTTTTATATTTCAGAATGGCTTGTATTCGTCTCTTCCATATTTAGCTATGTACCTCATGTCTGTGGGTTTCGGAAATTTGTCAGATTTCTTAAGAAATAGAAATATCATGTCACTTGTTAACATCAGGCGTGCTGCAAACACTACTGGTAAGTTTTGCTATTTTTTTTTGTTCATCTTCTTTTCTTGTTACATATACAGGTCCAAAACCTTCAAACACATAAGCAAATAAGAACTCATACACATGGTAAAGTACTATAATGACCTAAGGTTTTTTTACAGGAACGGTGGTATCTGGAATTTTCTTATTAGCATTCAGTTTTATGAGCAGTACGTTACCAGCTGTTATTCTCTTGATTGTGTCATTGGGAATGCATTCAGGAATACATGCTGGATTTGTCGTAAGTAAACCTTATAAGTAAAAATATACCTATTTACTCTGTGTTAAGAGATAAAACTTTACATATTTTTCAATATAACGATATTTCTATATATATTTCGATTTTCTATTTTATATACATATTATATTTTATAGCTTCCGGCTAATATAGGCCAATATATCCAATGCTTAAGGAGTAATAAAAAGAAAATAGAGAGCTGATCCAAATACTAATATGAATAACCAAAGTGATGTATGAAAACCGTTTTTAGTTAAACAATAAATTTTGATTGACTTTAAAGTCATCCATCTGTGGAGTCCACAGATTCATCATTACTCAACCCTTCTCATCAATGTTTGAAGTCTTGGTTGAGTGACCTGTTGGTCTACGAAGAAGTGATACTGACCAATAAGCCAGTGGTCGTGTGTTAGATTACCTCTCTTTTTTTTTTCACATCTCACACACGGCCGTCTGATCCCAAACTAGGCAGAGCCTGTACTATGGTAATCAGACTGCTGATAAACATACTCAGACATAGAACAAATAATCGTGCTCATCACACAATTATTAGTCCTGGGTGGGAATCGAACCCACGACCTCCAGCTTAGCAGTCAGGGTCACTAACCACTAGACCAACAGGCCCGTCAAATAATTGTATTATACAATACAGTGCACCATGACTTGTTCTATCTCTCGGTATAATTTATCTAGTAATTGTATATTTATTAGCAGTATGTGTGGTCCGTGTGGTGACGGATTAAGAATACGGAATGTCATCACCCCAAAGGGAACTACGCAGGACAACTGCACTGCAAAGAGAAGGAAAACTTGAAACAAACCCTACAGCAACGAGTCTGGCCAGCATGGTATAAGTAGGCCAAACCCTCCTTTCTAAGGAGAGGGCTATGTCCAGCATATATGTGGACTATAAAAGGCTGTTGATGATATCAGCAGTATGGGAAACATAGAGCAGCGACATTACTCATAGCGGGCTTACTGAAATTAATATCTAATAAATGATATCTAATTTGTTTTAGGTCAACATAATCGATTTGGCTCCTAACTTTGCCGGATCAATAATGTCATTAAGTAATATGTTAGGTAGTTTAACTACCTTACTTATTCCTGTGGTCGTCTCGAACATCGTTACGGACGTGGTGAGTCAGTGAGAATTTGTCCTAGTTAATGATATCGTTAGTGATCCTAATGACAGTAGTCTCTTCACTTGGTATAAGATTTTTTAACTGTAAACATATAACTTGCGTGCAACTTACTCGTGGAGCAGTACTTATGATGGATTTGTTACTATAAATAAAATACCATACTTTCTCAATTCTATTTAATACCATAATATGACTGTCTATTTCAACTTGTTCACACTTCCTGTTCTGTTCTGCTTCCAATTATTTTGGAATGTGTTTATTTTCATTTACAACCTTTTCTCGAAAGTGTATATGCAGGCAAGATGTGTATGTACATTGTACATTTATTGTTATTATTTATGTTATATTTATTAATATAACATAAATAACAATAAAAAACATTATTATTTTAAAACAAATTTTAATTAAATTAATTTAATTTAATTACTAAAATATATAATAATAATTATTATTTATTTAATTTAATTATTATTTTATTTTATTTTTTTTTAATTTAATTTTTTTTTAAAACAAATTTTTATAAAGTGTATGTTCAAAAATGTAAATAATATGTATATAAAGTAAATAAAAAATAATAATAATAATCGTTTATTTCGGACCGTGGTGATGCTGTCCATAGTGTTAGTGTATTAGTAACAATTTGCTTATAATTAAGTTAGTATTATTAGTATCATTACATTAAATTAATTTCATATTATACCTATGACTACCTTTACCCTTTTATAGAAGTTCTTCATTTTTTTTTATATTTGTTTATTTCTTAGACGAACCCGCAGCAGTGGCAAATAGTGTTCATCATTTGCGTAGGCTACAAGTTCATCACCAATGCACTTTTCGTTATCTTCGCCAGTGCGGATGTACAGCCATGGAACTTTTATGGTGAAGTGGAACATGGTAAATACAGATTCAGTAAACTAATAACTAACATCTTCAAATTTTTAGGTGCAAAAATAAAAAGTTTCGTTTGCTAAAGGATACCCGAATTTATTGCTAAAATATAATGTGCAAAACACAATAATAATTATTTGTGTCAAAAGTTGTGTTAGCGAATAATTACTTGGCTTACGAATAATTGTAGCGGGTTCGACATAAACCTGTCCGACCGTGAGCCTACTCCAAAACTACTTAGCTTACTTAACAAGAATATCAGTAATGTGGGACCAAAATGACTTGGGTTCTTTCAAAACATCAGCGCATTTCATTTTTCATTACGCATTCATGCACCTCAGTTTAAGTACCAAAAATATGGTGGACGATTTATACGACATGTATTGTTTTATACCTACCGATATATCTACATGCGTCTATGTACTATATCACTATAAACATGTGCCATATATTGAGTAAAAATTTTGCCAGGTTTCGTATTTAGTTACTTGTATTTGAATTTATTATCATCTTCATCGAAGTAGTAACTGAGGAGGTTAACACCTTGCAAAGTTAAGCAATCCTAGCCAGGTGAGTCTAAGGATGAGACCATTTTTAACGATTTGAGACCCGTACGTGCCTAGGAGAGCACGGTTTCCATTCGAATATCTGTGATGCCACGTTACGGGTAGTCGGATCCCTAAAACGTCCGACAATAGTCTTTCTAAAGAACTTCGATTAAACATAATTTCGAATACACGACCTGATACGAGTACGCGGCCTCGAGATTCTACAGCCTCAATCCCGTTTCCTATCCAACAGTTGGGGTATCCTGTACCGTAGCTCCCTCGCCTTATCTGTTTTCCTTACCCTAATTTATCTTCCCTTTTTTTCCGTGTATGTAAATAATTATACTCGTAACATACAGCAGACGCAAAAAAATTAGTCAAAACCGTTTCAAATGTTTCATGTTGAACCGGCCTCAAATAACATTGGGAAAGATAGAACGAGAAGAAAATGGCTTCTGTTTCTCTTCTTAATTCTCAAAAAGCTAAGATGAAAATAAATCTTCAAATAACCCATGAAATGTTATAAATTGAGTGTAATTATTTTTACTTAATAGTATTTTACTCAAAAATACTTCGACCATTGCATTTATCCTCAAACCCTATATTTCAATATAACTTTAATTTAGATACAATATAGTGCCTCATTAAGCAAGCGTTAAATGAAATTATGTAATTATATAAATAAATAAATACTGCCATACAGTCATTTATTAAAAGTTGAAATCTACAGTAACGTAAATTGCCTTCTAAATGAAATTAATTGAACGATTTATGTTTTCGGCACTGTCAAAATTATAGTGATTTTAACAAATTTATTTGGCTGTTTTTGGTTTAATTAAAGTCTTTTCTATTATTTTTTTCAGATTCAGAAGATAAAGAAATGAATTTAATAGAAGAAAAGAGTGTTAAAGAAAAGGAAATGAATCAGGCAAACTAAAGTCAGAAATTAAAAAAATATTTATTGAAATAAATCATCTCTTTACCGACTATTATTAGGTCTGGTAGGAGAGATTAGTTAATTTGGACCAATTATTTGATTTATTCTAAGGTCAGTTAGAAACTTGAATATCCTTTGGATAGATTTGTTATTTTAGCGTATTATAACACTTAGACAGCTATCTGAGCTGCAATGATACCACAGTCTAATAGAAAACTGTTATGAAACCCAGAACGGGCGTACCCGTGTGGTCAAAAGCTCCTTTTGACCAGCTTTTTGCTTTAGAGATATCTTACCTAGAATTAGGAGAGGGCTCTAATTTGACGGGCCTGTTGGTATAGTGGTTATTGACCTTGACTGCTACGCCAGAGGTCGTGAGTTCGATCCCCCCCCAGGACAAATAATTGTGTAATGAGCACGGTCATTTGTTCTGTGTCTGTAATTAATGTAATTTATCTATAATATGTATGTATTTATTTGGCTGTGTGTGAGCTGTATAAGGTTTATTAAATTATTCTTCGGGGAAGGGCTCTCGAACATCGACCACTCACTTGTAACTATTGAGCACCGAGTGTCCATGGGCAGCGTTGACTTAAACTAAACCATGAAAAAGTCTTTTACATTTCGACTTACTGAACATTGTAAGCGACTATTTTTCATAATTTTTGGCTTGTAATGTGTCAGCTGTTTGTGTTTTTTTTTTGTTCTAGTTTACATATTAATAATTATTGAAGTCATTGTTTAGTTATTTTAAGTTTTTTCCAAAGACTCGTTAATGGTAATATTGTATTACATATTTAATAGTTGTGGTTACATGTTTAATGCTTACTTTTATAATTTGGTACCTTATTATAAGCTTTTTTTTAAATATTGTATTTTATTTCATACCTTAACTTTGTCGTTCCCGCTCATTAACCGACTTCCAAATAAAAGAAGGTTCTACATTCGGCTGCATGTATATGTTTAAATGTATGTACATCGATATTGACGTCATCTATGGAACGATTTAAAAAAATATTGTTAGTATGAAAGGCTGTCAACAGTTGTCCCCTTTATCACCAGATCCAGAAAAAAAAAATCAATTTAAAACTTATAATTAGCGCTCGGAAAAGTGACTGTGACGTACATGCATTGGTATGTTTAGAATGGGAAGGTTAAGTTTGTCTTTCGAAAAAAAAAAGAATACGGAATGTCATCACCCCTATTCATCCCGAGGGTTTCGCAAGAGACGACTAAGGGAACAAACTACGCAGAACAACAGCACTGCAAAGAGAAGGAAAACTTGAAACAAACCCTATACTCGTCTGGCCAGCGTGGTATAGTAGGCCAAAAACTCCTTTCTGAGGAGAGGCCTATGTCCAGCAGTGGACTAGTATAGGCTGTTGATGATGATGATGATGAGGAACTTAAGGAATTATTATCATAGTCTTCACTAAAACCATCTGAAAATTGTTATAACAGTCAACATGCATATGATAGATTTTATATTAATGTGGTTTACTGCAGGCTATGTCCATAAATACCCTAATTTAAAAAAAAAAACTCAAAACAGAACGAACTAGCTTTTGTGTTTGGCTTTGATCTCGTTCATTGGGATTTTTCCTTTGTGAACCTATATCCTATTCCAGACTAAAATCTCTGTATCGAATTTCACCTAGTTCCATTCAACTCTTCTAGTGTAATTGTAACAAACACCCATACATCCATTCCAACTCTTCGTAAAATTATTAATATTTAGATTACAATTAAACCTCAAAAGAACATGCCTTTAAAAAGTCTTCTAAGCATCGTGGACTTTACATTTATTTTAAAGGTAATGTAGAACTATCTTTTCCAATGTATTTTTATTTATTCTAAAGAGATTTTCAGATATATTAGAATTAGAAAAGTTAAGATATTATGTGATTCTTGGAACTCAAGACAGTGTAAAAACCGTAAGTTGCCAATAGAATACAGACGGGAATGTTTAACTAGTAGTTACTAGCCCTAACTGGAAAACCGGAGGTCGTTTGATTGTCTCCCACCCAGGACAAATATTGTGTGATGAGCACGATCATTTGTTCTGTGTCTGGTTGTAGTTTATCTATAATAATATGTATGTATTTAGAAATTTATAAGTATGTTTAACAGCAGGCTAGTTACCATTACACAGGCTCTGCCTAGTTTGAGATCAGACTGCCGTGTGTGACACGTGTGAAGTTATTATAAAATACCACTGGTATTAAAGGTTCCGTAAAGGTCCATGTGGTGACGGATTAAGAATAGAGAGTGTCACCACCCCTATTCATTCATCCCTATTCATTCAACTACAACTACAACGCAGAAAAACAGCACTGAAGAGAGAAGGAAAACTTGTCACAAACCCTATACCAACCCGTCTGGCCAGCGTGGTATACTAGGTCCAAACCTCCTTTCTAAGGAGATGCTTATGTCGAGCAGTGGACTGTTAAAGGCTGTTGATGATGAAGGCTTCCACTATGATGTAAAAACCTTGCTTAGACAATCTGTCTATCAATGTGTTAAAGTGACATACGGTGAGCCTATACTCATTTATTTTCTCTCAGAAACCATTATTTTATCAATTTGTAAACAACTTTCAAACAAACAATAGATACTAGATTAAAATAACAAATTGCACTTTGATTCACTGCGTGGAACCATGGCAGTTGATAAAGTCGTATACGATTCTGTTCCAACAAATGAAAGGAATCTTGGTGAGCTTAAAACATTAACTTAAACTATTGAACTAGAAACAAACTATTGAAATAAAGATATGGTCATTAATGACTATATCATTTTATTGTTTAAAAAGATTTTTGTGTTGTAAGTTTTAAAGTTTGTTTTCAATGGAAGCGCCCTATGTCCAGCAGTGGACTGCGATAGAATGATGATAATGTAGTTTTACCGAGATGATAAGGAACGGTTCTTAATTTATCAGAATTAATAATTTATGCAATTTCTATTGGCTATTTTAACTCGAAGTTTGACTATGTGCAATGTCTATCACAATAATTTCTAATATCCTTAAGATACCTTCTAGAAGTAATAAAATAAGTATTCACAATCAAATGCAAATTTCTAATTTTTAAATATATATTTTTTACATAATGTACATTTGTTCCAAATTCCAATATCCATACTAATATTATAAATGCCAAAGTGTGTCTGTCTGTCTATTACCTCTTCACGCTTAAATCGCTGAACCAATTTAGATGACATTTACAAAATGACATACTTTGATTCTTGAGAAAAGACATAGGCTACTTTTTACCGACATTTTCCGAACCGCGGGCAAATATCTTATAAAAACAGTATCTTTGTATTAATTTCCTAAAAGGATGCAAACCTACGAATAAATTGTATTATTTTTTGTTTGCAAGAATCTTTTGTGCATACCTCTCCAAAAGGATGGGGAGTCAGGCACGTACAAATTCTCCTCATATTCTTCTGCCTCGTCATGGGTCTTTCAATGAGATCCCAGCTCAGTGTCCTTATGGTTGCTATGATCAACACTACTGATCATGAACACTACAGCATCGCCAACAGGAGTATACCAAGTAATAGTACTAGCATAATTGGTGATAATAGTGAAGGTTACAGCAAAGTGCAGAATATTAGTCCTTGGAGCGTATACCGCGTAAGTATATTTAAGATCAAAATTTTATAAGTCACAAAAAGTTTAAGAGTCCAACTCCTCCAATTTTCTTCTGATTAATTTCGTTGCGGGTTCCAAGACAGTTTAATTTCTTCCTGGAACTTCCCGAGTGTCATAACTCGGTGTGTTCGTGGGTCACTGCTGTGGATCCTGGTGTACAGGAGTTACAGTGGTGGGTGTGCGGGTGGGATTGGTCCCAATAAAAAAGTCACAAAAAATGGATGCTCGTACTAAAAGATAGGGTAAAAGAGAACTTGTTAGTTAAAATACTTACATAACCAAAGATTACATGGTCTAACTAATTAAACAGGGCACTAAGTATAATGATCGGTGTATTTGAATAAAGTCAAATTGGGTACATGGCACAACTTGACTGGGATACTGGGATTGAAATTTATATTTATTTCAACCCCAGTATTTAGCGTATAGTCTAGTCTTTAATACTTGTATTATAAATTTGAAAGTGAGTTGATTTTTACACCTTCACGCCTATATCACTAAACCGATTTCAAAAATGCTTTCACTAATGGAAAGGTACATTATCAGCGAGTAATAAAGGATACTTTTTACCGCGATGACCGACATTCTTGCAGGCGGAGACGCGTCCAATAGCTAGTAATAAATATTACCAAGTAACTGTTGGGACTAAGGAGCATAATGAGCATAAGTAGATACGTGTTCTGTTTAAAGTTCAATTTTATGTTAGAGGGGGCAGACGAGCAAACGGGTCACCTGATGGAAAGTGACTATCGCCGCCCATGAACGTCTGCAACTCAGTACGCTCTTTTCTTTTTTATAAAGTCATTCAATCTTTTGACGACCGGATGGCGTAGTGGTTTGTGTAACGAACTGCTATTCCATAGGTCGCGGGTTCGAATCCCGGTCAATTCAAACATTTGTGTGCATGAACATTTAATGTTTGATCTGATCTGTGTGTTTCTATGTATAATTAGTTACAAAAAAAAAGAAAAAAATATACATGTAAACTACAAGCTCTGCTTAGTTTGGGACTAGATGGCGTTGTGTGAACGTGGTATAATATTATATTATATATTATTATTAATGTGATTGAAATATTCTAAAACCCTTAAAATAATTTGTACTTAAAGTGAAAAAAAAATAATTCTTATGGAGTAATGTAGAGCTGAAATAAGAAGGATAATGAAGAGAAAAGAAGCTTAAAAAATATGAAATCAGAATAAACATTTTACCAGCCTGAAGTTATAACTATTTGCCTGTGTATTCTTGTTTTTTTAAATTTCAGACGTATGAATGGAACAAATCAACGCAGGAAATAATAATGTATTCTTTCTTCGTGGGGTATACCAGTATGCAAATGCCGATGGGTTGGTTCGCCCAGAAGTTCGGAGGCAAGATACCTATCATGGTCGCCTTGGGTGTCAATGGAGTCTTGTGTATTTGTACACCTTGGATTGTTTTGATGGTGAGTACCTGGCTAGTTTGTCTGTACAGGTGTATTGACTGTACTGTTGCCTTGTGAAAAAAATTGCATCTGACAGAATTAATTGTACAATATTCATTTTTAAATTGTAAAAGACGATGCTTTGGCATAGGACTCATTCCGCTTCCTAACTGCTATGCATGTTTAAAAATATCCGCGCCGTCAGTTCTGTTCTGTGTCTCTCTCTCTCTCTCTCTTAAAAATATTTTTATTCTTGTTTTTTAATTTCTATTACTTTCTTTTGAAGTATTTTTTCGATGTTTTCAATGCTATATTGAAATTTATTTGAACTAGGTTCATGACGTTGTCCAATAAACAGCTTACTTATTTTTTCGTTTGTTGTTGTAAAACTGATTTCAGATTTCTTTCAGGGAGGATGGATAAGCACATCAGTCTGTCGCCTTCTACAAGGCATGACGCAAGCTGCATTTTATCCAAGTATGCATACTATGTTAGCCAAATGGACTCCACTTAGAGAAAGGGCAAGACTTACCACTTATGCATATTCTGGTTTGTGAAATTTGTTTTATTAAATAATAAAAGTGGGTTAAGATTTTTCTTAAATACTCCTTCTACTTTCTAAATACTTCGTTACTACATAAATCTCCTTCTAGATTAAAAACCTTAAATGTTTATTTACCAGGTTCTCCAATAGGTACAATCATCGCATTCCAGATATCAGGATTTCTGGCAGATAACCCAGCATTCGGATGGCCAGTGTCCTTTTGGCTATTTGGATCCCTCAGCCTGATAGTATGCGGTCTATTCGGTTATTTTGGAGCTGCATTACCTCATGAACATCCAAATATTACTAGTGAGGAACTTGTTTACATAATGGAGGATTGTGACGCTGATATGGTGCCAAAGGTAAAAGATATTCTGATCAGCTGATGACAAGATTCTGTACATATTGTTTAACTCCTTAGTTGCATTAGCACTATGACTACATTAAGTATAATAGTAAGGTTAGTTTTTAGGGTTCCGTACCTAAAAAGGTAAAAAAGGAACCCTTATAAGATCACTTTTTTGTCCGTCTGACCGTGTGTCCGTGTGTCACCACGGATTTTCTCAGGAACGGGTAGACCACCTAGCAAGTTGAAATTTATACCAGATACTGAGGTCAATGGTTCCTATTAGGTGTATAAAAATCAAGGTCCTGAGTCAACACGATAATAAGATATGGGAAAATTTCGATTTTCGCCAAAACTTGTAAGTACCAAAATTTACGTTAATTTTCAACTTTTTTTATTTTTCAGAATTTTCTCTTTACTTGTGCTGTAAGACCTTACTTTTAACTAAAATTGACAATTCTATGTCAAACCGGAAGTACCCTATAGGTTTTGGGTCGAAAACCTATATGGTAGTTCCCGTTGACCTAGAATCAAGAAATTTGGCAAAAAGTATATCTTTGCCAAATTTCGTGATTCTAGGTTTTACAGCACAAATAAAGAATTTATTACAAAAAAAAATTGAAAATTAAGAAAAATTTTGGTACTTACAAATTTTCGCGAAAATCTACGTAAAATCTGGGTAGGTACGGAACCCTCGGCGCACGAGTCCGACTCGTAACTGACCGGTTTATTTTCTTAATGTTGTTCGTGTTTATTATGTTGAACGCCAATTTAACATTGGACACATACTGTCTATATATAATTTTCATTACAAAAAAAGAAAAGAAACAAGTTCCTTCAATAGGCATACTCATTTAGTAACCTTGATTTTAACCTTTAAGGTGTTTTTGTATGTCCGTTGTTAACTATGTAATAGTGTCATTACAATGCGTGAATTGATTCCAAAGGCACTTTCTTCGTTAGTTGTAAGTTCAAAGCAATTTCCTTTGTAGAATATCCTCTTGGCTAGAGTTAGTGGGCAATAGTTCAAATTATTAGTTTGAAAAGATGTAATTAAAGCATGACAAATTAGGCACCTACTACATTACTTTTCATGATTGTGAGAACTTGTGTGAGACACTTAAACAATATCCTTGGATAAAATGTTTCTTCTCAAAATCGTTTGAAAGACAAACAGGGGAATCATTTGGATTTAGTTCAGATTCAGACTTAATATCTGAAATATAAAATACTTTTCTGTAAAAGAAGTTAATTAACAACATCACCCATGTGTTTTAAATCAATTTGTACGTTACTAAAGGCTTTTAATTGAAAAAACAATTTCAGGATTTTAATAATAAAACACTACGAAAAAATACTTTATAAAGAACTGAAACTTCCAATATTTGTTTTCATTTAAAGTTTTTTATAGTGTTCTAAGTATAATTTATAATTAATATACCCTGAAATTTATTTGAAATTCGACAGAGACGCAAAACTCCCTGGAGAGAGATGTTGAAATGCCCATCAATTTGGGGCATTCTGATCACACAGTCCGGCAGCAGTGCAGCATCTTTACTTATTATGGCTGAAACACCTTTATACATGAGGAATGTTCTTGGCGTCGAACTCAAAAAGGTAACAGACGTTTTTATTATATAACTAAAACTTTTAGTGAAAGTATCTAAGACTTACCGTGGGAGAGCCATGCTTCGCCATAAATAGGCTGCCATGATCAGATTGACACCACGGCCTTACAGAAAACCGCTCTTAAATTTTTACCATCAGCTTCAAGATGATGAAATCTAAAATTTGCTTTTCAGTTTCAGCACGAAAATCTTAGTTTTACTAGAATTTTATGCTAAGTAAATATACTCATAATATATCATAATATATACTCATACGTAATTTCAATACGACAATTAGTAGTCCGTTTAATTGATTTTCAAGATTGTTTGCCACATACTAAAAGCATTAACCGTGTAGTGACGGATTAAGAATACGGAATGTCACTACCCCAATTCTTCACGGGGTGTCGTAAGAGCCGACTAAGGGTGCAAAACAACGCAGGACACCAGCACTGCAAAAAGAAGGAAAACTTGACACAAACCCTATACCAACCCGTCTGGCCAGCGTGGTATAGTAGGCCAAAACCTCCTTTCTAAGGAGAGGCCTATGTCCAGAAGTGGACTATAAAAGGCTGTTGATGATGATGATGAAAAGCATTAAAAAATGTCGTAGGTAGTTTCCAATCATCAAAAGATTCCTAATGATACTGCCTACACACATACATAACAAAAGGTCGCACGGTTCAATATGAGTTTATGTTTGCTTGCACGATTTGTTTTCAAAAAATTTAATTGTTTCGAAACCTTTACCATTTATTTCTATATTTTGGTGGTATTGTTCTTTTTAAATTACTATTTGAGATAAGGAATTTTATAAAACAAAGATATTAAGTAAATAATGTTCTAAATTTAAACATATATTTATCATAGTTCCTATTGTTGCTCACATCTATTTCTGGATACAAAATTCCATGACGCAAGTTTCCTATGAAGGTTCTACGCCAAGTAGTGAACAAATATTGTCACTATCAAAAGAATGTTTGAATATGATTATATTCCACCTGGTGTGTTGCTATTGCTGTTAGACCAAATTCATTCTAACTATATTTAAATTATTTACTTGAAAACAATATGTCTTAGTACTTCCTGTCGGCTACCATAATCATAGATTGTGTTTCCATCAGTTTGTAGGAAGTTGATGTGGAATGCGTACGACAATTTTTTTAAAGGATATCTACGTATGAGTTGTCATCAAATTCTTCTCAGTTGTTGAAGTTTTTTTGAAGTGCAAACTTCTTCAGTTGCGTTGTGCATTTTTAAACAACTAATAAAATAATGTGGTTTATCAAAAAACACATTTTTTGAGATGGGAAAAAACAATTGAACTCGCGACACTGTTACCGTTGACGTTATCGACACCTCTGTTAAAGTGAAAAATCTTTAGGCGCGTTGGGCATTTTTTGAGATAGGAAAAAAAAAATTGAAATCGCGATACTGTAACCGTTACCGACACCTCTGTATATAAAACTCCTAGAGTGCCTCTTTTTTTTATGATATAAGCATGATCTGCAAACGAGCAGGTGGGTCAGCTGATGGCAAGTGACTACCGCCCCCCATAGTCAACTCATGCAACTCTAGATGCACAAGTGGATTGCCAGATTGTTCCCCCCTCCCAGATTATTGGAGGAATATGGGCTCTGGTAACCTCACTCACTGAGTGAAACGCAATAATAGCTTCACATTAGTTTTCTGTTGAGCCCTGGTATCACTCCGGTCGAGCATAGCTCTCCCACAGTTAGATTAGTAAAAAGAATTATGTTATTTCACTTTAAAACAGCTTGTACTTGATGTTGATGCTAAATTTTGAAAAAAAAAAACAAAATTTACACAATCTCGAAACAAAAACTTTTTGAACTTAGAACACAAAAAGAAAAATATGTTTTTTTAACCGAAATATCATAAATTTCAATAATTGACACAACGAGATTACCTTATTTAGTTGAAAATTGCCAGAACTAAAATCTTATGTTACAGAATGGCATCTACTCATCTTTACCATACATGGCGATGTCTGTGATGTCTCTCATACTTGGCAACTTAGCAGACTTTGTAAGCAACAGGAACATTTTAAAAGTCGTTAACATCAGGCGAGTTGGAAATACTATAGGTAACTCTCGACAACTTACATTTTTCTGTGATATCTTCAAGTTATTTACTTACTCGTACTACAAAAGCATGCATAAAGTGAAATCGAATTGCAATTAGTTAGTAGTAATTAGTTGCTAGTAATTATTCTATTTTTGTAATTTAAAAGTGTACTAGGGATAAACTGGACTGGACCAATAAGTCTCGGTTATGTTTTCATAATTATGATTTGACGACACTAAAACATACAAACAGCTCTGTAGGTTCTATGAGTCTATTAGTGGCGCTTCTTAATCTTACAATTATTTTGTGATAATAAACGCAACTCTGTATAAGCATTAAGCACAATCAACAGCGAGAAAGTAAATAATACGTAATGTAAGTTTTTAAAATGTCTAGAGTCCATAAATTAAAAGTAAACATTTTGTTACAGGGATGGCAGTATCGGGATTATTCCTCTTAGCGTTCAGTTTCACGAAGAACACACTTCTAGCAGTATGCCTGCTGATATTAGCAATGGCAATGCACTCTGGAATAAACGTTGGGTTTACTGTAAGTTTTACTGTCCGTGTGATGACGGATTAAGAATATGGAGCGTCACCGATTTGTACCGTGGGTATTGTAAGAGCCGACTAATTGAGCAAACTACGCAGGACAACAGCACTGCAAAACAGAAGGAAATCTTGAAACAAATCCTTTACCAACCCGTCTGGCAAGCATGGTATAGTAGGCCAAAACCTCTTTTCCAAGCAAAGGCCTATGTCCAACACTGGACTATTAAAGTAACTTTTAACTACTATTAGTTAAAAAACGATGTCGTATTTTATCCCTTATTAATTATTCTGTCGGATTTTGTATAAGGTGCTTCTCTCGAAGCTTCCTTCCCCTGAAATTGTGTAATTAGGGTAACCAGTTTCCTTGCAGACAGAAGCATTAATGTCGTTATCCGACGGTGCATGCTCCGACTTGAAATCTGTAAATTTTGGTATCCCATAAGGCTGTGTTCTATCACAAACACTGTTTCTTCGGCATAGCAATGACATGTTGCAAACTACGTAGTAGCATCCATTGCTATGCAGATGATAGTACGTGAGATGCCTAGATGCCCAAAAATTTCTTGGGAAAACATTATCGAGAGTCGAAACAAAGTTGTGTCTGTAATTCAAACTTCCTTTAGCAGAGGTTTCAGAATGGGATCGACTAATTCTATTCCATTCTAATCTAAAAAAGACAGACAAGGCATTGCCATATCGAGCGAAGTTCAGTGTTGGGGTCACTTAGAGGGTAAGGTCAAATTAGCCTCGAAGAAACTCGGTGTGCTGAACCGATTGAGGTAGTATTTCACTTTGGCCCACCGCCTCCAACTCTATGAAGCCGCATATGAAATACTATTATCATTTCTATGCAAGGGTACCTCAGTAAAAGCTTCTCCCTCTGAACCGCATACAACAAAGAGCGACTTGAAGGCGCTCATGGGCGGCGGTAGTCATTTTAAATTAGGTGACCCATCTGCTCGTTTGGGCTCTCTCCAATAACAAAATATAATTACCTTTCTAAAAACCAAATGCAAAGCTCATATCAGGACAAATTCTTCACGCTTTAATCTCCATCCTTAGATAACATAATACTGTCTTCAAATTTAAAGAAAACTAGAAATAATTATTTTTTAATCGGGTCATTAGTGGTTAAGACATCGCGTCGATGATCTACGTAAAAAAAATTACTCGAATTAAGAACCTCTCCTTTATTGAAGTCTGTTAACAGCTAAAACCTATATAATGTGTTTTTTTAAATAACATACGTATGCCTTAAATATACATACATTACGGCACATTTATAGTTAGTTCATATTTAAATGATTTTTAAAGCCATTTTAATGGTATGTTCCAACAAGTCCTTGTCATTCTGACCAATGATCCTAGTAAGTATTTATTTCCTAGTAAATTTTTACCGTGGGATAGCCATGCTTCTGCACGAATGGGAGTGATGCTACGGCCTCACAGAAAACCGATGTTGAGCAATTCTTTCGTTGCCTTTCACAGAGTGAGTGAGGTTAACGGTGCCCAAACCCCCTTTCCCACTGACTCGTGCGGGAGCGAGGGACTCCATTGGCAGCAACGCACCTGTGACTTTTGAGTTGTAGGTAGTTGCTTACCTTAAAAAAAACCTGTAAAAATTATGATATACTCGTAATTTTTACAGGTTTTTTTTAGGTTATAAAAAGTTATAGTTGATTATGCTTCTCAAGAGATCTAGTCGTTAAAATATTGTTACGTCCGGCCCAACCGACACATCTCACACAGAATATTGTCTCTTAATTTTGTTAGTAATTAGTTTGAAATTTCTGAAAGTTAGACGATATTTTACAAGTTTCCAGAGGGGTTTCGAATCAGTCGAGTTGTTAGGAAATTTTAGGGGAAAGATCAGATAGATCAGAAGATATTAATTTCAACTCGATACCTTCACGCTTTCGAGAGGTAAAGGGTCTTGATAGACAGACAAACAGCCGGACAACAAAGTGATCCTAGAAGGGTTTAGTTTTTCCTTTTGGGGTACGGAACCCTAAAAACAAGTACTAGTCTCAGCCACACGAATTTTTGCGTTTCTTTTTTAACCGGTATGTTTATCAAATCGCAAACCCCAGATTGAAACAATAGGTACCTACCACTATACGTTTCAATTTTTTATAATAATGTAACTCAATAATCAATTATTACAATTTACATGTTGCGTCAAAATATTGGTGTAATTAAATTGTCACCAGATTTTGCAAAAGCTACGAAAGACACCTTCTTCTCTATCTCATCATTCTCATCACCCTCCGAGTCTTTTCTTAAACTAAGTTGAGGTCGGTTTTTAGTCTACTATAATTTTGTTTTTTACGTGGAGTGCCTGCCATCAGACCTCCACAACCCAAGTACTAAGCGATATCAAAGTTCTGTAGATAGACTGTTGTTACACTATGACCTCTTCCCCTATCTATGCTCCAATAATAACTACTAATTAATTCAGATTCGGTTCCGTTCAGGTCCGTGTGGTGACGGATTAAGAATACAGAGTGTCACCACCCCTATTCATCCCGTGGTGTCATAAGAGCCGACTAAGGGAAAAACTACGCAGAACAACAGCACTGCAGAGAGAAGGAAAACTTGACACAAACCCAACCCTTCTGGCCAGCGTGGTATAGTAGGCCAAAACCTCCTTTCTAAGGAGAGGCTTATGTCCAGCAGTGAACTATTAAAGGCTGTTGATGATGATGATGAATTAATTCAGAATCAATAGCAGAATTATAGCCTTAATCAAATAAACCATTTTTGTAAATATACCTATACATAAAAACATATATCACAATCAAAAAATTAAAACTCATACGAGTATCACATTCAAGAGCTTTTATTCATTGTGCATATTTCCAAGCGATCAGTGAGTTCCCAGTTTATTTGCACGCATTATTCTGCCCTAACAATGTATAAACACTATAACTACACACTATAACTTTTAATTAAACTTCCCTTCGAGAAAGCCATTGTTCTAAATCACCCACAGACGAGTGTTCTATTATCTTTCAAAATTATAGAGACAATTTTTGTTTCAGGTAAACCAAATCGACTTGGCTCCAAACTTTGCTGGGTCAATAATGGCCCTAGGGAATATGATGGGGAATTTAACGGGCTTACTTGTACCTGTGGTCGTGTCGAACATCGTCGCGGACGTGGTAAGCCTTCAAACTTTCATCCATCAAAGATTTTTAGTGTTATTGTGAGTCGTAAAACCCTACATTGTCAATTGATGGTTTTCCAATGATCTAGCAATACCCGCTAAGGAGTTTGTTCCAAATAAAATTTTATTACCAGCATTAAATTAGTAAGAATATCATATTTTCTGAATTTACAAATTAGTTAACTCATTACAAACTACCTACGAAGAACCGACTAAGGGAGCAAACTACGCAGGACAACAGCACTTCAAAGAGAAGGAAAACTTGAAACAAACCCTATACCAACCCGTCTGGCCAGCGTGGTATAGTGGGCTTTTAACAGATTTTGACGCGTCAATGTGCCTTTTCACAGGCAAAAGAGCTGATGTTGTTTTGAACTATTATCGTAACCATTCGGTTGAGAAGATGTTAGAGAATTATAGCAAAAATATTTATTTTCCTTCATTAGTTTGATTTTCGTTCAATCACTGTTGCCCCCTTCCATAACGCTATCGAAATTACTATTTTGTAACATCTTGACGTGACTTAACTACACAATTCGTTAATTTGGGTTCCATTCTTCAAACCTAGTTCTTTTATGACTTTTTTTTTCTCCGGCTCCTAGGGGACACAGGAATCCAGAGTATATTAGTGTTTCCCTTAAAAACCACTACGACTGACCGGTCTCAGGCGTCCTGCTTTAGGGAGGACCCGGACCATGTTATTTCAGTCTCACGGGATCGACGCAGCTCCTACGTAGGCTATATGCTGAGGAAAACCAGAGGCTTCTTTATGACTGAGTGTTCCCAACATGTCCTCTACCGCAGCAGTAAATCTGCCATCAGAGGTCGCAACTCTCTGGTGGCCTGCGGTCCCGTCGGCGACTCATGCTGCCCCCAACTTCGTCTTCACTCGGTATCAGCTCTCTCCTGATCCCCAGCCTTCCTCACCCTCCAGCGTTCAGACACCCATGCGGGCAGACCTCCTGCGTGTGCTGGGCGAAGTTTCAATCAGCTCCAATACGATTTAGGTACTAACCGAAAAAAACCATGCCCAGTTAGTACATGCGTCAGTTGGTCGGTGACGCGACCTCCCTTCCTACTTTGTTCTTTTATGATCTACAGTAATTGGATGATCGAGCTTTGCTGGGTATTTATTTTTTGGTAAATTTTCTAAAAATGAAACCTAGCTAGATCGATTAAGCGACCCCAAAACACCCTGCATACTAAATTACATGGAAATCGTTGGAGCCGTATATATATATATATATATATATATATATATATATATATATATATAGAATTGCTCTTTCAAAGGTATTAGATTTAAACTGACCACTAACGCTTTTAATGAACAGCTAACAACGGTGTGAGCTATTTAACCGTAGAGCGACATCATTATTCACTTCACTCTTATGCAGTTTTGTTGTCTGGACTTGTCTGGACAGTTGATGCTGTCTAATTCTAAAGAAATTGAAAATCAAATATTTCCTATTTCTTGTCAAATATTCATAAAGCACATATTATACTGTGCACGCATTTGCTCTTTTCATTTGTATTTCTACTCTCCCATATTTGAGGCATAGGCTAGACTTCTGCTAGACTAAGGCTCAATTCTTGCCCCTATACCTTAAATAAAGAGCAGACGGGTTACCTGATTATAAGTGACGACCGCTGCGCCTGGACACTTACAACTCAATAGTCACAAGTCCTGGGCTTTGAGTACCCCCAGAATAAGGGAGAGAGTGGAAGTTTGGACTCCAGTAACCTCACTGCAGGGGCAAAAAGTAGGGAAATATTGTTGAATTGTTTGACACTGGTTTTTGTGAGGTAATAGTGTCACTCCGATCGAACTCGCCCATTTTTGGAGAAGCATGGCACTCCTAAGATACAATCAGTTGCGATATCCAGAATGGTCATCACAATTAGAACAATCGAAGAGCATCTAAAGAAATTTAGAGCAATTTATTTGATGATACTCGTCAGGAATATACTCGTATCATTGAAAGTAACATACAAGCAAAATTTTCATTCCCAGCACTGGGATTATTGGCTCTCCACTACTGTGCGCTTTTCAAGACACTTTCTACCTCGCACTACCAATCTGTAAAACAAGTTATCGGCTGCGGTATTGCCGGACCGATACGAGCTTCAAACCTTCAAGTAAAGAGCGTACTCCTTCCTCAAAGGCTGGCAACGCGCTTGTGACTCCTGAGTTGCAGGCGTTCATGGGCGGCGGTCGTTACTTTCCATCAGGTGGCCCGTCTGCTCGTTTACCCCTATTCCATAAAAAAAAACTTACATTCTCTAGTGAGTTATACCTTTTTTACTAACTCTGTCCCTACTTATTGCGTCTAAATTTCATGGTCAGTCAAATATAAATAAGTCGTTTATTATCTCAGAAAGACTTACGCGACTTTACGCACACAATATTTACATTTTGTAAATAATAAAAGATCTTTCTGACAAAAGAGCCAAGATAATAAAAAATATCTAGGAGTGCAAACTCTGCTGGTACTCTGCGGGTGTACTGATTTACCATTTGGTATTAGATTTCCTTTTACTTTAATAATAACAAAAATAATAATAATTTATTTTCAGACTAAGTTCATATAATTTGTTAGTAACAATATTCTTAGCCTAGTGTTAGTAACATCAGTCAGGCGCTTGGTCTCACGTGTAGGCCTATCCAGTGTGCCATTAGTGCCGAGTCCATTCGACCGGCGCTCGCGGTCAGGATGGCGCTGGGGCTGCCGCGCGCCCCCGCGATGGCACATTGATCATTGATGCACAGCGCTTTCGCATTATCTTTGAACTTGGCGATTCTTCTTTTACAACACGTTTGCATCACGTAACCACATACTTATCTACTACAACAAGAATTATTTGTAACCCTTTTTAAATATATTTTGCGCACGGAAGGAATACTTAAATTTAAAATGTTAATAAATATCAAAATATGATTAACAAGAGAAGGAAAACTTGAAACAAACCCTATACCAACCCGTCTGGCCAGCGTGGTATAGTGGGCTAAAAACCTACTTTCTAAGGAGCCTTTGTCATGCAATTTACTGTTATAGGCTGTTGATGTTGATGTTGATTGTGGTGATTATAACTTTCAGTTTTATATAAGTACGACAAACGTATTTAGTATTTCAACCAAAATAAAATAATTTAAAAGACTAGTCGAAAGACCCCAATCAGAATGAACGTGCTTTTTTTGACAAGAAAACTGTGATGAGAGTTCAATAAATGCAATCATTTTTCATACATCACATATATGTATGCATATTTAATTTTTGATGGAGTTCTTTGTCGATGTATAATTTGAGAATGTCAGAAATTGTACGGAATTGTACGTGTGTGTATGCACCCGCCTAATTATTAGTACAATAACATTATTTATGGTATACCTATGTATGATCATTAAAGTAATTCCGTCAATGTTAGGCTCACATCAGCACTTCTACAGTCATCAAATTAATATGAGAAAAACTATTCAACCAAATTTTTAAGCCAAACTACCCGGAATAAACCATAAAAATACCTATTCCAAATGCCTTCTTAATCTATTCATTTAACAAAGACTTGATACGTAAGCTAGAACGTAGCAATACTTCCATAAGTGTTTTGTCTCTACACAAACCATTAATCAGTTAACAAAATGTGCTGTTGTATTCTGTTCTTTTCTCCTACAATTTCATTGTTTTTTGTCAAATAGGAGTACCAAATGCAAAAGGTTGAAACAAGTCAATGTTAAATCCAGTTCTTAAAATGCTCTTCTGTTAAAGACTTTCTTTCTATTTTCATTTAAACTCAGTAGGAATTTGATGGAATGGGTAGACTATCAACACACACACACACAAATTCCACTTGGCAACTTTTAATGATGTTCACGTGTAGTACACAGAATTGTAAACTCATGTAATTGGGCAAGAAGACCATGTCACTTATAACTGAAATTGCTATGTACATGATGTAACTAATATTTGTAACTTTGTAGAAACTTTTCCCGGTTATCCTGTAATACACTTTGTGGTTTAATACACTTGTAGGAAAAGTAAATGAAGTAACAATTTAAATTTAAAAAAATGATACAATATTATTAATAATAACTTGATAGATCCTAGACACGACCAAATTAGGCAACGCCTGAACAGAGTAATAAAACTGCTGTTAAATACAATTCTATATCCAAAAACTTACATATTATGGATACAGACACAAAACAAATAATCGTCCTCAGTCACTTAATATTTGTCTAAGTAGTGAAAATCACAACTCAGTATATTATCAAGCCAATCAGGTATTCTTTAAAAGCTTATCTAAATACTTTTTTAAATTCTTAAACACTAAATAAGCCATGCTTAGTTTCAGTTTTAATTCTTCTTATTCCTAATTCTTTTTTTTTTCAGAAAAACCCCCGTCAGTGGCAGATAGTATTTATCATATTCACTGCGATACAGTTTATTTCTAATACAATATTTGTAATCTTCGCTAAAGCAGAAGTTCAGCCATGGAATTTTTACGGCGACGAAGAGCGTGGTAAATATTTTTTTAAATTTAATAATTATATGTAACTTAACCGTACCTACCTTAAATATCTCATTTTTTTTATAAATAATATAATTACCAGATACATCTCAACCATGGCAGTCTGATCCTAAACTAGCAAGAGTCTGTACTTGGTAACCAAACTCCTGATAAAAATACTTATATATTTCTAAATACAAATATACGAGTATTATAGATAAATGACCCTGTATGGTAAGCACGATCATTTGTACTGAGTAGAACAAATGATCGTGCTTATCACACAGTGATAATATGAAGAGTTACATCTAACATCTCATCTTCCTACCATCTGTCAAATCAAAAGCACGCGATTCCTGTTACACATTTCCGTCCCTTTTCACGAAATCATTCCGACAGATTGTAGGAAAACGAGATGAAAAATGTTACGCATCGTCATCATCATCAACAGCCTTTATTAGTCCACTACTACACATATGCCTCTCCTTAGAAAGGAGGTTTCGGCCTACTATAAGACTCTGGCAAGACAGTTTATTATAGGGGTATATAACAAAAACATTATAACAGCAGGTTTGTTAAGGTAATAACTAAAATGATGAACCCTTTAAAACACAGAAATTGCCATCTATTTCTGTGTCACTAATCTTGGACAGAACACTGAATTTCAACGCTTGCACTTAGTTTCGCTAATCGGTGATACAAACTGCACTGTTGCAAATGGTAGTTCATCTGTCCTATATTCGAGCACGAGCTGCAGTGCGGTTTGCATATACCCAAGGAACTTGCGATGCAGCAAAGTTTCTGTAGATAGTTGGATTGGTTATGTACTTAGATAAAACTATTTTCAGTGATATGTACGTATTTTAAAGTCTGTACCGATGGTCACTATGCACAAAGGAACATTCGGCATTAGTTCACAACTGTAGTTTACAAGTTAGTAAAGTTTCGAATTTAACTTTGTTTTTACTTCTTATATCTATAAGATATTTAACTTACGGGCTTAGAACAGTCTTTTAGAAAATTATATAGATTATATACTCTTAAGCCCAAAATCGATCTAAGTGGCGTGTAATCGGAGAGGCCTAGACTGCGATAGGCTGATGATGATGATGATAATGATTTACTCTTAATTAAATTACAATACTCTTAATTAAAAATATCTACACTCTCTACAACTATAGATAACTAGACAATATTGTAGATGGAGACACACACACACACATACACGCAATTGACTAATGCAATGGTATATTTGTTTTAGATTCAGAAGAGAAAGTGCTGAGTTTAATGGAATATACTAAAGATATAAAAACAGACAAAAATAAACAAGAACAGAAATTTTAAAACTAAAAAGAATTCAACAAAGATAAAGTAAAATTAATTAATGAAGAACAAAAAAAGAAATATGTCACAAAAACAACAATAATACAATACAAATCATAAAGAAATCATAATTAGCTTCGACTTCTTATGTTTTATTTTTATTCCAATATACTATTTTCTGTCCAGTCTCTGGAAAATTGAATTACTGTGAATCATTTATGATATTAAAGTTTAGTTTAAAAATAATTTCTTTTTTATTTCCTAAAATGTTTCTCTTTGCGTTATAACTCAATTTCTATTTCAGATGGCTTCATTTGCATGATTTAAAATTAAGTACGAGTATGTGCAGTGATTGGAAATTCTATATATTTTTCAATCGCAGGAATCAGGACAATCGAGGTTTCACTTCACTTTAAATGCAGGGGGAAGCCTGTTTTCCCCGGGATAGGGCCTGGCTAGGTGCGGCGCCGATCCGGGTTGGTCTGAAATAACATGGTCCTGATCCTCCCCAGAGTAGGGCGCCTGAGACCGGCTGTCGGCTGGTTTTTAGTGGAAACACAATATACTCCTGGCTCCTGCATCCCCGAAGAGCCGGAGATCCGAAGGGATTTTCAACCCCATCTACAAAAATAAAGCCGGTCAGGTACGAGTCGAACTCGTGCGCCAAGGGTTCCGACCCAGATTTTACGTAGATTTTCGCGAAAATTTGTAAGTATTATGTTAATTTTCAACTTTTTTTGCTTCTTGGAATTATTCCTTTATTTGTGCTGTAAGACGTTTCTTTTTGCCAAATTTCGTGATTCTAGGTCAACGGGAACTAATATATAGGTTTTCGACCCAAAACCTATAGGGTACTTCCGGTTGACCTAGAATTGTCAATTTTGGTTAAAAGCAAGGTTTTACAGCACAAGTAAAGAGAAAATTCTGAAAAAAAAGTTGAAAAATTAGGTAAATTTTGGTATTTACAAGTTTTCGCGAAAATCGAAATCTGCCCATAACTTTTTATCGTCTTGACTCGGAACCTTGATTTTTATACACCTAATAGGGACCATAGACCTCAGTATTTGGTATAAATTTCAACTTGCTAGGTCCACCCATTCCTGAGAAAATCGGTGGTGAAACACGGACAGACGCACAAGAAAGTGATCTTATAAAAGGTTTCATTTCAAATAACTTTTCTAGTACTAAAAGATTTAGCAATTGCCTACCATAATGAGATAGGAAAACTTAATCGAAGTTACTTGTCCAACTTACTTGTCACTGTAGTAACATACTTAATTTCGATCAACTACCTCAACTAATCAAACTAACAAGTAACAGTAAAAGAAACGAATCTTTGGATTTTGTACCATAATTACCTTAACAGATGTCGTAGTCTTGTATGATGTGAAATCATCTTCCTTTTCACTTTTCACTCCTTCTGTCACTGGTGTTCCAATATTAAAGTTTTCATATTTTTTAAGCCATAGTATTTGGCGAAGGAGAAGACGGATCACTCGTTGATAAGTGACTACTATTCCAGACAGGCACCTCCATACAAGAGATACAGCTGAATTCCTCCAGAATTTTTTGGCCTCCGATATCATCAGTGAAAAACAACAAACAAAGCGTCCAATATCATCAGTACCTACCTCGGTGAAAAACCACAAACAAATTGTTTGGCGTCCGATATCATCAGCACCTACCTCGGTGAAAAACCACAAACAAATTGTTTGGCGTCCGATATCATCAGCACCTACCTCGGTGAAAAACCACAAACAAATTGTTTAACATTAGTTTAATGTGAGTCTATAGTATTACTGTGGTCGAGGTACCCCATACGTGTCGATTATGCCCTCCATACAGCACAATACTGATCGTGGGAGACTCAGTGGTATCGTGAAATCCCTTTTGGCTTGTAATAATTTAGCATCATCAGTATATTGAGGGAATAGGTTTAACCTTTTTGCTACTAGATTATTCCTTTTTGTTTTACCTATGAGACTGAGTGTACATAATAATTTACTTAATACAACGATAGTAATAGTAAGTAATAATAATAATAATATTCTACCACATTCACACAGCGCCATCTAGTCCCAAACTAAGCAAAGCTTGTACTATGGGTACTAGACAACTGATATAAATACATATATACTTTTTTTTGTAAGTAAATGCTTATTTTACTTAGAAATACCCAGACCAAATCAAATATTAAATGTTCATGCACACAAATGCTTGACTTGAAACGAACGCGCGACCTTTGGAATAGCAGTCCGTTACACAAACCACTACGCCATGCGGTCGTCAAACGATCTTCAAAATATATACAAAACTGTTTATTCTGGTTCAGTGTCCTGTCAAGTACATCTACTGGAAGTATAGCTATCTCGTATCTGTTTTTGTCACCTACTTCCTGTTTGCTCTTCATCACCCGAAGGTTGACTGGCAGACAATATCTTAGGCATTAAATCCGGTCCGTTGTTTTGTGTGCAGAAAGATTAAATAATTAAAAAATATGTATTAACATTATGTTTTCTAAGGTTTACAAATTTAAAATAAAATAATATACAATTGAAGAGAAACGCTTCATTGCATTGGACAAACTATTCAGTGCAATTTCAAAAATAAACAAATGCATTTAATCTTTTAGTTTATGTTACGTTTAGTAAATAATAATATCTTTTTGAAATATTATTATTTAGAAAGGGAGAAAAGGAAGAGGTCAAATAAAATGACATAGAAGTCAAAGGTAAATGATAATTTCAGAATAACAATTTCAAACTATTTAGATTTATGGTGTCTGGAAACTTAGTTCTAAAATTCGTTAGTTTGAAAATCGTCCATTTGTCAATTGATAAATTAATTTGGATTGCAGATGGGATTATTTGACTTCTCGTTCAAACTAAAATTATGATTGTTGAAATCCTAATTCTATGTCCAGAGACCGCAGACAACGATAAGACGGTCCATTGCATAACATCTTTGTTATTTTTTTATTTATTTTAGCAATTGAGAACGGGCAGTTTAAGGGAGTAGATTAAGAGAGGTTAAAAAGTCAAGAATTTTATTTTAAATTATTTTTATTTTCAAATTATTGGTTTATAATTATGTCACTGTGTAGATGTGATTAAAATAACTTAGTCATTAGGCGTTGACCTAATATAACTGTTCATATTATCAAAGGCTATTAGAGCAGTAAAATACAGTTTTTTCTTGAATATTTCCTTAAATTTTTAACCGGAATTTCAAAAATATGGGCCTGAGCCGAGTGGACCGTGGTTTGGCGGTCTTTGATGGAAATCTGATATAATACATACAATATATATAGAGAATATATATAACGTTAAGATCTCGTTTCTTTTGGATAAAAATGAAGAGGTATCACGTATATTTATCTTGGGAGAAGTGTGAAATGATTAAGGCGATTATATGACTCCTTATGTAAAGACAACTGTTAAAATAGTTTAGTTTCTGTATAACATTGAAATAAATATAGATAACAGAGCGCTACTATACAGTTTGTTTATTTTAACGATACGTGCTGACCTCACATAATGGAAACTCCCGCGAAATCACATCACGTCAACGATGACGCAGTTAAAAGGGGCTCGAACCGACTTAACCATACTTTTTACGTCACATCGGCCTATAGTCTGCAGAAGGTTCATCAACAGCCTATACTAGTCCACTGCTGGACATAGGCCTCTCCTTAGAAAGGGGGTTAATGCCCCATAATTATGTAACAGTTTTTTTAATAAATCTAACTGTACTCGTTTCTATATTTATGAAAATAAAATATTCCATGCTTATTTCACGAATTTCTTTTTTTATACTCCCGAAAATTAAATTTAAATTGAATAAAATTGAGCCGTCATGGGACGTCTGGTAGATACGAAACATCGAAATTATTTTGTAGAAATAATGAGTATGAAATCACTTTGATAATCAGAGAAAGTCACACAGTCACTTGAGGCTTTTGATCCGTCGCCACACCGCATTATAAGGTATGTATGTATACTGTTACATAGCGTGGGTACGCGTCGCTACTCCAACAGCCGGTCTAACCCACCGCATCAGATGTTTCACTTAATGTGAAATATTTAAGGTGAGGTAAAGAAGATTTTTGAAAGGTTTTCTGTGTAATTTTGTGTAGAAAAATTTAATGTCTGCAACTGATGAAGCATGCTATACAATTTAATTGTAATGTATCACTATCTTGATATTTTATATTTAGAAATAATACCAATGACATCTACGCGTTCCCACTGTCTTATATTGACCCCAAGCCAATAAGATACCATTGTTCCTCGTGATGACTTATAATTAAAACTTTGTTCCCTTGTATCGGGTATATGTGTAGAAATTCAATAGAACTTTGTAGTAGTTGTCATTCTTTAGTAGTTAGTAGTGTGTTTGGTGTGTTAATAACTAAATAATATTACAAATAACTACATCTAAAATTTAATATAAAATTTGCTTTGTCAGTGGTATAATTTTAAATATAATATTATATTTACCGTGTCTGTGTGGTGATGGATTAAGAATACAGAGTGTCACCATCACCTATTCATCGCGTGGGTGTCGTAAGAGCCGACTAATAATAAATAAAATAAAAATAAAATAAATAAAATAGACTAAGGGAGCAAACTACGCAGGTCTACGCAGAGAAGGAAAATTTGAAACAACTTAAACCTATGTCCAGCAGTAGACTATTTAAGGCTGTTCTGATGATGATGATTTACCATGTTAACCCTTACAGTTCCAAGTGTTTAAGCAATACCTATATTTAATCAAACCAAATTAGTCGGTTTAATGAAAAGAATTTAGTTAGTCAAACTTAATTTCATATTCGTTTAATAACTTTCATCGCTAACATTTCTTAATACTGTATTAATTTTTATAATGATGAAGACTCGAATTGTTGGAGAGATACTTTAATAATAGATTTTTTTTGGAGATACGAGATACACCACGTTAATAAGAAGTTTAAGGTAAAAAATATAATAAATAAAATGGGTCATAACAAATCTTGCTCGTAAAATTTTATCAGTCATTTACTTATACAGTTTATTTATGTTATATGGTTTAAATATTCTATAAATATATACATCAATCAGTTTAATATAATAACCTACTAAACTACCAACTACCTAAATATTATAATCTTTGCTGTTAAATACATACAAATGAATAGTCTTGACATTGTTTGTTCATAATGATAAAGAGCCATCATATTTAAACAAACATATCAAAACCGCAGTTGGATGTCAGGTAGGGGAATATTTATTACTTCGAAAATTTCAATAGTTTTTATACAACGAAACTGAAAACTTACTACACCTGTAAATTTATTTTTGTTATTAATATAAAGGATGTTTTGAACTTTAAACTTTAACTTATTTAAATAGCATTGAGTGGTAATAGGTACCTGGATTGCCTGTGAAATCTTTATCTTATATTATTTGAAATAACATGGTTGGGAAGGAAAAAGTCCCGAGCAATTTTCACAGCATTGAGTTAAAAGGTGAGTACTTCTTCGTAAGAATTAATTTGAATAATCTAATAAGCATATTATAAACATAACATAAAAAGTTTATTCTTTGTAACTAAAAGTAACAAATTGTACAGAAGAATATGGTTGATAATGACTGCTATAGTTCATAACTGTGTTGCAGCCATTAACGCCCACCTCCGGAAGATAAGTTACAGATTTCAAGTTTCATCATGCTTGCTGAATATAAACCAAATCAAAGTTAGAAATTAATTTAACAATGTTCGTGAAGAAGTATCGTGGGTCAGAATACGTAGAATTGTTAGTGTGTGTGTGTGTTTGTGGGCGCGTGTGTGTGTGTATGTGCATATGTGTGTGTTATGTGTGTGAATATGTGTGTGAATATGTGTGTGTGTGTTCGTCTGTGCATGTGTGTGGTGTTTGAAAGAGAAAGATTATAAAGATTATACAGTGCCATTATAATTCTCTGCCATTTTTATATTTTATCTGGGATCAGAACAATGTATAATATTGCATAAGGATTCGAAACTTCCTTTGGAATATGATGGTTTTAAAATAGGACAAAAAAAGAAGGTGAATGACGAGAGAAAGAGAACGGAGAGGGCGAAAGAGTTGAGGTAAGAGATACCGCTAGTGTCAGTTTGAAAAAAGGGAATAAGACTGAAATTGTTTGAAGAAGGTGGAGTTACGTATTATGGAAAAAGAGCTGATAGTTGATGATGATGATTTTTTTTGCCCTAAATGTGGGTAAACAAGGGTTTTTTAGAAAACATTTGCAGTAACAAATGCATTATTTATGTATTATGCATTCACCCCGAAATCAATTACTATGCCCATTGATTCCCTGTTATGTATTTTTTTTTATTATTTATCTTTATATAACATATATCATACTAGCTTTTGTGGCTCCACTTGATTGTATGTCGGTTATCGCGGTTAAAAGTAGCTTTCCATTGGTGAAAGAATCTTTAAAATCGGTTTAGTGGTTCAAGCGTAAAAGCGTAACAAACACACAGACTCACTTTCACATTTATAAAATAAGTATGGATAAAGTTTATTAAAACTGTTACTTAAAGATCTGTTTTAAGTAAAATACCTCTAATTATCCCATTTTTCAGTTCTCATGTTTATTTAATAACTAGCTGAGACCCGCGGTGTTGCCCGCGTTTGTTGTTATAACAGCGGGCATCGCCGCGGGGCGAAGCTAGTCTAAAAAAAGTAGCCTAAGTTACTACTTATATCATCAGCTATCTGCCAGTGAAAATCCCGTCGAAATCAGTCCAGCCGTTCCAGAGATTACCCGGAACAAACAGACAGACAGACAGACAAAAATTGTAAAAAATGATATTTTGGCATATGTACCGTGTAAACATACATATGCATTTAGTAAAAAGCGGTTATTTTAATATTACAAACAGACACTCCAATTTTATTTGTTTGTATAGATAATAATAATATACTTCACACATTTCACACACGGTCGTCTGATCCCAAACTAGGCAAAGCTTGTACTGTTTGAAAAAAAAAAAGAAATTGCCACAGATCCTGGATGGGGCTGCAGACACCAACAATGTTTCGTATTATTCTGGGTATTAACTATTGCCTACGGTATGAGGTCATGCATTGGAGTGTCTCTGGTAGCCATGACTGATTACAGTAACAATGAAAGTAGCTGGCAAGCAATCCAGGTGGAAAAATCGAACCAAGAATTTAAACCTGAAGGGGTACTCAGTTCTTTGATGTTAGTTCCACCGGTAAGTAGATATTTTATTATAATTAAGAAGCTTCAATAATCTTTTCTCAGACGTTATTTTTCCAATGAATTAGGTAAGTCAGCGGCGAGATGCTGTTCATCCTTATCAGTGACATATCTCTATCTAGTCAGAAAGTATTTAAAGTAAGGGTGAATTTTGAAATTACGATACACAGTCTGTCAATATAATTTCACAAAAAGTCAAGAATCACAAAGATTATACCTTCAGGAGAATTTATAGCAAAGAGATGGACCCGATCACAGGAAACCGGTGTCAGATAATTATTTCGTTATTTTGAACCGAATGAGAATGCTTACCGCAAGCCTCCAAAATTCCAATTATTCTGGAGAGAAGAGACACTTACGGTGATCTGTAGTAGCTCGTGTCCATGAGCGGCACGTGTCAATTAGTTACTAATTTTAATTCAAAATAACTTATAATCATGTAAATGAAGTGGATGTAGATAATTATAAACTCATTCATATTTATATATACATATCTATGTGAATGAGATCGTATTTATATTTAATGTCAACCACTACTATCTGCAATTTGACTTGGAGAGTTTACTTTGCGATAACACGGTCCATATTATTCAATTATGAGCTTCAGTTTTCTGCGTAAGAATTTGTGTTATCACCTACGTGTAACAGAAAAGCATGCGTCTAGTAAATACAAAACGCTGGCATGTACGAATTGAATTAGCGTGGACTAGGTTCCGTACGATGATTTTTAGATATAACATAAGCACAATATTTAAAAAATTATCATTTTAAGATATAAACTTGATGAGAGATTTATCACCAAATGAGTGAAGTTACATAGATACCATCAGGTCACCCGTCTGTTCTTTTGTCCCCCATGTTTATAAAAATGTACTGATACATTATATTGAGATTAATGATTAACTATTATATGTTTTATATAATTTATAGTATCTTATACGAGTATCTATGAAGATACTGATGATATTGTAAGGGATTTCATGTAAACTATTTTATTGATATTTATTTATTTAATTTAATTTTTTTTTTTCATTTCCCAAATAAAGCAGATCCCTTTATAGATCTCAATTTTTTTAAGAAAACTTATTTTACTTTTTAGTTTTATTTGTTAAACCCTATTTCTATTGTGTTTAATTGAGTTTTTTTTTATAGTACCCAAAATTCAATTGGAACAAAAATGTACAAGATACAGTAATAGCCTCTTTCTTTTGGGGGTATATGCTACTTCAGCTGCCGGCTGGACAGTTAGCACACAGGTATGGAGCCAGGTATCTGTTAACTGGTGCTATGACAGTCAACGCCGTGGTCTCAATTTTATTGCCTACGGCTACTTATTACGTAAGTTTCTAATTATTTATTAAACATTAAATAAATATAAAGTTGCACGATGTAAGCATGATAATAGTTTTAGGCAAAAAAATTCATTTTTATTAGTTAAATATACGAAAATCTTACTTTGACAAGTTGAATTTGAAATTTGACCGAAAAAGAGCTTCGAGTGGTGGAGTTGAGGCAGCAGTTTTATGAAAGCAAACTACTCTAGTCTTAGTAGCGCTGAATGATAAAAGATTGTAATTTAACCAATTTACTAAATCATTGAAATCATTCTGCGCAACCTCAAAAGCTTTTTTCCGTGTCTTTTCACTAAATATGATAACCGTATCATCTGCATAATTTATAATTTCTGCATTTCCTAAATATCCTTTTTCTAACAGTTCAGACTGTTCAGAGTTACTCCTCTGATACCTATTTTGTCTAGTTTTCTTAACAAAATGGGCTTTTACACCGTGTCAAAAGTCTATGTCTAGAAAAACCCATTTTTTGCAAGCTCAACCAACCTTTAATTTTCGGAATAAAATAATGTACCTAAAATTTTACCACATTATTTTTTAAACTCTGTTACTAACTGTTACACTTTTCTGTGAATATTTTGGTATACATGACATTATATATTATTATTAATATATAAAACAATTCGAATTGTATGTTTTACTCCAGGGCGGTTGGTATTTTACAATAGTGTGCAGAGTAGTACAAGGGCTTAGTCAAGCTTGCATTGTCCCTGGACTTCACACTTCTCTTGGGAAATGGGCACCGTTACATGAAAGATCAAGATTGTCTGCTTTCGTCTATGGAGGTTAGCAAAACGTTTCTTAAAATTAATGATAATGTGCTCAATTTTGGAGCATTTTATGAAAGGTATTAAAAATATTTCAGGTCAAGCTTTGGGAACTGTCTTTGGTCTACCATTAACAGGTTTTATATCAGCATCGCCTTTTGGCTGGCCTGGTATATTTAGATTTTACGGTATATTGTCTGGAATCATGGCAGTGCTGATATGGTTTTTTGTATACGATACTCCAGCAAAACATAATAAAATATCAGATATTGAGAAAAAATTCATTGAAGATGACTTGGGGAGAAGTGAGGGTAAAAAGGTGAAAATAAACATATTGAACATACAAACGTCAAAAATTGTACTAAATTATGTATTATATATATTTATACTTTTTTAGAAAATGCCAGTACCTTGGCTGAAAATACTGCGTCACCCGGGCCTTTACGCAATCATCATTGCACATATTGGCCAAGCATGGGGACAACTGACTTTATATTCAGAAGTACCTGCGTATATGGACAAGATCATGGGGGTGAACATCAAAGCGGTAATAAAATACGTTTCTTGTTTATAAATATCCACGATACACGCATTCTTGTATACGTTTGAAATGTGTGTTACAGAATGGAATGCTGAGTGCTTTGCCGTTTTTAGTAATGTGGTTTTCCAACTTTTTCTTCAGTTGGTTGACTGACTGGATGATTCGAAAAAATATAACTAGTGTTACTAACACGAGAAAAATTGCTAATTCATTAGGTAAAACTATTACCTTTATTGAATATAAATCAATAAACTCTGTAAAATGTGCTAAATCAATATTCAAATATCTATTTACAGGTAATATTCCAGCCAGTATTGGACTGATAGCCCTGGCATATGCACCTCATAATATTTATGTTGTAGAAACAATTTTGATTATTACTTGTGCATTCAAAATATCTTCTCATTGTGGATTTCAAGTTCGTACATTTTTTTATTTTACAGTTAGTATTTATTTTTATGGAAGAGAGGGCAAACAAGCAGACCGGACATGGAAAGCGACTACCGCCGCCTACCTACAAATGCGTTGCCGGCCTTTGAGGAAGGAGTACGCTCTTTTCTTGAAGGTTTGAAGGTCGTATCGGTCCGGAAATACCGCAGACGATAACTTGTTATACAGATTGGTTATGCAAGGCAAAAAGTGTATGGATAAAGGTTAACTGACATAGTGACAATATTTAATATACATTTTATTATAAGTAAGATATATATATACGTCTGGCCAGCGTGGTATAGTAGGCCAAAACCTCATTTCTAAGGAGAGGCCTATGTCCAGCAGTGGACTAGTAAAGGCTGTTGATGATGATGAAGATATGTCTTACGTGTTGAGATACGTACAGACATACTCTCAGGTCTTTATCGCTGATGGGGTAGACCGAGGTGTATTAACCAACTATAATTTAGGCAACCATTTAGGCAACTATAATTTTAGTCCCACTAACGTGTTAGTGGAAAAGCTTATTGCCGTCCACTGGGTATATTTATTGCTGAATAAACATACTTATTTCAAATTCACACATATCATAGACAAAATAGATGCAGAACAAATGATCGTCCTCATCACACAATATTTGTCCTGGGCGGGAATCCGGGAATCTAACCCACCCCTAGCGAGTATATTCTGTGAATACTCGAAATGTTCCCGACACAACGGAGCTCCGCGATACAGGACATATTCCTAGTGTGGTAGTTGTTATTTAACCAAAAAGAAAACTCGAAAACTGATATATTATAATTACCATTTTTCATATTCCGTTTATAATAAAGTATCAAGCAAAACCTTATTTCTTTCAAAAATGAAGGTTATGATTTACGAATGATAATTAAAAATGACTAAAATATGAAGTTTTTGCTTAATATGATAGATTTGAAATTACTAAATTCCAGGTGAACCACATAGATATATCACCGAACTATGCGGGGACGATGATGAGTATTAGCAATTTTGTGTCCAATATTGGTTCTTCATTCTCACCAATAGTGATTGGATTTATATTGACCGATGTAGTAAGTACATTATTAATTGGTAAGATTTCATGCAATTAACTTTGCCGTGTCAAAATTATTTACGAAACGTAGTCAAAAACAAGGCACTTCGTTAAGAGTATCGCTTTAACAATTATTTTAAATCCAATTACTTTACTTGATAATTAAAAAGGACTTAAAGACATTGTTTTCTTTTTGAAATAACATTTTGTTTAACTACTTCAGACTTAAAACTTAAAAAGGCGCATAAGTTAGTTAATTGTTATACATGTAAATACTATAGTCTCGTGAATTTCTATACTAAAGGACGAAACAATTCATTTATTCAAGTGCCCATTAAAACTTTTGATGACGTTGTTATTCATTCGCTGATAAACAACTAGCTAAGCAACTGATCCACACTTCTCGTGATCAGAAGTCCAGCCATTTCTAGTACTGAGAATTAGAATTGCCACTCAACATGGCAATGCTGCCGGTCTTTTGGGAACTCTACCAGTTGACGATGATGCGGAGGATTTTTTTGATGCTTATATGTCAATCAATCAATCAATCAACAGCCTATACTAGTCCACTGCTGGACATAGGCCTCTCCTTAGAAAGGAGGTTTTGGCCTACTATGAATTGGGATGCTTATATGTAAATAGTGTAAATGTTGTACATATTTTAGTTGCATTCTGATATATTTATTTTTTACTGTAAGCTTATATTTTATGAATATATCTGATAAAATAGATAATTTAAAATCCATAAATATTATTATCTATTAATCACATCAGAATACAATGTAATTATCGCGTATTATACCTTAGATGAACGTGAAAGTTACAAAAACAGAGTGACCAAAAATACAAAATACTAATTCAAGAATGAAAATTAAGTGAAAAAAGTATAGTATTTTCAAACATATATTTGTAAATGTCACGGTATGAATAACACATTTATTAATTTTATTTATTAATACAATATTTTATCAAAACTTAAAAATAGTATAAATATACTTTTATTAAAACGTGATTTTTTATATACCGTGTATACTACTCGTATATTTAAATAAGACAAACCTTGGACAGATTCGATTCGGACGAACAGTCCGTGTGTTGACGGATTAAAAATACATACACACAAAATCTATACCAACCCGTCCGGCCAGCGTGGTATAGTAGGCCAAAACCTCCTTTCTAAGGAGAGTCCTATGTCCAGCAGTGGGCTACTAAAGGCTGTTGATGGATACAATATTAAATATTCTAGGCAATATCCCGTTCTTTATGATTGCAAAATGATATAAAAACTTTTTACGTTAACTCAATCATATGTTAACATGATTAAAGAAAAAAATATTTTTTATCCCTGTTAACATTTATAAATTATTATTTTTCCGTGCTTTACAGGGAGACAAATATTTATGGAGGAAAGTGTTTTTCTTAGCAGCAGGACTTTATGTTATCACAAATCTAGTCTACGTGATATTTGGAACTAGTGAGAAAGCAGAATGGAACGATCCACCACAGGAGGAAGATGTAGAAGAAAACGTGCCGATGGTGAAGAGTTCTCTAAAGAAGCAATGATTTTCTTATTTTGATCTAAAGCTTTAAAGTTAGACATTTTTATCAAAACTTAAATATAGTATAAATATAATTTTATTAAATCCTATTTTTTTAATATACCGTGTATACATTTAAATAGGAAAACCTTGGTCAGTTTCGGTTCGGACGAACGGTCCGTGTGGTGACGGATTAAGAATACCGAGCATAGTGTCACTACCCCTATTTATCCCGTGGATGTTGTAAGAGCAGACTTAGAGAGCAAACTATGCAGGACAATAACACTGCAAAGAGAAGGAAACATTAAATAAACCCTATGCCGACCCGTCTGGCCAGCGTGGTATAATAGGCTAAAATCTCCTTCCTCAGGTGTGGCCTATGTGCAGCAGTGGACTATTACAGGCTGTTGATGATGATGGTCAGATTTATCTTGGAACAGGCTAAAGAAAAATGAGCTTTCTTTTTTATGATAAATTTGAACAATAAAAGTTCCCAATCCATTTCCGTTCTTAGTAATTTAATCCTTTATATTAAGGTAAAATTAAATATAAAGTTCCAATAATTCTCGTATAGGTAAAAATTGGTACGATTGTTGTGAATAATTTCTTAAATGAAATAAGTATATCCACTGACAAAGTAGCAGTATGAGATTCATTTCGATGAGATCATTAAGTTTTATAATTCTATCATATCCAACAAGAGGTCATTGAAATTTTATAAAAAAAATGACAGAATATTTTTTCTACTTCAAATCTTTTTCATCGTTTCCAAACGTATTTTTTTTTAGTATAACCAAATCACTAGATTCAACAAGACAATAAAACCATTTGAACTAAGCCTTCTCCATACAATTTTTGTAAAAACTGTATAATCTATATATTTTTTTGAGTTATTAGGAACTAGGACTAGGAATATTGTGTTACTAGGAACTTTTCACATATTATTTATAATTGTATTCTTAACATTTGGATTGTACTATTTTTTAAGTGTATACTGTAGTTGTGTCAATTGAGTCGACTAATTATTTCGACTTAACTTATCAGCATAGTGTCATTCAATATAACAGATAAAATATGTTATAAAGCCTTTTTAATTTTTACAAGTTTAAAATATGTTCATGGTTAATATTTGCATAATGATAGAAGCGATGACAATGCAAATAAGACAATCATATTATCAGCACATTTCCTTAAATATATACGAACAAAACAGTATACGGTGGGTGTGATTGTGAGATTTAGATACATCAGTTCAGAAGTTTCTTCAAATACTGCACTACAAATATTAAGCTGTCGTCACTTTAGTGCGTAAGACTATTATGTCTTTCTCGTAACTTTTGAAATGACTTTGCTCAGTTATATTACTTGTAGCTGTGAATAGGTCATCTAATGACGTTTTTAAGAAAATAAATACCGTCTAATGAACACTGCCATAGATAAAATTTTCATTCAGTGTTGTAACAGTTTACAATAAAGTACACATTTTTGATTGGATACGTAAAGTATAAAACATTAGTAGTGAGCTACTTAATAATATTGGAAACAACATGGTGGATAACAAAGAAGTTTCTGATGATATTCTGAAGTTTAAAGGTGAGTATACGTTTTTATAAAAATATATTAAACTCGATTTTGTTTCATAAATCAACGAAGGTTATCAACATTAATGCTTCACGTATTCTTTATTTTAAAATGTGTCGATATTTTGAACAATCTCTTGCGAAATGTAGATTTTGTATAAATGTTCTATAGAAAACTTGTAATTGTAACTATAAACTAAAAATACAATCAAAACATGTGTAAACATCTTGAGATTAGTAACGATAAATAATAACAGTCGAAGGCTTTATTGGTATGCTTTAACTTAAGGCTATGTGTATTACCTTACAAAATAATGTGTTCTAATCTAAACTAGCTAATAAGGAAAAAGAACAATGTTTAATCTATTTGTTTATTAAAACACAGATGGCGCCGGATGGGGCTACCGACATCAGCAATGCATCATATTATTTTTCGTATTAACTATAGGATACAGCATGAGATCATGCATGGGTGTAGCTTTGGTAGCTATGACTGATGACAGTATTGAAAAACTTAACGTCACTGAATTTAAAGGAGAAAACGCAACAAAAGAATTTGAAGCTGAGGGATTCTTTAATGCAATAATGCTAGTTCCACCGGTAAGTAATTTCTATGTAAAAAAAGAGACATTTCTCTGTGATTATTTGGGCGTTACAAAAAGGTATTATCAAATTTGAGGTAGTGTATGAATGTTAAAGTAGAAAAGCAAATTTTACTTTAACTTCTTCAAGAAATAAAAAATAAATCGTGATTTTTAATATCGATTTTTTTTCAACTGAGAAATTGAACTTGAAATTAACTAATAATACTGATAAGTGACAGAGCTGACAAGGGTGAAACTATAGGTATATAATGTCAAGTTTGTTGATGGAATTCCAGATTTTAAAATGGTTCAAATTAACATGAAATTAAGGAGAGCTATGCTTCGGCACGAATGGGCCGGCTCGACCGGAGTGATAAAACGGCCTCACAGAAAACTGATGTTAAGCAATTCTTTCGTTGCCTTAACTGTGTAAACCATAAACAAGACGACCCATATTGTTTCAAGTCAAATGAAGTTAGATTAATCAATAATTATCAAGGTGTCTTAAGCTAACACCTACCCATTATATCGTTTCAGTGTTTCTTTTCATAATTATAATAATAGTATTTGGTTCTAGTACCCAAAATTTGGTTGGACAAAAAAAGTGCAAGAAACGATAATAGCTTCATTCTTCTGGGGCTATATGCTGCTTCAACTACCAGCGGGACAATTAGCCCACAGGTTTGGGGCCAAGTATCTCTTAACTGGAGCTTTGATAGTGAACTCAGTGATTTCGATTTTATTGCCTACAGCAACATATTACGTAAGTCATGTTTATTCACCAATGATTACAGAATTACTTCTAGTCCTAACTTGATTATACTCATCCGATAATAAATAAATTTTTAAACAGATGAGTACAGAAAAAGTATATACATTACATTTCAGCTAGAAAACAAGGAGTGATATTGAAAACTCATTGAGAAAGTTTCGATTAATAGCAAAAAAACAAATCTCTTTCATTCTTTTAGTAGAAAGCGATCAGCGTTAGTTCACAGATTGATATAATATTGATTGAGTTTAATTGTAGGGTGGTTGGTACTGCGCAGTAGTATGCCGACTTACACAAGGGCTTAGTCAAGCATGTATTTTGCCTGGACTCCATACTACTCTTGGAAAATGGGCACCTCTTCATGAAAGAGGAAGATTAAGTGCATTCGTCTATGGAGGTAAGTGATTTTAATGTATTCAAAATGGTCTACATCATATTTCAAAGTGTAACATTTAAGCATTATTGTTCCAGGTCAAGCTTTAGGAACTGTTTTCGGTCTACCACTGACAGGTTTCATATCAGCTTCACCTATGGGTTGGCCTGGTATATTCAGATTTTACGGTGTAGTATCTGGACTAATGGCCGTGCTAGTATGTTTTTTCGTATATGATACCCCGGCTCAACACTTGAAAATTTCTGCTGCTGAGAAAGAATATATTGAAAACGACTTAGGTTCCAGTGAAGGTAAAAAGGTAAGAATAACTATCTAACTGTTTAAACTGAAATTATGCTGTGCACGGTATATTTTATTGTCTTGGTAATATTCTTTTTAGAAAATGCCGGTACCTTGGCTGAAAATACTCAGCCATAGAGGAGTATGGGCTATCATCGTCGCACATATTGGTCAAACATGGGGCCAACTTGTTTTGTATTCAGAAGTACCAGCATATATGAACAACATTATGGGAGTTAACATTAAAGCGGTAAATAAAACTGATAATAAATTATGCACAAAACCACATGAATATCTTATATACTTATATGATTTATAATTAAAATCTTCTTACTAAACTTTTATTGATCTATAGAATGGAATGCTGACCGCTTTGCCCTTCTTGATGATGTGGTTTTCCAACTTTTTCTTCAGTTGGTTCACTGATTGGTTGATTGTAAATAATATAACAAGCGTTACAAATACTAGAAAAATTGCAAATTCTTTAGGTTTGTATTTCTCAAATATTTCTTATTTATCTTAAATTTGAATTTTAGAGATATGTCACGTTCAAACCTAAATTTAATAAACAAAAAATTTTTTACAGGTAATATTCCAGCTGGCATTGGCTTGATAGTTTTGGCGTATGCACCCAATGATATTTATGTTGTAGAAACAATTTTAGTTATTATTTGTATATTCAAAATATCAGCTCACTGCGGATTCCAGGTATTGCTTTTACTACACATGTTATTTTCGCATCCCTTATGATATCCTTATTTAGTGTCCATGATATGTACAATATTACGCTTTTAATACTGAATTACAGAGAATTTATACCACTATAACTGTTACCAATGCATGTATTGACTTTATTTAATGACAATTTCGTTATCATTCAAACAACACTAAGCAAAAATCTAAATTAATATTTGTAATTAAAATATCTGCAATAAAAAGTGTTAGAAACTTAGACGTCAAAAGAAAAACTTTAGAATTAGAAGAAAATCTCATATCTATAATATTCGTAGTAAAATTGTAGGTCCAGCAGTGGACTGCAATAGGCTGATGATGATGATGAAAATTGTATTCTGCTATGCATGTTACTTTTTTACAAAAAACTATACAAATCGTTTATCCAATTACAGATAAACCACATAGATATAGCACCGAATTATGCGGGGACCATGATGAGTATTAGCAACTTTATATCGAATATGGGAGCATCACTAGCTCCAATAGTAATTGGATTTATACTAACCGATGTAGTAAGTATTCATTTATCGTTACATGAGACAGTTGTTTCAGTAAAACCAACACTGTTTATTTAAAGATGACTGCACGGATGGCGTAGTGGTTTAAGCGGTCGCCACGCCGCTTCCTACTACGCCGAGTGTTGTGGGTTCAAACTCCACATGGGACGACACTTTGTGTGATCCACAAATTGTTGTTCTGAGTCTGGGTGTTCTTTGTGTCCGTTTCATGTATGTTTGTAAAGTCCCCCGCCACACAGGATTTATTCCTAATGCGGGAGTTGTCTTTAAAAAAAAGAAAAAAAGAAAAATAAGAATTCTATTCCTCATAAAAGATGTTCGTATATACCTTTATCTTCATTAATAACTTTACTCATAGCTAACACTCATACAAGTATGTAAATAAATCTTGGAAATGTGTTATAAATTACTTTTAATAGGTGTTGAACAGCTTAGTATTTATAAAGTTGTATTTATATGTAGTTAGTGTGACAATGCTATGATTGGTCTTCGAGATCTAAACTGGATCCAGAGGAAGGATTAATATTTTCTGTGGCTACCAGTAAACCATTCTAATTTGTGCTCATGTGATTCAATTTAGTCAAATTGAAGCATACGAGTATGAGCACAAATAATAATTTAATAATTTTTCTGCCAGTCTCGGACTCGGGAATTGTAGAAGATGCTTTTACTTGAAAGCCAATCTCATTACTTATTTTATCACCAGCAACTTGCTTATAACTCATGAGTTGTACCCCGCTGCTATAACCCTTATAATAAAAATATTTGTAGTTTTGATAAAATAGAACATAATTAATTTTAATACCAAAGACAACCGATATGTGAAAAAATTCTTTATTGCCATGTAGTCAGCCAATACATAACAAATGTATTTATTAATTGGACTTGTTTATCACTAAACTTATTATATCCTAACAGAGAGATCAGTATCTATGGAGGCAAGTATTCTTCTTGGCTGCTGGATTGTACCTCGTCACGAATCTAGTCTATGTGATATTCGGAACTTCTGAAAAGGCTGAGTGGAACGATCCACCACAAGAAGGAGATGTTGAAGAATCTAAACCGATGATGACTGAAAATAAAAAGTAGATTTAGAAAGTAGAATTAAGAACTCGTTGTTTTTTTATTTTCCGACTTCCAAAAAAGGAGGAGGTTCTTCTTCTTCGAAAATGTATTTTCACCGATTCCTCGAAGACGCCTGAACCGATTTGGAAAATTATTTTTTTGTTTTAAAGGGTATACTTCCCAAGTGACCCTATTTAAATTTTATTGAAATTGGTCAAGCAGTTCTAAAAAAACAACAAAAATCTAAACGTTGTATATATCGATGATATTTTTTTTTTCAAGAAACTTTGCTGTCTCATTGGAGCAGTGCGTTAAGTTGGTCTTTGTTAGTATTCTTTAAATTATTTTTAGTAAGTGGTTAAACAAACACAATAAATACCATCATCATGACGAGGGCATGGATTTAGGATCAAGTGGTAGCAGGTTCGAACCATACCCCATGTACCACAAGAATAAATATTTTGGATTTTGAAGTAGGAAAAGTTCAATTCTAATAAGTGCTTTTTCAATGTTATAAAAAAGTACATATTTATTTATACTTACCGACCATTGAAAAAATTGACTTTTAAAGTTAGTTGCAAAACAAACACAGTCAGACACGTACACACACCCACGCACACTCTCATAAACACACGTACATGCACATACAAGTAACCAACATAGAAAAGACGCTTGTATTGATTTTAATTGGTAATCATTATTCCTCTAGCTATTTCCTTACAAAAAACATTTAGCACATATGTACATAGTCATTAAACATGTAAGTAACATAGTTGGATAAGCCGGAATCTCTTGCATCAAAACATTTCTGTTTATATATTACAACAGCCACAACAAATGTTTTCAGCCGACCAAGGCAAGGTCAGTAAAAATACTTGAAAAACGATTAATTTCCTTCGACAGTAGAATTTCATTACAAGCTCCAAAAGAATCTGTTTCAAAGGTTCTGTAAAAGTTTGGAAGGTTTTTGAAAGATGTTTCTTTGGACATTTGTTTTCACTTTTCAATGAATTAACATGAACTTGAATTATTTGGAGCCCTTAATCTTAACTTCATTCCTTAACAATGTAAAATAAATAACTAATGCTTACTGTTTACGATATATTAGTCCTAATATCCTTTTAATTTTCCATGCCTGTCTTTCCTGCCATCCATGGTATGGTCTATCCCTAGATATTGTTGGTACTAGAAAGCGATAATTTTTTGTATAGTTATACATATATTAATCACGGGGACAAAATGGTGATGTAAAGTTTTCAAAATATACATGAAAGGATACACGTGAAGTGACTATGCTTTTTTCTGTTCTGTTTTTAACCGTTGTTTATGGTAAGGAAATAGGGGGTTATGCAACAATTACAAATATATGTTTAATATTTAGACAGCTCTTTGATAATTGCACGAATAGTCTAACGTTGAGAATTAGAAAATACCATCACTGTTATAGTGTGCATCAAGCAATTTTAAGCGCTGATCTCAAAATAATCTCTCAAAATTTTCAAATGCTGGTTACTTTTGATATTTTCGATCGAATATAAACCCAGTTTTTTATGTGGAAAGCAGAGATTTATATAAGACTAAACAGGTTGTGTTTAGGATTAAATAATAAACATTTTACGAACACGCAAAAAATTATCGTCAACGATTTCATTTCATATCTTTATGTAAGAGCTACTAGATTTATATATTTTTTTATTTTAAACAATATAAAGCTACACTTAAACCTCCGAGATAATAGAGCGGAAATGAAATCTTACACAAATGTTGACACAACGGCTTTAGATTATATTTTAATTAAACATTTCTACTGAACGAATTCTTATTACGAAGGCGTCTGTAAATATAAAAATAGCCTGCAAATTAACAACAAATTATGTTTTTTTTTTATAGCGAAGCAAAATTAAAAGTAAAACACAGTACTACTGTGTTCTATGGCTTCAATATAAGATCATTGTTTTAATAGCTTTGTACTCATCATCATCATTAACAGCCTTTAATAGTCCACTGCTGGACATGTGACAATTTTTCTGATTGTGTCTTTATTAGCGAAGGATGCAAAGTAAAGTTGGCAAAAGTTTTTTGCTCGTTTATACCTGCCGCCAACCGTCCTTGAGAATGAAGTTATTAGCAGACGGGACAAAGAAGGAGGGTAAGTTGTGGGTAATCAAATCGTAGAGGGCGATTGAAATAGAGTGAGGGAAACCACAACCCTCACATACAGAAAGAGGACTGTGACTGCAGCCGAAGAGACTATGATCGCATCGTCCGTTCGGTGATTGGAGATGCTACTTGGACAGAGTTTGACTGCACGGCTGGCGTAGTGGTTTAAGCGGTCGCCACGCCGCATACTACTACGCCGAGTGTTGTGGGTCCGATTACCACATGGGACGACACTTTGTGTGATCCACAAATTATTGTTCTAAGTCTGGGTGTTCTTTGTGTCCGTTTCATGTATGTTTGTAAAGTCCCCCGCGACACAGGATATATGCGTGAGTTGTCTTTAAAAACAAGATATACAAGACAAAGATACCTCCTGGCCAACTTAATAGTTACTTATTGTTAATGTTAAAATTAATATAATAAATAGTTAAATAGTTAAAAATTAATATAATAATATAATAAATAAATTAATAAATAAAGATAATAAATTCACACGTCTGACGTGTATGTCGCTTATATCGGTAAAAAGTAGCCGTTACTTGCAGATAATGTAGCTTTCAATTGGTGGTGGTAGCATCCCAATTTTTTAAATGAATGTGGAGGAAGGGGTGTCATGTCCCTCCTCTGGGAAGTTGTATACATGCTGATCGGCGAGAGAAATCTTCTTATCGCGATACATGATTAGCATTTCTCATTCAGGAGTTACTCCGTAGTTCGGTGTTTCTTCGTTAGATGGCGCTATAGTATGTTTCTGTTTCTTTGTATGTGGGAGTTGTCACAATGAGTTTTGTGCTTTAGGCCTGAAAGCGCTACAAACAAACAACCGTGCGTGTATTTATGAACCACCTTTTTAATTATTTTATGAGAAAACACCAGTGGCCTTAAGTCCGTGTGATCATATAAACTAAGCAGAACACAGAAATTGGCTCCAACATGCTCGACCTCATCCTTGTTAAATTCTAACCCAACACTAAGGCATCCGAGATAATTTATGTAACAGATGCTAACTCAATTTTCTGCAGACTAGAGTTCAGTTTAAATTTACCTCCAAAGCGGCAATATATTTAGTGATTATAAAAAGTTATCATTAAATACGGATATTATAGTTTTCAAATACTTTAATAATACAATACAAACATTAATATACTTATACAAATACGACGAAAATACAATACAATTAATCAGATATTTTTTTTATTCGTTCAATGGTTTCCGGATGCCAAACGAGTAATATTACATTATTAGATGCTGATGGATACAATTATGTAAAACACGAGTGTGTACGCAATGGAATTTTGATATTAGAAAATGTGCCTGGTGTGTGCATGAAACACGGGCTTTATCACAAAGTAATTTAAAAAAAAGTGCTTAAAAACAAATTATAAAATGTTTTGTATATGCTCGTGGTTGATGTAACTGAGTCACTGCCTTTGTTTTACTAATGTTTTTTTAGTTTTTGGTAATTTAGTGTTTCCATTTCTCTATGAAACAGTTTATTCTCACTTTCTATAATTTTACTTGTTTTACTGGCCTTCTAGTATGTCTTAAAGGAAATATCTGATTCTAGCCTTAAGAAACTCGGGGATTTTCAGTACCTAAGTATTAAAAATTAAAATAAAAAAACTACGCAGCACTGCAAAAAGAAGGAAAACTTGAAACAAACCCTATACATACCCGTCTGGCCAGCGTGGACTGGTAAAGGCTGTTGATGATGGTGATGATAATGAATAAAAAATATATTCATGAGTGGAAATTCAATTAAATATTTAATTCATTAGAATAGTTCTTAGCCTGTGACAAAATATTTACGAACAAAAATATTTTTTCTAATCTGGTGTTAGGTTAGACAGGTGTTATATATTTACAAATTTGTTTGTGGCTTGTTCGATACGATTCCACTAATCCTTTTAGATTTTTCAACTGTACTTATTAAAAAAGATTTCTACGAATTGAAAACCTCCTCGTTTTTTGAAGTCGGTTAATAAATACCTTAAATATCATTTAATCTTTAGGACTCTACGATAAAATAAAAAAAATCAATATAAAAAGACTGTAATTTCCGAATCAAAAGAAATGTAAAACGAATTCGTCAACCGCTCAGAGCACATGATTTTGACGGTCGAGAGCACAGTGCTCTTTTTGATGTGAAACCGTTTGTTAGCGTGGCGACGTGTCGTGATTTTCCAACCTAGCCGTCCTCACTACTTTTGAACGTTCCTTGTAACTAAAAATTTTGACTTGCACGAATTTCAAAATGCATTTCTTATATTCATCTCTGCGAACCTGGTAGTATAAAGCAAGTACTTATGCTAATTATATAATACATTCTAATTATAGCAGCACAATAGTTGAACGGCAACAGATTTCAAATAAATCTTTCAAATAGAAGACGACACTCGATTATGCGACTTCTCCTTATTTGAGACTGTAACTTTGATAGAACTTTATTAACTGTGTAACAGGATCTTTAACACAGTATTTTTTAAGATAGAGATGGAAAGCTACCGCCGCCCATGAACACCTGCCATTCATGAATCACAAGCGCGTTCTCAGTCTTTGAGGAAGGTGTACGCTCTTTTCTTGAATATTTGAAGGTCGTATCGGTCCGGAAATACCGCAGACGATAATTTTTTTCACAGATTTATTGTGCGAGGCAAAAAGTGTCTTGTAAAGCGCACAGTAGCGGAGTGCCAATTATCCAAGTGATGGGGAAACATTTTGCCGTGTGGAACGATGGTGGAAAGTTGCAGCCGTTATTAGTCTGAACAACTTCTAGGAGCACTCTCTATGGTATATACGGTAGAGAATGCAGAGTGAAACATCTCTACGTAACGCCAAGGGGTTGGGGGGTCGAGCCGATCGATGATTTGATTACAGTGCCGTTCGGTGCTCCTGCATAGAGAGAGATGTTTTGACTATAAAAATATTTTACACAACTTACTATCATTTACTAACTAACCGACAGAGAGATTTAAACAATTTCCTCATTGCGAAATTAACGAAATTTAAAGTCGCAGATCCTAAAGTGTAAATATGTTTAAAAACAAAAATATTCAAAATTAAATAAAAGTATCTATTTTGCGATCTTTTAACAACGCGATACTAGCAGGTATATATCAAAAATTCTAATTTTTGTTATTATTATTTTGTGTCAAAGGTGGCAGACGGGTCACCTGATGGAAAGTGACCATCGCCACCCATGAACGTCTGCAACTCTGGAGTCATAAGAAAGAGATTTATCTGTTTCCACTTAAGAATAAGAAGTATAGGCTACTAGCTTTTGCCTGCAGCTCGCCTGCAGTAAGTATGCCCTATGTCGTTCCTCAAGAATCAAAGTATCTTCATACCAAATTTCATCTAAATCGCTTCAGCGGTTTTACATACAAACTTACACCTCCTTTTCACCCCCTTAGAGGATGTTTTCTGTGGTAAAAAGTACCCTATGTCCTTTCCTGGGACTCGGAAAATCTCTGTTCCAAATTTCATCTATATTGGTTGGGCGGTTTAAGCGTGAAGAGGTAACAGACAGACAGACAGAAAGACAGACAGACGAACACACTTTTGCATGTATAATACTAGTATATATTTATAATATAGAAACGGAAGTATGGATTTCTTAAGTAGAAAGTAGTGTGTTTTTTATTTAATTTCCCTTTCCTTATGTTTTACTTGACTTTCATTTCTATTCCAACATTTTTCTTTATCTTGTTTTTTCTTCATTACCCTTTCAGCTTTTAGTCCTTAATAAAATAACAGAACAGAATAAAACAGTACAAATTTAACATTATATGAAGATGTTACATAAATCAAATGTTCTACATGTTTTACCAGTTATAGCGTAGCGAAGTTTTGTGAAAATCAATGGATCAAAAGATTGGAAACGCACACATTGCATAGTGACATTTATTTTCTATATGTACGAGTATAAGAAGAAACTAACAGACTCATTCTCTGACTGATCAAACAACGCACAGATTTAACCGTTGGGTCTAGAAGCATGAAATTTTGCACAAGTGTTCCTTAGGTGACTTAGAAGTCCATTAAAAGAACGGATTAAAAAAAAACATTCCTATGGGTGCAAATTGGGAGTTGGCAATTTATATGAAACTTTTTCAATTTAGTAGTACGGTTTTCAAACTTACAGTAAATATTCTTTATTAAAAGTAAGATAAAAACGTTGTTACTAATTTTTCAAAACTAACCTTAAAAAGGGGTTTCCTCTACGATGTCTGATGTCGAGCATCATGCAGACAAAATGACGGGCAAAAGCTAATTATTAATATGAATTCAATTCAACTGAAACTCACACGTGTTTTAGATAAATTTTGTAATGTCTTACGTAGCTGCAAATGTTTTATCATTTAAACGTCTTGATCTTAGTTGACGCTATCATGACTTGAGATCGTGTTCAATATATAGGAATTTTTATTGGCATATTAAATAAAATATCTGTGAATATTGGATACGATGAGCGTCCAAGATGTGTGTGAAGTTAAAAAACCGAGTAAGTTGAATAACTTTATTATTACAACTGTAGTTAACTGTAACTGTCTATAAATGTAACTCTAGCAGTATTAAAAAAAATCCTGCAAAATTATCGTCAAGTTTTTGGCTAGTGGGACTGGAATATCAAGCTGAACCGTCTGTATAAAACCTAGCACGTAGCAGCAATTTGCAGTTTGCATTTTCGATAACTCGATACCAGCTTGTGTCGTTCGTCGTCGTTGACGTCAAAATAACAAATCCCCAAAATATCTGATGTCTTACATTGTTGAAAAGCTTCTACAGGTTTCATCCACATCAAATGTAAAAAAATCCTATGATCAAATTAACAAGAATCAGCAGGATGATTTGATCCCATACGAATCATTTTGGTCTAGTATTTTTCCATTTTTAAAATACTTAACAACTGATAGACTTCGTTTTGTGCACCGAGGATAGAGACTAATCTACGACTGAAAAATTGGTGACATAAATTTAGAGCTGAGAGTGATGAATAGCAGCAGCGCAGCATCGTTGTCCTGCAGAATCAGTATCAGGGTGCAGGAGATTTTGAGTTTGAGGATTTTCAAAAGTATACTTCAACCATGAATTATACTTTTGAATTTGCATTAGACCCGATGTGTTTTGAGCAGACATGAAACTTAACCATCATTATCTTGCTCTTGTTTCATCATCATCATCATCATCATCATCTCTTTAGTAAAAATTGAAATTGTTAATACACATGAATGACGACTTACAAGTATTATATCATAAATATTTTAGTTTGTTTGAAACAGACTTAGCACCATATATAAGATATTTGTTTTAATGGAATTGATTCTTAAGCAAATAGATAAACATTTTAAAAGATGACGTAGAGAAATCCCCAAATTCAATTTAAACAGAAAACGCAATAAAATAAATTACTTTTATAAAGTATTGTAGTTTTTTTGACAAAATTGTAATACTTTGGTTTTAATAAATGGCGGTAATATTAAAATTGGTGGTACATTCGAAGGAAAAATAGATGAGAATGAATGGTTGTGGTAAGAAAAGGATATACGGATGGATTGGGGAGTCTAAACAATAACTGCAGTTCAAGGTCGGATACCTTTATACAATTCATTTAAAAAAATATAAACATATCTTTAAAGACATATTCAATATCACAAATATACGTGGGTTAAGTGATTTAAAGTAAAACTTGCATGACAAGCCGTTTCATGGCTTAAAAAAATTACCATATATTTCTAAGTAAAAGTTTTATATTCAAGAACCTATAAGATAATCTATGCCTATTATGGGTCTAGGAAACGCCTTTTCATGTCACGATATAGAACACTGTTTTTGTTATTATAATCTATCTGTAAGTCAAAATTGTTATGATAATAAATCTCCAACGGTTTATCACTAAATTGACATATATTATCAGGCTTACCTTCTGTTATCCAGATAATTTTCAGTCTCGTGAGCTCTATCTAGCTTTTAACTACTCTCAATTGCCTGTCTTTCTTGCTCACCACAGATATAGAGATTCGCTTCACCTTGCTTAATCTTATCTATATAATACCAATAAAGACCCCTGTCGGTTGTAAATCTGGATTAAATTATGCAAAAAAGTTTTATAAATTTTTTCAATGATGATTTATTGCTATTTTATTTTGATGATTGATATTCAAACAATTTAAAATACAACTTACATCATTATCATAATATTTTTTGTTGTCCTTTTCCCAATTTTATTTGGGGTCAGCAGTAGCAAATTCTTTGTAATTTTAGACCTAATAGTCCACCCAATGCTGCAATGCAATGAAACATAACATTTCAAAGAACTTTGGATGGTCCTTATTATGACCAGCCGCTATTCTGACGCCGAGACTCCTTGGGAATTAAATTATTAGACAAAACAATTCTTATAATGTAAGTATTGTATGTGTATGTAAGATAAAAAAAAAGTAGATATTATGTAAAAAATATTAAAGTAGGTAATTCTTTTCAGGTGGTCTCGGTAACCGACACTTGCAGACTATTATGTGGTTTTTAGCTATGGTTCTCGGGTACGGGATTAGAAATAACATGAGTATGGCCATAGTTGTCATGACAGATCCAACACTTGAAAATGTAAGTAAAGCTATTCATAATTAGTTGTAAGTTTTCTATCGCAGTAGACGAAAGTAATAGAATGTGTACGTACAGTGATATATAATTAATATATTTATTTTTACACTACTGCAGCTACAAAACACCTAGTCTACCCATTGTTTCTACTGTCTATCTACTGTCGATTTGTCCATCCAAAGGTTGTCTGTAGGAGATTGCTTTTACAAGCTTTGCGATAATGCCGCCAATTGTACGTTTTCGTCTGTAATATTTATCTAACATATTGTAATTTGTGTACAATAAAGAATATTCTATTCCAATCTATTCTCAGCGTAGAATTTAAACCTTTGCAAGGTGCCCATTGATTTATAAAAGGCAAGCAATTTTTTTTAATGTTTTTGGAGTTTACTTCTTAAGAATTGATTTTCATATAAGGCACCAGGCAATGATTGGTATAAAAAAATTTAAAGATTAAAATTTTGTGATCGAATGACCTTGTTACCTTGTTTGTGCGCAACCTATCATGCGCACTTGTAACTTTTTAGTAATGTGTATGTATACAACTTGCATACTTGTGTGCAGCGGAATCGTTCTTAACACACACTTTTTTTTAACTTATAGTCCTTCGACTGGAACATGCAGACCCAGAGCGTAGTGTTGTCATCATTCTTTTGGGGTTACATCGTCCTTCAGATCCCTGCGGGTGAGCTATCTGCGAGGATTGGCGGGAAGATCTTAATTATTTTTGCAATGACTACGAATGCCATTATGTCAATTTTGACACCATTCAGTGCTTATTATGTAAGTTTTTTTAACAATCATTTATTGTTTTGCCGAATCTATAAAACTGCAGGTTCGGTAGCTGCTACTGCTGCTTCGACCTGAATAATGTGTGCTGTTTGTACTATTACAACATGGATAATTTTCTAATTATCATCATCTTTTTTCATCCTTTTTTACCAGATTACCATAGATTAACAGATTTTATACAAATTTAAACAATAACCATGAACAAATAATAATAACTACGCAATTTTTGACTGCACGGATGACGTAGTGGTTTAAGCGGTCGCCACGCCGCTTTGTACTACGTCGAGTTTTGTGGGTTCAAACCCCACATGGGACGACACTTTGTGTGTTACACTAATTGTTGTTCTGAGTCTGGGTGTTCTTTGTGTCCGTTTCATGTATGTTTGTAAATTCCGCTACGACACAGAATATATTCCTAATGCGGGAGTTGTCTTTTTAACAAATTAAAAAGAAACACACGACGCACGATCCTAAACTAGGCAAAGTCTGTACTCATCCTGTGGTAGCCAGACTGATGATAAACATATTCACATATATATTCTAAATACATACTTAATTATAGATAATTTACATCCAGACACATTAGGGTCAGTCAAGGTTAGTCAGGGTCACTAGCCACCAGAGCAACAGACCAGTAAAAATGTCAATTCATCATAAATAAAACATAGAATTCTATGGCCTTTTGTGTTATTGTTAAACGGACGTTCCATTCATAAGTATTAAAATAAATTTAGACTCATGAAGACAAAATATGTATTTTTATCAGGGTGGTTGGCAATTAGTGTGCGCTTGTCGCGTTATATGCGGCTTATCACAAGGATTCTTATTACCTTCCATTTATACTTTGGTGGGGAAATGGGCCCCAATAGAAGAAAAAAGCCGTATAGGAGCAGTAATAAATTCAGGTTAGTTTCTTTTTGTAAATGTTAAAAATATATATACATATATAATAATAAAAATAAATAAATAGGGATAAAAGTACTAATCATTATTTTTTTAAATATTTTCAGTGGTGTCATAATCTAAGGTTTTTCACCATTTATAAATAACTATGACTTTTTGTTAGCTATAGCCTGTTTTTTAATGTCGGAACTAAAACTGAAATTACGTGGATTACTACTTTATTGCAATTCTTAAATAGTTATGTGCAACTACCGGCAATTGACGTTTTTAAAATCAAGTTATTGTCTTTTATATTAATTAATAGTTCTGAAAAATGTGTAGGTACTTATTTAAAACGTCATAATGCAAAATTAATGAGGTAAACACAATATTCATATATAGTAAAAAAAGGAATTACAATGTAAATGTCCTTGGATCAGACGTCACCGCGTTGTACCAATAATAAATATAAGTAAATAAATTCCAAAATGGAAAATTGTTAAAATGCAGCAAGCAAATTATATAATAAAGATATATTATTTAATGCTTTTCCGTTAACTTAGTTACACTACCGAAACCAACATCTTTAGTAAAACTTTTACCATTTTGATAGTGTGTTTCTAGACTACAACTAACATCATTTTTTCGTTGTTTTTTTTTGGAAGAGAGTCCAAACAAATCACCTGATGAAAAGCTTTGTTTTGTTTCCAGGATCTCAACTAGGAACTGCCCTTCAAATGTTGATGTCAGGTTTTATAGCAGACGCTTGGGGCTGGCCTGCGATTTTCTTTGTAAACGGAATTACTGGCATTGCATTTGTTTTAATTTACTCAGTGGTTGGAGCTGACAGTCCTCGGAAATCTAAATTTATTAGTGACGAAGAAAGATTATATATAGAAACCTCTTTGAAACAGATTGGTAAACCTAAGGTAAGATTAATACATTTTGTTTATCTAAGAAATCAAATATGTTCAAGTTCTTTTTTTATATGGAAGAGGGAGTACGAGCAGACAGGTCACCTGATGGAAAATGACTACCGGCGCCCGTGAACAACTGCAACTCAGTTAAAATGAATCAAATTCAGTCGATCCCAATCTACAACCTCCGCTGAGGTTACAATTTCAGACACAAGTTTGTTTCGAGTCTCAATGACGTTTTAGTGAAGAAATATTGGGGCAGCCGGTATAAATGCTACTAGTTTGAAACATGTCATTGATATGCATTAGAAACATAGCCGTCGATAACCTTAAAGCTGCTGTCTGCAAAGAAACTAGTGGAATTAATGTAGATGGAACGAATAGTTTCATGCCCTGAACCACTACATTAGTGAAAGAATCAGCAACGATATTGGGATCATCCGGTAAGAAACAAATCTGCCTCCATGGGTGAAATGCAAAGACAGCGCATCACATCTCAGTCCGCTGATCTGTAGTGTTATACGCCGCGGTAGCCTGCAACTCGCGGCCGCGGTGAGCACCTGAGTGTCACTGTATTTCAGATTAGGCAATGACTCGAGGGGCCGAGTGGGGCTTCAACGGTGGCTGGTTTATAACGAAGACAAGTTATTTATGTTATTATTAATATATATTTTTTATGTTAGAGGGGGCAAACGGGTCAACTGATGAAAAGTGACCATCGCCGCCCATGCACCTCTGCAACTTAAGAGTCACAAACTCGTTAATTTGTATATTCCTTATGTTACAGAAATTAAAAACTCCATGGAAAGCAATGTGGACATCAGTACCGTTTATATCATTGATATTTGTACACTGCGCGCAAAATTGGGGTTATTGGACGCTAATGACTGAAACACCGTCATATATGAATCAAATGCTCAACGTTAATATTAAAGCTGTACGTATAAAATACATATTATTATTTAAATTATTTTCTCATTGTTAACACATTTCATAGGATAATTATAACAGTTTCTCATAGATGGACTCGAAGCGCTTTATATCGTACAGAGCGAGGCTTCAAGTCATGAATTTTATTTATATAGAGTGTTCGTGTAGTGACGGATTAAGAAGACAGAATGTCACTACCTCTATTCATGCCGTGGGTGGTAATTAAAATTTGACACCAAACCTATATCAACCCGTCTGGCAAGCGTGGTATAGTAGGTCAAAACCTCCTTTCTAAGGATAGGCCTATGTGATGTGATCGGATAGGTTTAATTGGAAAAATGACATCAAAAATAATTGGGGCTTGGTATTGCAAATCTGCTACACTGAATGAATTATTAACGACCATCGGGTGACTCTCAAATTATGATGTTTTGATTCAAATTAGTGTGGTTATTTTCACTTGATATGTTATTAGAAACGAGTTATATAGTACTAACAATTTCGTCATTGCCCTTGAACGTTTAATGATTATAATAAAACTACACAGAACGGCATTATGTCAGCCCTACCGTACCTCACCGTGTACATCCTGAGCTTTCCGTTTGGATATTTCGCCGATTACATCATAAACAAGAAAATTCTGAGTGTGACTGCAACTAGAAAGCTGTCTAATTCTATAGGTAAGTGTAAATGATTGTTTACTTTACAATATGGTTTCACGATATCACAGTAGGATTTTAAGTTAAAATTTAAGTTAAACTTTTTGGTATTAAGGAAATAACTAATCAATTACTAATGCCTTAAATAAGAATGCTCTTACAATACTTTTATCCAGAAAGATATAATTGTGTTCAACAAGTTGAAAAATGTACATTAACACCAGTGGAGCAGCTGGCAGAACCTAAAAGGCTATAATTTTTTTCAGCTTTTATATGGACTTTAATAAAAGCATGTAATGGCTCAAAATTGAATGGCTTTTCTAGGTCTATACGGTCCAGCTATTGCGTTAATTGCATTGTCCTACGCGCCCCCTGGTAACGTCACAATAGGAGTTTTATTAATCACGGTCGTGGTTGGCCTCAACGTGGGACGATTGACTGGTCTTATGGTATTATTTTTTTCAAATTCTTTATTATTCGTTCATTTAGTACGTTACGTAATTATTTTATGTGTAGGTAACGATGATTGCTGATGTAGTTTTATGGTTATACTAAGAAATTCACGTTATTTTTAATTTGGCTAGTGTCTTTGGTCGGCCGCTTGCCTGGTGCCTTCCTTGGCAACGTAACAAATTTTAGGTGAAACAAAATAAAGAATGTAAAATATCGGTAACTCAAATGCATAGGGCGGGAAAGTTCCGATAAAGAATTGTGATAATATAAATGTGACAGTGAAGTTTGTTTGTTAGGCTTTCACTCCTAAACCACTAAACCGATTTAAGAAAATCTTTCACCAAGCGCAAACTACATCATTAGCGAGTAACATAAGCTACTTTTTACCGCGATAACTGACATACACATCGGCGTAAAAAGCTAGCTCTGATGGGAAAATAGAACTAAGGTGTAATGGGTCAAAGTGGCTAAGGTTGTCTACCGTCCTATGATTGAACAGGTCATTAAAGTGATTATAATATTTAAGTTTAGTACTAGAAGGAAATGTATTGTCTAATGAATACTATCATTAATACTCCCAAAACTTTACGTTTAATTTTTTATTGTTCAACGAAGAAGGAAGGTTATGTTTGTCAAGTGTACGAGTTTGTATGTATGTATATTTCTTTGACACAATTTCTGGTCTAAACGGCTTGATAGATTTTGATATGGTAGGTGTCGTAATATTCGTCTTAATTGTGAGAGTGATACAGAGCGTATAATTTAAAAAAAAAAAGTTTTTTTTTCAATTTCAAGTACCTATACACTTTCACACAGTCGGGCTTTATGTTTTTTTTTAAATTGAATAGTTAGCTTGTTACTTGTACTAAAAATCAATATCGTATTTATGAAGATTTTATTTTTATACTTAGCTCGTACATCTGGACATGTCTCCGAACTTCGCCGGAACACTGATGGGCATAACCAACATGAGTGCCAACATTATATCGATTATTGCACCATTAGTTGCAGGGCTTATTCTCAGAGATGAGGTATGTCGTTTGGTACAAGACATTAATGTGTTTGTATTGTTTATATATGCTTTGATATTTAGTTTGTATGTAATTCACATCATCACATCAACAGCCTTTAATAGGCCACTGCTGGACGTAGACCACTCCTTGGAAAGGTAGTTTTGGCCTACAATACCACGCTGGCCAGACGGATTGGTTGTAGGGTTTGTTTCAAGTTTTCCGTATCTCTGCAGTGCTGTTTGCTCCCTTAGTCGCCTCTTACGACACCCAAGGGATGAACAGGGGTGGTGACACTCCCTATGTAAAATTATAAATGACAATAATTTGATGGTGAATTAAAATAAGATTTAGTTTCCAAAAATAAAATATTTGTGTGTCGTTGTCTGCGTTGTCCCCTTCAAAATGTATACATCGTACCTAAAGTTGTTTGTCTGTGTTGAAAACAACTAACACAAACAGGACAGTTTTATAATGCTGGTGTTGATGTAAATCGATCGTTTGTGGTGACAGCCACAACACAGTTGACAAACACAGCGACAGCGGAAGGAAATTTAGTAGTCAACTGTTGGATCCCTATGTTTTCACAAATCAAATCAAAAATCAAATCAAATTAAACTTTATTTGTTTAGAATGTAGGTAAAAATACAAATTAGACTTTGTGTAAGTAAAGTAAGTATAGGCCAAAACCTCCTTCCTAAGGAGAGGCATATGTCCAGCAGTGGACTAGTAATGGCTGTTGATGATGATGATGATGAAAGGAAGTTCCAGGTACATTCTGCACACAATAATATGGAAAACCTTGTTTGTCAAAATAACTACTAAATGTCAAATAATATGTCATTAAAAAATAAAAATAATATTATAATTAAATTGCATCATTGAAATAGTCTGTTAGGCAGTAATAACATTTATTTCACAGCTTTGACAGTCTATCAAGATATAAATACAAAGCATTAGGCAAGGTCTTCGGATGATTGATGATTTCTATGAATTATTCTATTAGCTTCTTGTTTAATCTTTTCTTAGACTAATAATTTTAATTATGTAAATCCCAAAGTGACGGATAGTCCGTGTATCCGTGCGTGCGTGTCCGTGTGTAAGTAAGAATACGGAATGTCACTACCCCAATTCATCCCGTGGGTGTCGTAAGAGGCGACTAAGGGCGCAAAACAACGCAAGACACCAGCACCTCAAAAAGAAGGAAAACTTGACACAAACCCTATACCAACCCGTCTGGCCAGCGTAGTATAGTAGGCGAAAACCTCCTTTCTAAGGAGAGGCCTATGTCCAGCAGTGGACTATTAAAAGCTGTTGATGTAATCCCAAAGAGAGTCTAGTCACAATGTCTTACATTTTAAGTCAAACCTTTGGAGATAAATTACTCCATACCTAAGATATTAAAGCCGGCTGACCGTAGCGCCTTAATTAATAGACCTAATTAGGCCAATATATTAAGCTAAGAAGGCCTTACTCGACGTAAGATCTTAACCCTAATTAACCCTACACATACGTTTTTTTTTTATTTCAGACAAACGCCAGTGAATGGCGCAAAGTATTTTACATAGCATCAGCTATTTATTTTATAGGGAACACGCAGTTTCTAATATTCGGAACAAGCGTGAGGCAGCCATGGAATGACCCTTCGGAGGATAGCGAAACAGGTAAAAGCATTCACTAGAATTACTGACATTTATAGAAAGTTTAATAAAGTTTAGTAAAAGATTTGAGCCATCAAATAGTTTCCCTAATATAAAAGAAAATACACCATTCCGACCAGAGGGCGTGATTCTAGGCTAAAAGAATTGAATATGTTAGGGAAAATACCAAATAATTTCTTTAGCAAAACTTTAATCTTTTAATCGACCAAGTACTGTTTTCGACTGCTGTGCTGAGGTCTCGGGTTCGATTCCCGGGTCAGACCAAATGTTTGTATGATCTGCAAATGTTAGAAGTCGTGTGTCGAAGTTTGGGTGTTTTCTATGTATAATATGTATGTATTAACAAAAAAAAAGTAGTCAGTCAATCTAGCTTTCATAGAACAAGCTTAGTTTGAAACTAGATGGCGTTGATTCTAAGATGTCCAAAAATATTATAATTATTATTGTATAAAGAAATTTGTAACTGCACGTTTTCACTAAGGTTTGTTTCTTAAATTTGAGTTAAGAAAATTAATTGCTAATACGTCGTAATTCTTATCTTCATAGACTATTTCTTAATCGGCAGTAATGTCAATGTCTTATATTGGTCGGCTATTGGTCAGGACATCGTCGCTTGACCAATAGTTGTGATAAAAAAGATATGTTATTTAATGCATTTTTTTTTTGTATATATGATTTAGTGCGCTAGGAGTCAATAAAATACAAACTTTTAATATTGTTTCAGATGATACAGCTGAAAAAGGACAAGAAAAATCTGATAAGGCTGTGTGACATATCTCTATTTTAATAAATAGTTTTTTGCTAAAATACCTTGTTTTTTTTTATGGAATAGCGGGCAAACGAGCAAACGGATCCTGATGGAAAGCTGCAACTCAGGAGTCACAAGCGCATTGCCAGCCTTTGAGGAAGGAGTACGCTCTTTTCTTGAAGGTTTGAAGGTCGTATCGGTCCGGAAGTACCGCAGACGATAACTTGTTACACAGATTGGTAGTGAGAGGCAAACAGTGTCTTGAAAAGCGCACAGAAGTGGAGTACCAATTATGCAAGTGGTGGGGATGGAAGTTTTGCCATGTGGAACGATGGCGGAAGGTTGCGGCTGGTATTAGTCCTCACAATTCCTCGGAGCACTCTCCATGATATATACGATAGCGAATGCAGAGCGAAGCTACATCTCTAAGTAATGCCAAGGGATCGAGCCGACATACACATACCTTGTTTTTCTTAAAATACTAATAATAGAGTACTTTGTGTAAAATATGATGTAATGGTGAGCTGACACAAGAACCAAGTGTAAAGGTAATCGTTTTTTTATTCATTATCAAATATCATTCGTTCTGTTCAATCTACTACAGGATGTTATCCTTAGCAGGAGCATTTCTCAAACATCCTGTATATGCTGGCGTGCCGTATCGTAGCAAACTATAGCTAATTAACCTAATTAGAGATCATTTATTTGTTATTGGTATTATATATTATGTTAGGTATTCCATTCATAGTTGTGGTGGTAGTAATAATATTAATTGACCTATTGGCAAATTTAGGTATCTATTTGAAAAAATGACTTTATACTGTAGCTGTAAAACCATATCATATAATAATGTTAATCAAAGTCAACTCAAAAAACATCAAAACAAAATCAGAAAATGAATTCATTCAAAATTTATTGTTAAAAATACACGACCGTTGTCCTCATCAGTAGCCTATTGCCGTCGACTGCTGATTAAAGGCCTGCCTTAAAAAAAGCCATCCAGGTCTTGGGCAATCGCCATTCATCCGTAACTACATAATATATAATATTTTTCTCCTTCTCTTTACTTACTGTAATAAATACTCAGTATAATAGGATAAGTATGTGAAAATATAACAGAAAATAAACGGTCTTCGGCCTCTATGAGCGCTTGCCTGAGGGCAGCGAGGGCTATTTGTTACTCTGGCAGAAAGAGACTTGAGATATTGGTGTGGTGTGTTTTGCACTTGCCTTTCTGGATTAAAGGCGCCTGGTCACATGACAATCTGACATGACAGAAGTCTGCGGGCGGTTATAGTAATCTCCTTTCTAGTATACACCAGAGAACCTGGCAAACGACTGAAAACAGACGATGCGAGTCCAAAAGACATATTTTATTTATTTATAACTTTATGCAGTTTTGTACATCGGCGGACTTAATGCCTAAGGCAGTCTCTGCCAGTCAACCTTTAGGTAGTGTAGAAATCGTGAGTGGTAGGCGCATATAGGTTATAACACTAATCGCTAACACATACACTACACAACACAACAAACGTCTATTTCTTACATTATAATAACTTCCGAAGTCCCTTGACCAGCGCAGTAACCCTTTACACGACCGATTTATATAAATATGACCCACAGACTGACTATTAAAGTATATATGCGATAAATTTAATAATAATAAAATAAAATGGGTGACATTAATTCGATTTTGATAAAGGACCTACCATTGGACTATTAGGTTGTTATTACTAAGATAATTTGACTGCACGGATGGCGTAGTGGTTTAAGCGGTCACCTCGCCGCTTCCTACTACGCCGAGTGATGTGGGTTCAAACCCCCATGGGACGACACTTTGTGTGATACACAAATTGTTGTTCTGAGTCTGGGTGTTCTTTGTAAAGTCTGGGTGTTTCATGTATGTTTGTAAAGTCCCCCGCGACACAGGAATGTATTCCTAATGCGGGAGTTGTCTTTTCTAAAAAAAAATAATACTTACAGTTAAAAAGTATAAACCAAACAGCTAGCATCAATTACCAGATTTCTGATTGTAATTATAAAGTTAACTATGGTGTAAAAAACTTTAGAAGGGCGATGTGTATTAAAAAAGAAAGATTTTGATAGATAAAGTTGTGCAGACATTTTCAGAAAAGTCTCTGTAGTAGAGGGTATATATAAGTTAAAGGACAATACACATACACAATAAATTGCCACCAGCAAAACCGTGGTCAATAGATTATAGTATTTATAGTATGAGCAAATGAGTAAACAAGGGATATGTTTTAACTTCGGTTACTTTAATTATCTCTCTCTCTGTACATTAATACATCATCATCATCATCAACAGCCTTTAATAGTCCACTGCTGGACATAGGCGTCTCCTTAGAAAGGAGGTTTTATCCTACTATACCACGCTGGCCAGACGGGTTGGTATAGGGTTTGTGTGAAGTTTTCCTTCTCTTCGCAGTGCTATTGTCCTGCGTAGTCAGCTCCCTTAGTAGGCTCTTACGACGCCCGCGGGATGAATAGGGGTGGTGGCATTCCGTATTCTTAGTCCGTCGCCACACATATTAATACATTGTAAACTAATCAATACTTACAAACCAACTTAGGTATTTATAACATTCAAACATATTAACTACAAAAGTCAAAAACTCTGACTATAAAACCAATATTAGACCACGCCTGCAGATTTTTTCCCACCAATAATACAAACTGTTCAATAAACTTATTTTAAACGGGGTGATTATTAATTCAGCTCACGATTTTTATCCATATAAAACCGTTTATCTATATAAATGTTACAATATGGTCTGATTTGTACGATTCTTTTAATAGGATCGAAATACTTTCGAAAAGGACCGTTATAAATTTTATTGTTTGGACAAAAACATTTAATAGAAGTTTTACGCTTCGTTTTAATAAAAAAAAAATTACGTTATTAATTTCTGTTTCATTATATTTTTTTGCCTGGTTGCATATTAATAAGAACAACGAATATGAATAGATATTATTATAACACTCATTAGAATTAAATAATAAAATATAATATATATATATAATATGTTATCCGGAGGATAAAATCTTTTCATATCCTTTCATATAATCGTAATGAACTCGTAAACGCTAGAATTGCTGAAAAATAAACATATCATAACCCATCAATAAATTTATTTATTTATATTTATTTCTCTGAACATAATAATATTAAAACCACATAGTGACGCTAATGTTTCCACGCATTAGCTAATGCTGACAAATGGTAGTATTCGTATTATTTAATGAAAACATTAGTCCTGCTATTCTGTGGTCAACAATTAAGCCCTGTAGTCGGGCTATTATTCATGTTAACTATTTAAATCAATTTGTTTTAGCTCCGGGTCGTTACTTTGTGAAAGAGGACCGTGACCATTTAACTATTAAACGGTCAAGGTCGCTTTATTTGTATCGGTATAAATTAGTTCAGGGAAATAAACGTGTATTTTGTTGCGTACATTTATTTAAATACGTTACTTCGGACTAAAAAAATTCTGTCCGATATAACGCTTGAATTACTTACAAAAGAGAAAACCGTAATTTCCCAAAGGACCTATTAAATGTCTCCACAAATTCACAATACCTCTAACAATAACTGGCATTTTTATGAGCTTCTTTATATTTTGCCAAGTTGTTTCTTTCTTTTTTTTTTCAAATACATTTAGGAGAAATTTTATCGGGAAATTGATCTATTCTGTTTCGACCACAATTCCTCTAGCTCTAATACTATTGCTGTTTCTTTTTTAGTCATATTTATTATGTGTTCGAAAAGGACAGTATTTTTTAAATCGAATACCAAAACTAATAATATGTGAATCTTTTATGAGGGAAATTTTGAATGGAGGTCTTTTTAGCTCCTACCTATTTACAACTTTGAATAACACAAGTTGAAACTTTTTGATTTTTGTTTTATTGTTAGAGGGGGCAGACGAGCAGACGGCTCACCTGCTGGAATGATCATCGCTGCCATGAACGTCTGCAACTCAGGAGTCATAAACGCGTTGCTGGCCTTTTAGGAAGGTCGTATCGGTCCGGAAATACCGCAGACGATGACCCGTTCCACAGATTGGTTGTGCGGGACAAAAAGTGTCTCGAAAAGCGCACAGTAGTGGAACGCCAACTATCCAGGTAATGAGGATGAATATTTTGCCGTGTGGAACGATGGCGGCAATTTGCGGCTGGTATTAGCCCGAAAAATTCTTCGGAGCACTCTCCATGATATATGCGATAGAGAATGCAGAGTGAAGCTACATCTCTATGTAACGCCAAGGGATCGAGCCGGTCGGAGATGTTTGGGCTATCGACGATTCGAGTCGATTTTCGTTGGATGTCATCCAGAGGGAGAAGCTGGTATTGAGGTGCCCCTGCATAGAGATGATAACAGTATTCCATATGCGGCCTGACTTGCACCTTATAGAGCTGAAGGCGGTGGGCCGGAGTGAAACTTTTAAAAGCTGGCATAAATTTAATATTTTACTAGCTGACCCGCGCAACTTCGTCTGCGTCTCTCGATAGTAATTAATTTTCTCCGTTTTTGAAACAGTCTTCATTGGTGCTCCGCTCCTATTAGTCTTAGCGTGATGATACATAGCCTATAGCCTTCCTCGATAAATGGGCAATCTAACACTGAAAGAATTTTTCAAATCGGACCAGTAGTTCCTGAGATTAGCGCGTTCAAACAAACAAATAAACAAACAAACAAACTCTTCAGCTTTATAATATTAGTATAGATTATTAAATTATAAATCTAATATCTTTACTATAACCTCTCCAGGTGGATTTCCCATTCGACACTAAATTTTCGAGAATTATCGCCAACGGCCGCAATACACTTAACAGTAGTTGTGGTAGTAGATACTTTTTCATCTGCAATGGCACTCCATTGACGCATTGATGTTCCACTAAGCATGGTGTGTGATTTATTCCTTAGTGTGCCCGTCAACCACCTGGTGTTTAGTGCTGTTAAATTTATTGATTTTTAAATCGGCCTGTTTATTTCTTATTATTTAAATAGTTTAAAAATCATACTTAATGTCCTCCGACCAGGCGAGGTCAACATGCCTGGCGGGCCGCGGCCCAACGGTTAATGTTGGGAAGTTGTATAAATGCCAAGAAACGTCAACCAAAAAACAGAATTATAATGTCCTTTAATGTTTTTAACTGTAAAAAATTTCAGATTGAAAAAAATTACAATATGGTATATTAGTCTTTGAATGTAATAAAACATAATAATAGGATGACATGAATGGCATGGATGGATGGATACCGATGATAGGTAACGGCCTTTGTAAAAGCAGAAAGATTAAGTTTAATTTATGCTTTATTAATTAGATTTTTCGAATTTTCTTTTGCCAAATTCTGGAATATTTAAACGGCATGCAGGATGTATTAAAGCACAAATATTGCAATAATTTATTCGTTTAATACCGACCTGACGTCGTGATAAATGAGCGGTGATAACATGGCGGTTATCGTTTTTCTTAATTATTGCGAGGAAATTAAAAATTGAAATGAACTTTAATTTCGCTTTAAATCGATTTTCTGGTTGTTCACAGGCTATTATACATATACACAGTTACATAAGAATAAGTATGATTAGATATTATTATTTATTCTAGGTTGTCATACATTCCACAATATTGGACGTCAGGGAATGGTAACCGTCTTTTCAGTCCACCCCGCAGTGTCAGGGAGAAAAGGAACAAAATAATTGTTTAACATCGGTTTTCTGTGAGGCCGCGATGTCATACTATCTTTTTTTTTTTGATTTTGTTTGCCGTGCAGAAATCCCCTCGGATACCACCTATCGGTGGCATGTCGGACTCGAACCGACTAAAACCGCACGCCGTCTCGGGTACTAATAGCCGGGGAACCAGGTATTCCCTAGAAAGGAAGTCCCTGGTGCCCCGACATACCTCGGCCCATCTACAACAACAGGTAGACTACCCCCCCCCCCCCCGTGTGGGAACCCCATGTTCCCTCTGCTCCCTGGAAGCGAGCCTGCTTCTGCTAGGGTGACTGATGGCCTCACCTGTCACCCCCAGGCCTGCGCTTATGGAGGACGGAGGTCGTTCTGCGACCTCTGGCGCCTGAGTCGCCTGCGGTACCTGGCCCGTTCCCGGGCCTGGCGGGCCGGGAGAGTCCTAAACCTCTCACCGGTCCCACTCGCCGTCTCCTTCGCGAGCGTAACTTGCTCGCAGAAGGAGACGGCAGAGATCCACGCACTCTCGCTCCGCACGATAGCCGCAATCAGGCTATCGAACCAGCGTGTGGAGAGCCGTGTCCACGGTCTGGCCATCGCAGTGGTGGCACTCAGGCGTTGGCTCCTTGCGGATCAGACACAGTTGATCCCCGAAACATCCTTTCCCAGTGATCACCTGCGTCAGTCAGTATGAGAGGGTCCCGTGACGCCTCTCGAGCCAATCCTCCATAACGGGTCTTACCGCCGCGATGACAGCGTGCCCGGCGCTCGGTTGCCCGAGTCGTTCCCTCCACTCCCCTATGATGACCTGGTGGATTTGGGATTTCCGGTCATCGATTTCTCGAATCTCGGGACACCGACCCAACTCGGTCGCAAGGGCTCTCGCCTCCAGGTCCCACGGTGGAGTGCCGGCCAGGAGGCGATGTCATACTATCTGTGTCCAGCATGACTCTCTCTATATTAAAGGTCGGCACGACGCGTCAAAATATTCTTTTAGTAATTTACACGCTTTTTATTTACATGCTTTTTTTATTTTATTATTAGCTTCACCTGTAAGTTTATTTGTTTGTTGCTGAATCCTTTGGGCGTGATTTTGACTTACTTTAAACGGCCAGAGATCGTTCAAACTTTGTAGATATATCGAGGACCGGTGACACTAAAAAAAATAATTTAAAAAAAATTGTTTAAAAAAACAAAAAGCGCGCTTTTTATAGAATACCAAACTAAAAATAGTTCGGTTTTCTATAAAAAGCGTGTTTTTTAGTTTGTTTTAACTATGATTATGTATTGTGTATGACGCATTAAAGCGGTGGTGCATTGGGCGGCGCCGCTCAAATTCGGTCCGACCTAAAGACGCGAAAGGCTCTGTGACTTATTACCATTATACAATACATTTTACGAGTATTTTCTAAGGCAGCGTGTCGTTTTCTATTTGCAAACTTTCACGAATGACTTAATATAATCAGTAAAGTATCGCTGTATATCGCTCAAGGTTGTTGATAAGTAGAATTAGGTAACAGCTCTATCGGGGTCTTGTAGATCTGCTGATTATGCTGATTACGCATTTAACTATAACAAAAACAATCTTAAATGTTTTGTTTCCTGCCACCTATAAATCCATATCAAATATATTGAACTCCGATGGATTAACAGTAACCTAGGTGTTTAACCTATACAGCAGTTTCCAGATCCCGCCTATTACAGGCGCACAGTGGCACACCGTGTGATTTTAGTCGGTCCGATTCCGACACACCACCGTGCCGTAAACCCCACTGGGGTGACGGCCCGAGGGGGTTTCCACGCGTGAAAAAAAAGGTGTTTAAGCTTTAAAAATAAAAATTAAATAATGTACTATATTCTTGTAGTTGTAGTGTTCAAGAAGAAAAAAACCATTTCTAAATAACAGACTTACAGAGAAATAGGTTTATATCTCACGAACAGCATACCTACTTATATTTTATCCGATTTCAGTACTGATAGCAAGTCTTGGCTTGGCATCATCACGTTAAAGATTATGAACGATTTGAGAACAATACGCACGTCAATAAAGCAACGTTTTATTTGTATCTTATAAATTAAAAAAAGGTATTTTGTTTGTGAACGTGTAGTGTAAACAAGTCGAAATGACTGCAACCGAAGGAGATGTTGTAGATAAAGGGTCATCATTGAAACCTAGTGAGTATTGATGAGTTGGTTTAGCATAATTTTTGGAAAAGGACAAAAATAAGCAAATTTATAATATACACTATTAAGAGTCAATACCTACTAATTTGATAATAAAAGGTGTGTACGAAAATAATGTATTCTCTCTTGTATATTTTAATTAAATGCTTAATTTTAAACGTTAGTTCCAAGGTTCATGTAGAGAGAAATTGTAAATAAGTTGTGTTATTATATTTGATTTCAGTATTTTTATCTTGTAATTTTTTTCTTTCTTTATCTTTGTTTTTTCTTTTTAAAATACCCGAATAAAGATAATTATTATTATTATATACCAGCGATACGAGATTTTCTATCAATTTAGTTGTTGTATTTGCAAAAAGAATAAAATCATTTTTGATCGGATTAATGACCTTCCACCTTTATCTCTATTTATACTATAAGTGCATTAGTTACATTATTAAAGTGATCTTTATTCCTATCTTCGTAATCTAAACTCATTATCTTTATAACTTTCTACATATTTATTTGTTTCGCCTTTATTAGCTTGTTACTACTTGGTCCAACACAAATATATTCCGTAACATAGCTCGAAAATTGCTAAGATACAAAAAAACATTTTGGAATATGATTGAACTAAAGTAACTGAGATAATGGTGCTAATTCTGTAGTTCGAAAACCTTCTAAACTAAACTAAAAATCGCTAAAAGAAAAATTGTCCTGTCAAATATTACGTTTTTAGGATAGGACACGATGTTTGACAGGACTTAAGGAATGTTTAGTGATTTTTAGTTTAGTTTAGAGAGTTTTCGAATAACAGAATTACCACCCATTGATATAGGGACTCCTTGTTATAAATAATGTATTTATAGGTCCCCTATATATAGTAGGAGTATATCAATTTTAAGACTTCTAGCATAAAAAATGCGGCATTCTCATACAAGCCCTATAGTTTAAGGGACTGGGTCCAAGTTTTTTTTTTGCTTTTATACTAATACTAGCTTACATATTTCACAAATTTCAGCTTTCCAGGCCATCAGGAAGTACCCTAAACATCAGTGACAAAATCGGCGTTTCTTAGATAGCAATAAAATCTAAAGTGAATTATAAAAAGAAGGGAATTTTTTGTTAATTAAATCTTATAAAATTATTTTGCTACCGTCAAAAAATTAATTTTCTGTTAAGAGTTAGAAGCTTGGGTCTACATGAGATCTGATAACTTTTTGACATTGCGAGGCATATAGTCTCGTCTTGGCAACATTTTCCATGAAAATGTTTTTGGTGGGATGATTATTCCCTTGATATATATCCAATAGTTGTGTGTTAATGTATGATTCTGTACCTACATGTGGGAAGTAAATCTCATGGTCTAAAATGGCCAGCACTACTTTTTTGAAGATTTCTGAGCATTTACGATCTTTTTCCATAGCAGCATTATGTTGACTTAAGAATTTTATTATATCGTATTTTATGTGATTCATTGTTTAAGTTCTATTTTTAGAATTTAACAACTTGAGATACATCATTACACAATAAGATGATAATACTTGTGAGTAAATTCTATAAAAGACGTTAAAAACGTGACCTGCGACTGTACGTAATAGCATATTAATATTATCAATATATTCGCGTCACGATGTATTGTGAATCTATTGTTTTATAATTATTATTCAATTTAGATAAACTTTTTTTTAGTTATGACTATGCCTAAATTTCTAAGAAGAGGCCTATGTCCAGCAGTGGACTATTAAAGGCTATTGATGATGATGATGATGATGCCTAAATTTTATATTAGGAGTATTAAAATTTTAAAATACATAATCAACTGACATTACATTTAGACACATTATTTATATTTGATGTTCATCTCTTATGGGCTTCCAATCATGGGATGGACATAGGAGTTCACCACTTTCTTTCCTCTGAAAACCATGAAATGCCCAAGGAAGGTTGGCATCAGGGTTTGACGAATATTATTGTTTATTTTCAGAGTCACTTCTGGGGATCCGACATGTTCAGATGGTTCTACTATTTTTGGCGATGCTCTTCGCTTACGCCATGAGAGTCAACATGAGTATGGCTATTGTCGCCATGACAGATAGTAATAATGAAAACGTAAGTGTACTTTAAGGTAGTACTGTCTTTTTTTAGTCAATTGTGTTAGTATTTATCTCTCTCTCTCTAATATATAAAATTATCTTGTTGCGGTGTATGTTACCAACCTCCTACGAAACGCGTGGGCCGATGTTTATCAAATTTTGTGCGCATATCGGGTAGGTCTGAGATAAAAAAAATATGTTAGAGGGAGCAGACGAGCAGACGGGTCATCTGATGGAAAGTGACTATCGCCACTTATGAATGTCTGCAACTCAGGAGTCACAAACGCGTTGCCGGCCTTTTAGGAAGGAGTAAGCTCTTTTCTTGAAGGTTTGAAGGTCGTATCGGTCCGGAAATACCGCAGACGATAACCCGTTCCACAGATTGGGGTTATGCGGGGCAAAAAGTGTCCAGCCAGTGAGCGCCAACTATCCAGGTAATGAGGATGAAAATTTTGCCGTATGGAACGATGGCAGAAATTTGCGGCTGGTATTAGTCCGAACAATTCCTCGGAGCACTCTATATGATATATGCGATAGATAATGCCGAGTGAAGCCACATCTCTACGTAACGCCAGGGGATCGATTGGAGATGTTTGGACTATCGACGATTTGGGTCGCTCTTCGTTGGATGCGGTCCAGAGGGAGAAGCTGGTACTGAGGTGACCCTGCATAGAGATGAGAGCAGTATTCCATATGCGGCCGGACTTGCGCCTTATAGAGCTGAAGGCGGTGGGTTGGAGTGATAAACTGCCTCAATCTGTTCAGGACACCGAGCTTCTTCGAGGCCAATTTGACCTTTCCTTCTAAGTGACCCGAAACTGGACTTCGCTCGATATGTCGATGCCTAGGATTCCGATGCTGGCTGAGGCAGTTAGGGAGGTGCTCTCAAACTGAGGTGATACGACAAATGGTATCTTTTTTTGCGGTGAACGCACATACCTGTGTCTTTTTTGGGTTAAACTGCACTAGATTTAGTCGGCCTATATCTTAAACCTCCGCTGAGGAAGTTTCAATTTCAGACACAAGTTTGTTTCGATTCTCGATGACGATTTCCCGAGAAAATATTGGGGCGGCCGGTATAAAGGGAGAATCGGCCAACATCTATTTTTCATACCCCTAAATGATAAAAAATATATAAATAATATATGTATTTGTATATGGCAAAACAACGTTTGCCGTATCAGCTAGTATTCTATTATTAATCATGTCTGAGCTAACATCTATACACACATTCAAACAGAGATTTAGCTGACTAGTAAAACTATTGGTACAATTATAATAACATACAATAATAAATAAAGAAACGATTTGGGGTCGCTACTCGTGTCAATAAGGTGACATACATAGTTGTTATAACAAAACAATGCGCGTGTAGTGTGCTATCATACACAACTTAGAAGTATGTTATTACTGAAACATTATTAGAGACATAATGAAGACATAATAAAGAAAGAAGCGATGGATGCGAGAAGCCCAAAATCGATCTAAGTGGCGTGCAATGGGAGAGGCCTATGTCCAGCAGTGGACTGCGATAGGCTGATGATGAATGAAGAAAGAAAACCGAACCTGGTAACCTGTAACTTATGTATAATATGATGATGCATTACAAAGTGCATAAATAAAATGACTTATATACTGAAATGGATATTATTCGTTAAAACAATACAATATCGTTTGTTGGTCGATCTATATTTCAAGCACAGTAACGTTATCATTATTATCTTGAACCTCTCAATGATATGGAATAATAATATTTACTCTCAATGATCAATAGAAAAACTAACATACGTAAATAATCTTTGGCCGATGCTTTAGAATCATCATCATCATCAACAGCCTTTAATAGTCTACTGGTGGACATAGGCCTCTCCTTAGGAAGGAGGTTTTGGCCTACGATACTGCTCTGGCCAGACGGGTTGGTATAGGGTTTGTTTCAAGTTTTCCTTCTCTTTGCAGTGCTGTTGTCCCACGTAGTTTAAAATACCCATAAAACCAGTAGGCCAAAACCTACCTTTACCGTTTTGGCCTACTATACCAATAGGCTAAAACTTTTGTTATAGGCTGTTGATGACGGGTATTTTATTTTACATGTTTTATGAACTTTGAAACCAAACTATTAAAACATATTAAGTCGATTTAGGGAATACTAAAGTAAATTAAGATGTAATACCTTTAATAGGATTTATTTTATTTATGAATGTAAGCCTTAAAGTTTTCGGGGCTCAATGGGTAGAAGTATGCCGAACTTCAACCAACTATTTTCGCCTACTATCCAGCATTTAGTTCTAGCGTCTAATTGCTGGAGATTTTAGTGTAACATACTTCTGGAAACTAAATTATATCAGTAATCTATGTTAATCAGAGTACTCTTAGGCTAGTTATTACCCGCTTAAGGGACATTTATAGAATATATAGATCTATATGGATATTGTCAGATATATTTAACTTTGTTTTTATACAGAGCTTTGACTGGAGTATGCAGACACAGAGCGTGATCCTCTCTTCGTTCTTTTGGGGATACATCGTCTTGCAGATCCCGGCTGGTGAGATGGCTGCCAAGTTTGGAGGAAGCATACTTATCACTATAGTTATTGCTGGCAATTCAACAATTTCATTATTGATTCCTTTGGCTGCGTATTATGTAAGTGTTGCATAAATAAACGTATCTATATAAATATAATTAGATACCACCCTAAGCGTTAATGACTTCTATACCAAGTCTCATGAAGTGATGTTGTCGTCATATATTAATTATAAACTCGAAATGCCTGGATACAAATTTGTAAAAAATTTACTACAGTGATCAGGAAACATAATAAGAGTTTTAGATACACAGAATTCATTTAGTGAAAAGCGTCATTTATTTTTTTATTTAAATGTTAGATAAATAAAATGCATTTTGCTGTCTGTAAAAATTTTTTTAATAAATACTTTGGCGTTGGTGTATCTACTTAAATTTTAAATCACCTAATTAAAAGTAGCAATTAACAAACATTCATATTCACATCATCCACATCACATCAACAGCCTTTAATAGTCCACTGCTGGACATAGGCCTCTCCTTAGAAAGAAGGTTTTGGCCCACATTCATATTAGTGTTTTCTAATTTTAAATTCGTATTCGTCTATTAAAATTTGGCCTTAACATGGGATAAGTTTTCTTCTGGTAAGAACATATTAAAGAAGTAAGGCCACCCATATATTTTAATGTAAATGATACAATCAATTTACAAGTAACCTATTTACTGAAGGTTGTGAAACGTGGCACGTTTTACAGACATAACTGGTAATAAAATCTTGTATAATCTATGTGTTACTTTGTTAGCAGAAATAAAACGTATAGATAAAAGGTGCACCATTAGATAACATAAAAAAAGCAATGACTTATTGTACAATTCTTGGCATAAAAAAAGTTCCTATAAAAAATGTATGTAAAGCTCGGTTCGGTCGCACACAAGTATACAAGTTATACAAACACAGGAAAGTTGAGTACGATATGTTGCGTACAAAAACCTAATGAGGTCATTCGATCACAAATTTTACTCTTCATATTTTTTTCATACTCAATATGAATTTTTTTCCTTAAGGAGTAAACTTTTTTTTTTTCCTTAAATGCATTTTGCGATTCTATAATACTAATCAACTATATGAAATACACTAATTTTCAGGGAGGATGGCAAGCTGTCTGCGCTTGCCGTGTCTTACAAGGACTTACACAAGGGTTTTTATTCCCGTCAATGCACAATCTGATAGGAAAATGGGTTCCATTGGAGGAAAAAAGTCGTTTAGGAACTTTCATATATGCTGGTAATGTCAATTTTTATTTCAATAGAAATTTGGTTTTCCAGATTTTTAATTTCTAAATAATAAACTTCTAACATAAATCCTCTATAATTAAAAAGTAAGAGTTCAGAGGTTTAACAAACTTACACTTAACCACATTCTTAACCTTAAAATATAACTCTTAAAGGTTATGATTTTTTTTAGGCGCTCAACTCGGTACAGCTCTTCAATTGCTCGTATCAGGTTTCTTAGCTGACTATTGGGGTTGGTCAGCTATTTTCTATGTAAATGCAGCTTTAGGTGCTATATGGACAGCAGCTTACATCATACTTGGTTCTGATAGCCCCCAAAAATCAAGGATGATCAGCGATGAAGAAAAACTGTATATCCAAACTTCACTAGGACAAGTGGGAGTACAAAAGGTGGGTTTAGTTGGAGGCTTTTATTCAATTTTAAATTTTTTTCTGTTTAGATCTTCTATAAAAATATATTTCTTAGAAGAAGAACCATCTTAATAAAGGATAAAAAAGATGATTACCATGTAGAAGAAAAAAATATAGGTTTAGTTTTTAAAACGAATACTCCATTTAAATATAATGTTAGTATAACTTTAGACCACTTACTTCTTTTGTAATACAAATGATGTAGTTTTGTAACAAGAATGTTTTTTGTTACACACACTATGTTTCCATGATTTTCAGAAACTGAATACTCCCTGGAAAATAATATGGACTTCTCTGCCGTTCTACGCTTTGATAGTTGCGCACTGTGGACAAAACTGGGGCTTTTGGACGCTGATGACCGAAATGCCTTCATATATGAAGCAAATCCTTGAAGTCGATATTAAAGCGGTAGGTCAAAATTTTTGTTACTTAATAAATTAATTATCTTTTTGTAATCATACCTACATTTAAAAAGAAAACCAGTTAAAATTGGTGTTATTCAATTTTACAAAGCAAACATCTAGTGTATACAAATTAAAACCTTATTTGTTTTTAATTAGTAATAAAATGTGTCAGATTATAAATCCAGTATTAATAATTTTTTGTGAAGCCTCTCAGAATTCAGAAGATAAAAATACATTTACACGTACGTTCAATTCTTCATGAACTGCCTGAAGTTGGTTTTCATTATATTACCGGCTAATAGTTTGCTTATCTTTTAGATTATACTATAATAAGTATGTGTATTTATTATTCTTATTAAAATATATATTGCTTGATAATTCGCTTGAAATGTTTTTTCATTCTTGACTCACATTTGTATTCATTTAAGAATGGGGTCATGTCAGCTCTTCCGTACCTGGCAATGTTTCTGCTAGGTTTCCCCTTTGGATTCATATCGGATTATGTTATCAAGAAGAAGTGGGTCAACATCAGCGCTGCAAGGAAAATATCTAATACCATTGGTAGGTAATGAAACTAGTGTCAAGGTACTAACGTAAAACTGTAAATTTGCAGTCCAAAGATGCAGTTGTGTATTTTGGTCTTTTCCTTTAGTTCAACTACCGCGCTGCAAATTTACTAAAATAATAACCATGGGAAGTGATCAGTGATATTTGACAAATAAACAGATAACTTTCCTATCCTAAAATTTTAAAGACGATTTTTTTAATTTATTGTGGCCGCGATTAATATATTGTGTTAATTGAAGCATTTCATTTCAAAATAATAATAAAATAAGGATGTGCCACGAGTTCCGAATATTGCTGTTTCAATGTGCAACGCCTTTGTCGCAATTTCAGATATTTGAAATATTTTAAATAAATATGATTTTTTTTTCCCTTAATTCAACTATCTAATGACGCATGACGGGTTGAATGACAAGTTATACTTATTAGCACATGGCTCGTCGTTGCCTATCATTTCATCACCAGTAATGTCTCGTAAAAACCTAGAGCTACAAATCTGTCTTCAGCATTCTTTAACACTCAACCCTAAAGGGAGGGGTGCTATAAATTTAATATACATATTTAACTATAAGTTTGTTTGTTGGATCAAAGCTTCCAAATGATTAGACAGTTTTTTTTTTGAAAGATGACTTGGTAGAGAATGATGTAATTAAAAAATATTTTAAGCTATTTGAAGATTAAGGGCCATTTTTTTTACACTTGCTTGTTTGAAGATTAAGGGCCATTTTTTACACTTGCTTGTTTGAAGATTAAGGGCCATTTTTTACACTTGCTTGTTTGAAGATTAAGGGCTATTTTTTACACTTGCTTGTTTGAAGATTAAGGGCCATTTTTAACACTTGCTTGTTTGAAGATTAAGGGTCATTTTTTACACTTGCTTGTTTGAAGATTAAGGGCCATTTTTTACACTTGCTTGTTTGAAGATTAAGGGCCATTTTTTACACTTGCTTGTTTGAAGATTAAGGGCCATTTTTTACACTTGCTTATTTGAAGATTAAGGGCCATTTTTTACACTTGCTTGTTTGAAGATTAAGGGCCATTTTTTACACTTGCTTGTTTGAAGATTATGGGTCATTTTTTACACTTGCTTGTTTGAAGATTAAGGGCCATTTTTTACACTTGCTTGTTTAAAATCCTGTTTAATTTTTTTTCTTCATTTGTAATATGGATCGCATCAGGTCTTATGGCTACTAGACTATAAACGGATTTCTTTAATTTTATGATTTTTCTACGTTTCTTAATTCTGTGATTTGGTTATTCATTTCAGGTCAATGGGGTCCTGCTTTCGCTTTAATAGGTTTGTCATATGTGCCTGCGGGTAACGTCACTCTAGTCGTGGGACTACTAACAATTGTCGTGGGGCTAAATGCTGGTCATTATACTGGATATTTGGTAAGAAAGTAAAATATCTTAGGTTAAAGTATCTGCCACATTACATACATAAACAAAAAGAAAATAGTTTATGTTACATTTTAGATTGTAAACTGTTGTAAACACGTCTTAATTGGCCACCTTATGTCTCACCTTTATATGAAACCAGACTTATCCGTACTTACCGTAAAATATTATCATTATTCTTGATATCCATTCCACCAACAATATTATACACGGGGTAATGTACGTCGTAACAAATATTGAAATAGTGTATTCAGACCATCATTCTAAGTCATCAAATCATTGGAATTTTTGCCGGAAAATTAATTAACTTTTTATGCAATCATCTGTCAAAGGTTAAGGTCATTCCCCGTAGGTATCGCACAAAAGTAATAACTACATGTGTATTCCGCGCAAACAGTCTACGCATACTAACAGGAGAGGGGAGGGCCCGCGCTCCTGCTGTTTGATTAATTACATTGCAGTTTTTTGGTATGTATTAAACTATTTTCGGTCTGTCTGTTCTGTCTACTCATTGTGATATCATTTTTAACCAGAAAAATGATAAATTTGTAAAAAATAATCATATTTTTTTCAAATTTATCATTTTTCTGGCATCAAATTTATCTTTTATCATTTGCTGGCAGAAAATTTCAATGATTTTCGACTCAGAATCATGGTCTGAATACACTATTTCAGTATTCGGTACGATTTTCCTTACACCTTGTATAGATTAGTCATTAAGAAATACTTTTTCCTTTATTATGAATAAAATAAATTTGTCTTTTTTTTATTTCTTACAGCTCGTACATATTGATATGGCACCAAACTTTGCTGGTACTATGATGGGCATCACCAACTTCTTTGCCAATATTGTTTCTATCATATCACCACTCATTGCTGGACTTATATTACAAGACGAGGTAAAAATTCTCAATTCTAAAATGTAAATCTTTAAACACAACGTGAAATACAATATTCTGGTAATAATATTCTTTATAGTAAGTGTGAAAGATTTACAAGAAACTGAAAACTTACGAGTATTACGCCGCGTTGAGTGATTTTTGGTAGGGGAAAAACTTATAGGTTCGCATCACCGATGGTTTCGACATGCTCGTGACGTATTGCGCCAGACTAGCAACGCGTAGTTCCATTATTTTGAGTTTTCACTTTCTCGGCATCCTTTACTGCATTTGTTTTTCTTTTATTTATTTCAAACTTTTTTTAAATTTATATTATATTCAGTGTATTTGTTTTACTTTACTTCAGTATACAGACTACAATAATACAATAACTCCTTATGTAATAACATACACCTGTTCAATTAATACATTACTTTATTCCAGACGGATCTCTATCAGTGGCGTCTAGTGTTCTATGTATCATCAGCAATATACATTGGTGCAAATCTATTTTTCATAATATTTGCCACCAGTGAGAGACAGTCATGGAACGAGCCCAATGAGGCTGATGAGGGTAACTAAGACCACAATTTTATTTCATTTCAATATAAACTAAAGTTTCTTCAAACTTCAAAGTGTGCCACTGCTTAGTATTATTTTTGAATAATCTATATTATTATATTGTTGACATTACAATTAGATTGATTTTACCTTTTTTTTTACAAGTTTAGACAAGATTTTAATAAGCAAATCTCTTACTCATACTCTTTTTTTTTGAGGAACCCACTTTTATTAATACTTTTTGTAAATAAAAAGGTTTTCTTTATTCCAGCGATCGAGAAAAAGACAGAAAAAGTTGTATGAAGAAAAAATTTTTGAACATATTTATATTATGAATAATAAATCGTGTTGTATAATAAATCTGTTTGATATGCTCTTTAGAATAGACCTAGTTAAATATTGATGATACTACACCACTAAACCTTTGCCATTCCCCGACATTAAGCTGCATACAAGAACGATTCTTATAAGCAATATGTTACCTGGATCAGAGAAATGTCTTAACCCTTCGTTTAAAAGTTGAGATTCTAAACTTATATCTTAATTTGAATTCAATTCTTGGGACATGCTCAAGTGTGAGGCCGCTCGCTTAATATTGTCGTAGAATGCCCTTCAATGCCGCGTCGACTCGAGTTCAGGTAAATATTTTTTTGCGTCTTGGTTAGTAGGGTCTATGGATGGAAGTGATATTTTTTAAGTTTTTGAATCACACTTTCAAGCTGAGTCAGAATTGTTAACATCGATGGTAAATGATTTATTATACTTAGCTGTAAACATAGGCAACAGGTAAAAGTGGTTGCAATGCAACTTTAAAGTTGTTATTTTAAAAAGTAAATTGACCACCTATTTATTTTATCCCTTTGAATGATTTTAAGGTTCAATACATACGGAATAATAAAAAAATACATATTTTATAGTTTAAAAATATTTATTTACAGGATTACAACTTTTTATAAAAAAAATACTCGAAAGGTCTGCCATGGTGTTTACACTTACGCCCAAAACGTCAAAAGAATTGAATTTTACACAAATATAATGCTACTTGGGCAATCTATGGCTAAAACTAATTACTAAATGAATATTCTTTACATAGTTCTTACTATTTTCAAAGAAATTGTGTCATAATATAATGATTTACCACAATATTTCGAAAAATTCTCAATACTACTAGACATGTAGGTATTGAAAAAGTTACCAAGACAGGAAATATTTAATCTTCAGGTATAAATTCTTCTTGCACAAACACTGAGTTATTACATTTCTAAATAAAAATAACACTTCGAATCACTAAATAACTTCAAAACGACAACAAAAGGAGAAATAAAATAACCAACACACGATGAGTGACGCCCGACTGTGACTGATATTCAAACATATTTTTAATAGTATTTGTTTTTGTACAGGACGCATAGATTTGAACGGAAAGAGACAAATTATTTAGGAATGTGCTTGTTAGAAAGAAATAAATACCTATATTTGGTGTGTATCGCACTGGAACGAAAAGGAATTAAATTCACTTGGAAGTATTTTACGGCTAAAACATAAAAGGCACTGTGGTCACTTGAAGACGCTTGATAGGCCACGCTTTTTTCTAGTTACAAAAGTTAAATTTTATTCTTGTTTGAGGTTAAATAACTTGCAAAATCCTTCACTGCTGCACTGCTCATTCAAGAAATGTACGAGTATTTGATGTATTGAATAAAGAACTGCTTAGTGTAGATACATGGATAAGACCCGTTAAGGAGGATTGGCTCGAGAGGCGTCACGGGACCCTCTCATACCGATTGACGCAGGTGATCACCGGGAAGGGATGTTTCGGGGATCACCTGTGTCTGATCCGCAAGGAGCCAACGCCTGAGTGCCACCACTGCGATGGCCAGACCGTGGACACGGCTCTCCACACGCTGGCAGAGTGCCCGGCGTGGGTTGAGCAGAGGCGAGACCTCGTGGCGGCCATCGGAGTGGGAGTTCTCTCGCTCGATAGCCTGATTGCGGCTATCGTGCGGAGCGAGAGTGCGTGGAACTCTGCCGTCTCCTTCTGCGAGCAAGTTATGCTCGCGAAGGAGACGGCGGAGCGGGACCGAGAGAGGTTTAGGACTCTCCCGGCCCGCCAGGCCCGGGAACGGGCCAGGTACCGCAGGCGACTCAGGCGCTGGAGGTCGCAGAATGACCTCCGTCCTCCATAAACGCAGGCCTGGGGGTGACAGGTGAGGCCATCTGTCACCCTAGCAGAAGCAGGCCGGGGTGGCGGCGAGCGCGTTGCGAAGCGCGCTCGCTTCCATGGAGCACAGGGAACATGGGGTTCCCACACGGGGGGGGGTCGTCTACTCGTCTGTAGATGACCCGAGGTATGTCGGGGTACCAGGGACTTCCTTTCTAGGGTATACCTGGTTCCCCGGCTATTGGTACCCGAGACGGCGTGCGGTTTTAGTCGGTTCGAGTCCGACATGCCACCGACAGGTGGTGTCAGAGGGGATTTCCGCACGGAAAAAAAAAAAAAGTGTAGATACATGGAGGAAACTAGTAATTGTTTCTAGTCTAAGATTAGTCTATGGTATGAGGTAAGGGTTTGATTTCGCTTCATATGATGATAATACCGAAAATATGATATGTATGTATGTAGTAAAAAAACGATTACTTAATAACCTTTTAGTAAACTGAATAAGAAATCGAAATGTATAGCTTGCAAGTCTTTATTGCTTAAAAGCAGTAGGTGTCCTGCAAGGAAGTATTCAAGGACCTATACTCATTATTTATGTAAAATATATAGTATTTATGCAAGACAAAAACTCATAGATAACTACTAGATACTGGTACTGCATACTATCTGTCTATAATATCTAAACCTCTTTTGTACTAAATTAAACAAATTATAATTGTTAACCAAGATTTATTTCCTAGAAATGAATGTAAACAACTCGTCCTTATGAATTGCAATGCATAAGCTTAGTATTATTACTGTAAGCCTCTATTAGAACTATACAGTCTTAAAAATAACTTTATAATTAAGGTCTAGAATAAAACTGTAATGGTCTGAAAAACTAGCATGTAATAATATGGGTTGGAAAGTCTCGGACCTAACAAAGAAATCCACGCAACTTCACTTTTCTATCCTTCAAAATGAGTTTGTGGTTTTTTTATGTTTCCTGTTGTTCCTGCCTCATTTGGACGTCCACTGCGTTTTGCATCATCGGTGTCTCTACGACCACGTTTGAAGTCAGCAAACCAACGTTTTATTGTTGTTTCTGATGGAGCGGAGTCCTTATAACACTTTTCAAGCCATTGCTTCGCTTGAACGGTATTTTTTCCCATCAAGAGGCAGTGTAAAATTAAAACACGAAATTTTTGAGCCATTGTTTTGAAAATAACAAAGGTAGTGTCACTCTTAGCACAATAACTCACAAAGCTAAGAGTAGAATGGTATCATGAAATTTTAACAGCTTTCTTTTGAAGATTAGTACTAACTGAAAAAGAGGCGAATGCAATAAGACTAGCGCCATCTATATGTTAGGCCCTGGACTTTTCAGCCCATGTAGTATAAACAGGATATTCAACTCACAAAAATGTTTATCGCCACAAAACTGATGATTGTTGTCAGTCATTACTTCATGAAAACATTGTTTAATTAAACAAATTGCGTCATCACGTAGCCTACTCTCTAGATCTGATAACTTAGGAAAAAAATGGCTGTATACTTGTAAACCTTACTAATTTATGCTGAAAAGCCCGAAGAGCCTTGAAGAGAAAGGCAATATTAATCAGCAGTATTAAGTTAATTAATTAATTAATTCGGTCTGAGACTTTTTAAATGATCTGTTATGGCATCATCCAAATAGTTTAACTTCAAACGTATTATCTGTTTCCAGTACTGATAGCAAACCTTCAAAGTATCAAATATGTTAGAGTTCATCTTTATAATCAGAGAATCACACGCGCGACCGTATATAAAGATTTGTAGTATTCGTTTTAAAATTTGTTTTTAATTTCGTACCTACATAATTCTTTTGTGATAGTGTTTTGTTTGAAAGTCAAAATGTTTGAAAATGAAGACGTTACTGCCAATAAAGTAAAATCTCTGAAACCTAGTGAGTATTTTCAGCCTTGTTATGCAGTGTGAATTTTTGTAATAGACAGCAACATTTTATATTTTAAATATTTAAATAACATGAATTCTATTATTTCTCTTCTTGTAAAATTCAGATAATCGTAAGCCAAGTACAGTATACATACGGAATGGATGCAAAGTTCATGGACAAATTTAAAAATACGCTTAACACTATGTTTATGTTTTGTTAACGCTTTATCTTCTATGTAGATTTAATATTTGCCCAGTAGTAATACTCTAGTAGAGGTAGCTTAAATTAAATTATTATTTTTAATTTTCTTTCACGAAGTCCAAATGGTATTTGATTTCAATTTGTACTAAATCTTATTCATCAAACACTTAGTTATAAATTTGTACTTGTTATTATAATTTAAGTTTAGACTTTTTTAATAAGATTATTTTAACGCAGATAGCTTTTAATTGTGATAACATGAGCAGCTTTTCATGTTTTCTTTTAACGAATAATGGAAATTGCGAACTTAAAATATTTAAATAATAATTAATTAAAAGTTACTTAACATTTACGTTTGAAACTAAAGAGAAATGAAATTTAATAATAATTTACCATGACAAAGCTATGGTGAATGCTCCCGCATTAGGGCAACCTGAGACTTATAGAAAATAGAAGGTAGGTAATTCCTTCGGTGCAATCGAGTAAGTGAGGTTATTAGAGATCCAAACCCTTTCTTCCCATCATAGACCGGCAACGTACTTATGACTCTTGAATTGGCTGCATTAATCTCTTGCTATGAGTTGACCCATCTGCTTATTTGCCCCCATACCATATAATGATAACTTATTACAATCCAAACAAAATAATACTAACAAACAAATACAACAACAGTATTTCAATATTGCAGAAAAAAAAACACTTGACTTTAAAAGATAAAGATATTTTATCTTAGAACATGATTATACTAAGGCCAGAGATACGTTATCAGATCACATTGATCTCTTTCAAGTCACTAGGGGATAAGTAAGATGTAGATCCACACGAGGAATGAAAGGCTAATTATATTAATTTAATATGCATCATCATGATCATCTAGATATGAGGTTGTATGGAAATACTGTATATTTACTAAATAATGTTGGTTTGGTGGACCTTATTGTAAAAGGCGGAAATATAACATTAACTGAGTACTGACATCAATACGGGTCAAAGAAACAAGCGAAATGTGTATGTATTTCTTACTTCATGGCTTTCGATGACACATAATTTTAATTAGTTCGATGACAGTTACCACCACACCGAAAGTTACTGTTACATCATTAAAATGTTTTTTTATTTAATGATCCTTGAAGTTTTGTAACATGAAAAATATTGTTTTTTTATTTTACAGAGTCGCTTTTGGGGATCCGCCATGTTCAAATAGTTTTGTTATTTCTCGCGATGCTTTTTGCATTCTCCATGAGAGTCAACATGAGTATGGCTATTGTCGTTATGACAGATGAACGCAATGATAACGTGAGTTTACTTTTAGACTTAAATTTGAATAACATTGGTTATTATTATCATAATCATCATCAGCCTCTAGCATTGCACGACACTTAGATTGATTTTGTGTTAAATTATTCACATTGATTTTTATCGTTGCTTATTATAATAAATACATTTGAACCAGAAGTGGTAAAAAGGACGTATTTACACATCTACAAACAATATTTTTATCAGCTTTAGTTATTGGTACCAAGTTCTCGTGACCAAGCCTATGCTATTGTTTTGATGGGCATATTGCATAATCTCTGTGAACCTATTGAAAATTAAATTCTATCCATCCTACAGTCAAATACAATACATTATTTAAGAGAATACTCATATTACAGAACCCACGAGACAAAATTTAATGGCACATATTCAAAAATACTAATGTGCGTTCGAACGTTTTAGGAAGACTTACAAATAAACTTTTATGACCAATTTCATTCTGTAGTATTATTTTTCCATATCGTATTATGGAACATATCATATTTGCACTATATGAGATGAAAATATTCACTTATCATCCAAATCACATTACATAGACTAAAACAAAAACGTCTATGTAGATAAGAACAATAATATATTTCTTTGTTGGCCAACATCAGTGTAGTGTTTGATTAATTTGAACTCAAAAATCTCTTAAATATATTATCTTTATTCATTAACCTCTACTGCAGTAGATAATATAGGGGGCAGAGAATTTTCTGTCTTTATCAGATAAGGAATCAATGTGATAAAAAACTAATGTACTGTGGGTGATGCTGTGTAAATTTTTGTTCTTCAAGTTTTTGTAACACTAGGGCTAATGTTTACATTTCAAGTAGTATTTAAGTTTGACATTTCTAAATGACAAACTTTAATCAACTAAAATTACACGATCGACGTTCTGTTACGGAAATATATTGCCATACCTCTAATAGTATTTGTGATATATATTATACATATTTTTCTTTTCACCTCTCATGTTCTTCTACTCTACAGTCAGCTTTACTTGTCTCTAATTGAATAAAAATACTTCTCCATTTAGAGTTTTGACTGGAGTATGCAGACACAGAGCGTAATTCTATCATCGTTCTTTTGGGGTTACGTAATCCTCCAGATCCCGGCTGGTGAGATGGCTGCCAAATTTGGAGGCAGCATTCTTATTACCATAGTTGTTGCGGCAAATTCTGCAATATCATTGTTGGTTCCTTTAGCTGCGTATTATGTGAGTAAACTCTTACTAGTTTATTTGCCTTTCAATGGTAACTAACCAATGATATTTATTGACACGAGTCCTCTCTTGAAGCGAAATCTCGAAAATATCCATTTGTCAACTAATTAAATGTTTAGAATTTAGCAAGACGGGGTCAGTTAAACAACGAGTTATCTTGTGGTTGCAAAAATGCTTTAAAGTGCGTTAAAATTAAGTACAGATTTTTGCTTTTACTGTAGGCGATTGTTTCGTTTTAATATAATAATGAAAAAAGATATAATACTGATAAAATATACACATTATAATGCCCGGTATAATAGTGATAAAAGACATACATTTTTTTTTCAGGGAGGATGGCAGACTGTTTGCGCTTGCCGCGTATTCCAAGGGCTAACGCAAGGGTTTCTATTTCCTACCATACATAATCTTATAGGAAAATGGGTTCCACTGGAGGAAAAGAGCCGTCTAGGAACTTTCATATATGCAGGTGATTAATATTATAAATTATGGGAACAGCAAAATAATATCCACGGAAATCTCATCTTTGTTGAGATTTTAGATTACATCCATGGACGTATTAAAAAGTAAAAAGCAACTGTAGATTCATAGTCGGCCAGCTCAGCTGTATGTACAGGCCAGTACGTACACTTTCACACATTAGTCGGCCATTACGTGCGCGAACATCGCGTCATCGAGACACATTACGCGGCGAAACAATATAAATATACATCATGTCTTGCGTGGTAAAATGGTGTAAAAACCGTAGTGATCGAAAGAAAAACAATCTAGGAATCACGTTTCATAGGTAAATGAATAATTCAATCACTTATTTCCAGATTTTATACATTAAACTCAATTTGCATTCGCTAGAACAAAACAATTCATTTTAAGTTCAGTGTTGCCAATATTCACGTGTGCAAATTACCCGAAATATGGGCAATTTTTAGTTTATTATTAAAATCAATATATTATGGTTAATTATTTAATAGTTACTACTGGGTATTTTATTTTATATTCCTATTGCTAGATTTTCTAAGGAAAATGAAGTATGGAGAAATGATTGGATTCAAATAATTAGAAATTGTAATGTAATTAATTATAATTGTAATCACACATTTACCATCGGTTATAAGAAAAATTATAAAAGAAAGCATCACATTATACAACGAAAGGCAACATAAATATATTATCACAAAAATTCCAGAAAAAATTGTTGGTAATGAAAGCGTTGTTTTTTTTAACTTAGAATCCGAACATAATTTCGCCGGAATAGAACACAAAATAAGTCTTTCAATCTATACCGGATTAAATCTATACCGGAAAAATATTTAACGATTAGGTTTCACCACATCTCGAAATTAGAGGAAATTTCAAGAACCTCTCAAAGTAAAAGACATTATTATAAAAAAATTACTCAGCATTTAGGATGTTAAACATTACAATTTCGAACAATTTTTTTTTTATATGTTCACCGTGTTTTATGGCAAAATTTTGGGTAACTTGGCAACCCCAAAATGAATTCGCACACAAAGAGTTTCCGCCATTATGGCGTTTCACTTTTGTCTTAGCGAGAGTTCCGTCCGACTTTTTTTATACGTCCATGATTACATCCTAGTTATTTCAAAACTTTTGCGTTTTAGAGTTTACCATTACAGGATAAACAAAAATTAATTATCTTATATCATTTGTCAAAGGCCTTTGATTGTGTGCAACATGAGATTTTCATGAGTTACATCATCACTATGGAATTAGAGGATCTCCTTCAAAATTGTTAAAACATATCTACATGGTAGAGTCTAAAGGGTAAATGGGAATGGGGAGCGATCACAAGGTTTTTGATTTCAATGAGTGTCGCACAGGGCTCAATACTGGGGCCCTTAATTTGCCTCATGTATATAAATGATTTACCTAAAGGATAGAAGCGATATAGTGTTTTTTGATGTTAATCAATGATTCTTTATTAAATAATTTAGAAAAAATAAAAGACATCTAGAAAACTTTGAAAACGTAAACAATGCTATATCAAAGTTTTTAATGGGCTTATTATGAATAACTTATTATTAAACGTGACAAAGACTAAATGTATTAAGTTTATCACACCAAATGTTAACTAAACTAAATCAAAATTACAAACAGGTTTTCACAAAGCCTAATTTCAAAGGTTTTACTACTGCGTTAAAGATTAAATCTGCTTAAAACTGAATTGTTCTAAGGACAATATAATATCGCAAGAGAGTCTACAGTAGAGTGTACAGAACTTTATCGCCGTTGCCGATAAGGTTCTGTAGACTCTACATTACCATCAGTTTTTTTGCAGGAGTCTTTTCTCGATTATCATGTCACAAAAAGTTGACTGCACGGATAGTGTAGTAGTTTCAAGCACTTACCTCGCTGCTTTCTACTGCACTGAGTGTTGTGGGTTCAATTCCATTATGGGACAAAAATGTTTGTTCTTAGTCTAAGTGTTCTTTGTGAAGTTGAATGTTCGTAGCAAGTTCCGCGTGACGTAGGATATATACCCTTATGACCTTTTGCTGAAGTCATCAGTATCATCTTTATTCTTCTGTCGTCTTTTTATTTAAATTATTTTTTATGCTATTGACGTTTAAAAGTGGACGGTATAAGACGGTCTACTGCATAAAGATTTCTTTGAAATGAACGTTATTTTTCTTTCTTATAACCGGAAAAGTTAGTATGTTAAAGAGGCTTTATTAACTGGACTTATTCACATCATAGCTTACTGGTTTAGAGGACTAAAAAAATACAGTATCATCTTTCATAACTTTCAATTCAATATTTATGAACACCGTATTTCTGTTTCAAAGAACAACATGGTCGTTATAAATATGGTGTACAATATATTTAAAAACAGTTATATGTACAGTTAATTTTAATTTTTATATGAAAATGCATGTTATATCAATGATTTTAGATTGGAAATAAATGGTAATATTATAATTATTATTATACAGTTCATTTTGTTATTTAACTATTTATATTGTATTGTTAACGTCACTTGATTTAATCAATTTAGAAATTATTATCATATTTGCCCATCTTTAATATGTTAAACACATTGAAACAACATTTGAAAAATTCAAAACTCTTACTATAAACATGGCCACTTTATGTACGTAATATCCACAATTTTAAAATTCTCAAATGAACCTTAACTATAAAATGTTTTTAGGAAGTCAGCTCGGAACTGCTCTCCAGTTATTAGTATCGGGTTTTATAGCTGACTATTGGGGCTGGCCTGCCATCTTCTACGTAAACGGAGCTCTAGGAGGAATCTGGACAATAGCTTACGTCATCCTTGGTTCTGATAGCCCCCAAAAATCTAGGATGATTAGCCATGAAGAAAAACTGTATATCCAAACTTCACTAGGACAAGTGGGAGAACAAAAGGTTAGTACAGCTTGCAGCTTTTCCTCAATTCAACTATTGTTTATTTAAAGTAAGTAATTCTATTTTTTCTCTATTTCACTTCTGGTTGAACATAAATCATTTTTCTAATATTTCAAGTTTATTCCATTATGTTTTCTCTTACATGTGTCTTTTCAATAACAGATTGATGCAATTCAATGATCAATTTCTATAATGCAGTTTAAAATTAAGTTCCTACCATTTTCTTATTTTTTTAGAGACTCAAAACTCCTTGGAAGTCGATATGGACTTCTCTGCCGTTTTACGCTTTGATAATTACGCACTGTGGACACAATTGGGGCTTTTGGACGCTGATGACCGAAATGCCCTCATATATGAAGCAAATTCTTGAAGTCGATATTAAAGCGGTAGGTCAACATTTTTACGGCGCACTATTAACTATTAACATAAAATTTTAAGTATCGGTCCCTACCATTTATTCGATACAGTTGAAATTGGTCAGTTTCATAATAAATGAAGTGTATAAATGTAGATCTGATTTGTCTTTCGGAAAAAATAATAACTGTTTTTAGTCATTACAAACTTTCCAAGGCTTTTAATGCAATCAAAGAACATCTGTGTGTCGGCACATTATATGTAGGGAAGTACAAAATTTGTTTTCAAAGACATTGTATTTTTATTTATTCTTTCGGTTTATGATATTTCTGTACTCAAAGTCATGTGCTCAGTTTTAAACGAAACAAAATGCAATGTAATTGATGTCGAATGTTCACATTTTTCTTTTTTCCTATTTTTAATTTTGATGGATCTGCCTGAGCTTAAAATCTTTACGTTAGTCATTAGTACTTTTAAAGATCATCAACATCACATCAACAGCCTATGACAGTCCACTGCTGGACATAGGCCTCTCCTCTGAAAGGAGGTTTTTAAAGATACAGAACTGGATTTCAAAGTTTAAATATTTTACTTTATTCATCTAAACAGAATGGTGCCATGTCAGCTCTGCCGTACTTAGCAATGTACCTATTAGGCTTCCCGTTTGGCTTCATATCAGATTATGCTATCAAGAAGAAGTGGGTCAGTATCAGCGCTTCAAGGAAAATTTCTAATACCATTGGTACGTAATGAAACTAGTGTCACGGACTAACATGATAATGTCAATTTGCAGTCCAATCTTACAGATTTGCTTTACCTTTTTTTCACATTACTCGACTTCCATGACGCAGAAGAAGAAGATATACAAAAATAATAAGATTTAGAAAAAGTGAAATTAAGACATGTCTTTCTCGTGTCACAATATAAAAGACTATCTAGAAGACCAACATTAATTTATTTTTGTTTTTATTAGAACGTATTTATTAGAAGAAAATACTCTTTTTTTTGTTAGTACAGCCATAATTGAAATATTATTATAATCGGTTAAAAATAATATTAAAGTTTTACGAAGGCACTGCTACGAGTACCACATATTGTTGTGCCAATGCGCAACGTTTGTGTCGAAGTTATTTACAGAAATTTGGAATATGTAGCTTAAAGATCATAACATATTTATACCTTAGTGCGATCTAAATAAACGGCTTAGCACACTGATTACTGATGATGACTTGGCATATGGCCGTATCACTTCATCAGCAGCAATGTCTTGAAAAACCTACAGTTATAAACCAGCAAAAAAATCTCACTTCATTGTGCTTTACCTTGATTGGAAAAGGAAAGTTACTATAAGTTTAATTTTTTTTACAAATTTTGAGCAGAGCTTTTGATCGTATGGACCGAATTTTAGTTTTACAAGTGACATTTGTAGAAAACCAGTCATTTTTGTCGTTACAGGGATTTTTGAATCGGTAATACTTTAAATATTTTTTAACATTTTGAGCACGAATCGCATCAAAATTTACGGCTACTATATTGACAATGGATATGTTAAACTTGATGAATTTTCTGCCTTTTTTGCATCTGTGATTTTTAATCATTTCAGGTGAATGGGGTCCTGCTTTCGCATTAATAGGGTTATCATACGTGCCTGCGGGTAACGCTACCCTAGTCGTGGGACTACTAACTGTTGTTGTGGGGCTAAATGCCGGCCATTATACTGGATTTTTGGTAAGAATGTAATGTGTCTTTATACGTACTGATATTATTATTTTTAATGTCATGAAGAGTATAAGTACAAACCTATTGATAGCTTAAATAAAATGTTCAAGACCTTTATTACACACCACACATCCTGTATGTGTGATGTGTAACAAATTCAGAAAAAAATAAAATCGGCAGTTTAAAAATTATTATCAACTATTCTAAATTTTGAAAATAGTACAGTTTTAAAAATTTGAATGCACCAATAATGCTATAATAACTTACGAGTATCAAATGCATTTTCAAATGGTAAGAAAATGTGAGATTTGATTACTTGTTATTTGAGGAATGAACTGTAATATCATCAGTGAAAGAATTGTTTATGTTCCCAATGATTCAAGAAACAGTGTTATTTCTTCCACCATATCAGAGAAACCACCATTAATATTAGATAGATGGATATAATGAAGTGCATTTGCCATTAAAGTTTTTTCTTATTTGTTAATCAGTGACAGTATTAATATATGTATTTAATTATTGCCAATTTTTATTTTATTTGTTGCAGCTCGTACATATTGATATGGCACCAAACTTTGCTGGTACTATGATGGGAATTACCAACTTCTTTGCAAATATTATTGGTATCATAGCACCACTCATTGCTGGACTTATATTACAAGACGAGGTAACATTAATAAATTGTAATAATTTTATACTCAAACAAAAATGTGATAAAACATATTCTTATAAAGTACTACCTGACTCACGTAATGCACTCCACGCCGCTCACTACTACGGCGAGTGTTGTGGGTCCGATCCCCACATGGGACGACACTTAGTGCGATCTACAAATTATTCTTCTGAGTTTGGGTGTTTTTGTGTCCATTTCATGTATGTTTGTAAAGTCCCCCGCGACACAGGATATATTCCTAAAAGAAGAATATTTTTTTCCCTTTTTGCAAACATTTTTCGTTGATGCTTCGCTCTTATTGGGCGTAGCGTAATGGTATATAACGTATAGGCTTTCTCGATGAATTAGCTATCTAACACTTATAAAAAAATAGTTTGAATTAGTAATTCCTGAAATTGGCGAGTCAATCAAACAAACAACCTCTTCAGCTCAAGGATTTATTGTAGGATAGTACGATGTCAAATATTTACAATATCAAAGATATTGTTTAAAACAAACCATTTTATTAATTAAGTACAGCACACAGACTAAACAAATATTACAATCTATTCAATGAATCATCACATCATCACATCAATACCCTTTAATAGTCCACTGCTGGACATAGGCATCTCCTTAGAAAGGGGGTTTTGGCCACGTTAGCCAGATGGGTTGGTATAGGGTTTGCGTCAAGTTTTCCTTCTCTCTGCAGTGCTGTTGTCCTGCGTAGTTTACTCCCTTAGTCGGCTCTTACGACACCCACGGGATGAATAGGGGTGGTGACACTCTGAATTCTTAATCCGTCACCACACGGACGGTTCAATGAATACATTTAATTATTTATTTCAGACGGATCTCTATCAGTGGCGTCTAGTGTTCTATGTATCATCAGCAATATACATTGGTGCAAATCTATTTTTCATAATATTCGCCACCAGTGAGAGACAGTCATGGAACGAGCCCAAGGATATTGACGGAGGTAATTTAGACCAGAACTACATTCCTATGTATTTTAGTCAACAGCAAAATCAGACAAACAATCAGTCATTTAATGAAATCACTGAGTATTTTTCTGTCTGCTGTTAACTTGTAATTATAAGTAAAGGTATCTCCACACTTCAAAGTGTGCTACTACACAACAAACTTTGAATATTCCTTATACGAGTCTCGTACTCGTATATAGAATTAGAATTATATGGGATTAATATTTACAACTCCTCCAATTTTATTAAATTAAATAATTCGTTTCTAAGACAGTTACATTTTTCCTGGGACGTCCCGAGTGTAACAACTCGGTTTGTCCGTGGGTTGTTGATCCTAGTGTACAGGAGTTACAGTAGTGGGCTTCTGCGAGAGATTATAATCATAAATATATTAATATATTACGTATATTGCTAAAATTAGTTATCTTTATTGCATCAGAGATTTTAGAATAAGAATATTTTCTTACTCAGACTCAACTCATGACAATCTTATTTTATTAATACAAAAACCTTAAAAATATGTAGTATATAATGAGTCTCGTTAAACAGAAGTTTTTTTTTGTTCCAGGAACCGAGGAAAAGACTGAGAAAGTTGTATGAAGCAAATGTTTTTGAATGTTTGGTTATGACTAATAAATCGTGTTCTATAAAAAACTCGTTTGATATGTTCTTTAAAAAAGACCTTAATAAAATATTGAGTATACAGCTATAATGAAACTTTAAAGATTGAAGGTCCGCAATGCTTCAAAACAGAATAGGAGTCCTACAAGGAAGCATTTTAGGACCGATTCCATAAAGCTTTTAAAGAGCCTTTAACTAAAAGGATTGTATTTATATGGGCCCTCATATTGATATTTTAATTCTCATGTAACAAATTAACAAGTCCATAATTTATAACGAAGGTGGATTGCCTAGGAATCAATTGAGGCAATCAGTGCTATGTGCTTGTGTAATATAGTGTTTATAAAAACAACCCTAAATTGTAAGAAAGAATACTTAAAATTTGGGGATTGCCCTCGGAGCAATGATACAAACGTAAACTTGTAAATACAAACCACATATTTAATTCACAAAAGCAATATAAACAACCATTGAAAACAATAAGGCACACATTGGTCAAATTAGACGAATTACTTGATCTTTAGAAGAATACTCCAGGTAAATAAATTTAGGTACTAATAAGGACGTGATTGCTGTAGGTGAAATTGAAAAAGTTTAGTAATTTGAAGAGAAGTATACATACAAATATAAACTCACGCATGTAACTCAGAGAAGATAGACAGAGGCGAGCCAATTTATTTAATAGATGTCAAACTCATTGTGACGAACAAACTTTGGAGATTGAAGATAGGAAAATCTATTCTATAATAAAAAAAATAAAAAAGTATCTTTACATTGAACTTGTTTTTTAAAATTGTAACTCAGAAAAAATCACATAGAACAATAAAAAAATTAAAAATGATTTTCTGGAATTTTTGTCTGTCTGTATGTTGCGCAGTCACGTAAAAACTACCTCTGCCATAATAGGTATTTTTGAAAAAATATCCTTCTAAAAATACTATCTTTAAGTAATCACAAGTAACTTAAATATATTGTCGAGTTTTGTAGAAGTAGGAATTGAAATCGTTCTATTTGTGAATGCTATGTTATTTATGAATTCATCATTATTTAGTTGACATACGAGTTATATTTTCCCTGATCTTTGTGTCTCGGAATCGGTTAATTTTTGTGGTAATTAAAAACTTTGTGGTAATTAAACCCTTCCATTCTTTGACTTCGATTTGAGTTTAGTTGTGCTGCTCATGTAGGTATTTTCATTAATTTTCTGTTATAGTTGGAAAACATTAGAATATAACAGATATAATTTTAGATTAAACTGGAACTAATATTTTATTATTCGTTTGTTTTCCTGCCAAAGTGACCTGATCTGATAACTTAGGAATAAAATGGCTGTATACTTGTAAACCTTACTAATTTATGCTGAAAAGTGCGAAGAGCCTTGAAGAGAAAGGCAATATTAATCAGCAGTATTAAGTTAATTAATTAATTAATTCGGTCTGAGACTTTTTCAATGATCTGTTATGGCATCATCCAAATAGTTTAACTTCAAACGTATTATCTGTTTCCAGTACTGATAGCAAACCTTCAAAGTATCAAATATGTTAGAGTTCATCTTTATAATCAGAGAATCACACGCGCGACCGTATATAAAGATTTGTAGTTTTCGTTTTAAAATTTGTTTTTAATTTCGTACCTACATAATTCTTTTGTGAAAGTGTTTTGTTTGAAAGTCAAAATGGTTGAAAATGAAGACGTTACTGCCAATAAAGTAAAATCTCTGAAACCTAGTGAGTATTTTCAGCCTTGGTATGTAGTGTGAATATTTGTAATAGACAGCAACATTATATATTTTTAATATTCAAATAACATGAACTCTATTATTCAGACAATCGTAAGCCAAGTACAGTATACATACGGAATGGATGCAAAGTTCATGGACAAATTTAAACATACGCTTAACACTATGTTTATGTTTTGTTAACGCTTTATCTTCTATGTAGATTTAATATTTGCCCAGTAGTAATACTTTAGTAGAGGTAGCTTAAATTAAATTATTATTTTTAATTATCTTTCGCGAAGTCCTAATGGTATTTGATTTCAATTTGTACTTAATCTTATTCATCAAACACTTAGTTATAAATTTGTACTTGTTATTATAATTTAAGTTTTGACTTTTTAAAAAGATTATTTTAACGCAGATAGCTTTTAATTGTGTAATAAAATGAGCAGCTTTTCATGTTTTCTTTTAACGAATAATGGAAATTGCGAACTTAAAATATTTAAATAATAATTAATTAAAAGTTACTTAACATTTACGTTTGAAACTAAAGAGAAATGAAATTTAATAATAATTTACCATGAGAAAAATTATGGTGAATGCTCCCGCATTAGGGCAACCTGAGACTTATAGAAAATCGAAGTTAGGTAATTTCTTCGGTGCAATCGAGTAAGTGAGGTTATTAGAGATCCAAACCCTTTCTTCCCATCATAGACCGGCAACGTACTTATGACTCTTGAATTGGCTGCAATAATCTCTTGCTATGAGTTGACCCATCTGCTTATTTGCCCCCATACCATATAATGATTACTTATCACAATCCAAACAAAATAATACTACCAAATACTAACAAAAAAATACAACAACAGTATTTCAATATTGCAGAAAAAAAAACACTTGACTTTAAAAGATAAAGATATTTTATCTTAGAACATGATTATACTAAGGCCAGAGATACGTTATCAGATCACATTGATCTCTTTCAAGTCACTAGGGGATAAGTAAGATGTAGATCCACACGAGAAATGAAAGGCTAATTATATTAATTTAATATGCATCATCATGATCATCTAGATATTAGGTTGTATGGAAATGCTGTATATTTACTAAATAATGTTGATTTGGTGGACCTTATTGTAAAAGGTGGAAATATAACATTACTGACATCAATACGGGTCAAAGAAAAAAAGCGAAATGTGTATGTACGTAATATCTTACTTCATGGCTTTCGATGACACAGAATTTTAATTCGTTCTGTTAGAGATGCCTTATGTAAGCATTCCTGCACACCCCACACTTCTACTCTGCACACTCAGCATTTCTCCATCAATAGCCGAACGACCCATCCACTCATGACCAGTCTCATCCCGACATCCAAGCCAGACGGTTGTCTCAACCCTATTTTAGTATTTTATTTCTTTTTAAAAAGACAAGTTCCCCGAGACTCGTAACATATTTGGTGGCAGCGGTGGGATTCGAAAAGAGTCCCCGGTACGTCTCTTAAAAAGTTCAAATTCGGCGCGAGTGTATTTGAGTGTAATTGCCGACTCCATAGTGTACAAAGTGTCAGTGCACCGAGTTCGAGCCCGACTCCTGGACGTCAGTGTTCGTGATAAAGCTTGTGAAAGGCCCATTGCTGTGCACCACCCGTGCTGCAGCCGGTCTTTGTCCAGAACCAGAAGGATTACACCCATTGTCACGCCAAGTTAGTGCTGTGACGGGTGTAATATCTCCAACGACGCGACGACCTTCGGCTTATCAACGCCTACGCTTCGCTTGTGAATCTTCCAAGAAACCATGTCCGTTATTCTTATCGCGCTGTCCGCATTCCAGTAAGTGAAACCATACACTTGGTCATTGTTAATATCTTATTTAAAACTAATACATTATATTTGAGATTTTTAAATATCATTACTCTATTCTGTAACGTATTCCGTCACATACGTATATTGTTCAAATTATTGTTATTTCAACCTTATTGTGTATTTGTAATTATTAAGATGACTGAGAGATCCCAAAGTCCAAAATTGGAAATTAACATTACTGATACCGAAGAGGAAGGCCAAGGCCTCTGACCTCCCCCTCAAGGACCTTCTACTAGATCACAATAAAAAAAAATTAAAACTGTAACATCTAAATTAGAAATTGAGCTTTCCACGTTATTAAAATTCATAAAGCCATACGATGGCTGCAGAGAAAAACTAAATTCCTTCTTAGTAAACTGCAATAATGCCTATAAACTAGCATCAGAATCACAAAAAGACATACTCTTTAAATACATTCTATGCCAACTACAGGGCAAGGCGGAAACCGCATGCTCCATCAAAGAATTTTCAAATTGGCAACAACTGAAAGAATTTCTAAAAACACAATTCAGTGAAAGAAAGCACTATGCCCATCTTTTAACAGATTTACAGGAGTGAAAACAACAAATAAATGAAAATGTAAGTCAATATGCTCTAAGGATCGAGACATGCCTGTCTCATCTGTTAACCGAAATATCTATCTCACACGGTCATAAAAGTCGAGAGATGATAGGACGCACGGCAGCCATGGAGGAATTAGCCCTCCATCATTTCCAAATGGGATTGACACCCCGTATCTTTAACATTGTCAGGGGTAAACCAATAAAAACTCTAAATGAAGCCATAAATATGGCCATTTCAGAAGAAAAAATACAACAGTCCCTATCCAGACAAGGTCCGAATTCGTTAAGCACTCAACAACCACGACAAGATAGGTCAAACGCTACAAAACTAAACACTCAATTTATTCGTCGTAACCAAAATCAAGAACCCTCGACCTCAAACCAGTACAACGTAAAACCTAACTTTAATAACCCTAACAGATCTAATAATAACTACAACAATTCTTCTACTCAATTCTGTAGGTACTGTAAAACGCCAGGTCATACCTTAGAGCAATGTCGGAAAAGGGAGTTCAACAACAACCGTTTCAAGAATTTCGACCCGAATCAGCAAAGAACGCTACAACGCGTCAACTTCATTTCCGACGAATCCTCAGACAATAACGATGGATATTCGGCTAACCCCACAGAGGGTTCTGATACCGTTGATGCCGATCCAAAAAACGAGTAATCGTCTCGTCCCGGTGCCGTGCGGGACGTCATAATTCAAAAAACGGTATCACAAGTCCAAAATCCACTGTATCCGTGCAGCAACATCATGTTGATCTGCCAAAATCCTCTGTATCCGTGCAGCAACATCATGTTGATCTGCCAAAATCCTCTGTATCCGTGCAG